CTTCTGTCGCACACACAACGACAAATGCAAGAGAAGACGATTAGTGTAGCAGCAACCTTAGCAGCAGCAGGTCCCAACACACACAACGGGAAAAGCAAGATTCTCCGATACATCTCCACATGCACAAACCAAATCACACCGGTCGGAGAAGTTTAAGAAGATGTGGAAACCCTTAACTATGTATGCAGCACCACTGACGAGTACGGTGTATCTGATTCAGATTTGACGGCAAGGCAACGATAGCATTTCTACAACTGAAGAATATCTTAAAGTTAAAACAACGATTAACCAACATCAAAGCTAGACTTTTCAATACAAATGTTAAGACAGTCCTACTGTATAGGGTGAAAACTTGAAGAAATGCTGAAGCCGTCATCCCAAATATGCAAACGTTTATTAACAGTTTTCCACGCAAGAAATCCGTTGGACAGATACCATCAGCAACTACCTATTCAGCGAAAGAACAAACCTAAGGAAGAGATTAGGAACAACCACTGGAAGTGGATAGGACACACATTGATGAAAGAGCCCAAATGCATGAGAAGACAAGCCTTGACTTGAAACACTCAATGTCAGAGGAATGGAGGAAGGCCGAGAAATGGAGACATATACTAGAAGAATGAACAAAAGTCTGATGGAACTGGAAATGGAAGCCCAAGACAAAGTAGGCTGGAGGATGCTGCTTGACAGCCTCTACTCCACTGGGGGTAACAGGCATAAGTAATTGAGTAAGTAAACAAGTAAGTATGGTGTCTGTCCTTGAGAAAAGACCTAATCCAGTACAATAAGGAAGTCAGTAATCTTGATGAACAGAAATGTGATTACCAAACGAATATGAAGCACCTTATCGAGAGCCTTTTTGATACAATAACACATTACGATCTCATGTTGTTTTTGATCGCGTATGCTGGCAAATTTATTCCAGAAATCCTGCAGACATGCGGTGCAATACCTAGTCCTAATGAAGCCATGTTATGATCCGTCGATAAGACATTCCCTGAGTGGATGATGAAGTCAATAATTTTTTCTATTCACTCCATTTTCCGGGGTCATTCCCAGATGCACCAGAAGATTCTACGTTTATTTAAACAAAAGAAAGAATGTGACACCTCTGAGAATCCTGGCACAGCAGATGTGGAAGTACTGTGAAAATCCATCTCAAATGTATAGAGATGAATTTTTGAAGATCAGCAAAAACGGGCATATCCTTTAGTGTGATACAATATCAAGCAGTCAAAGAGACTGTTTTCGTATATTAATTACAGAATAGGGATTCGCCACTGGATTATCAGCTCAATAACGAAAAGGAATGCGTCTCAAATGATAGGGGAGAACCAGAATATGTCAGAATCTATAGTGGACATTTTCGTCACAGTATTCACTGAGAACCTTCTCATTAGTGGAGGACTCAACCTAAGCACAAAATCATCAGATCTACTACTCAATGTGGAATTCGGTGAAGATGATATTTCGATGATCGTAATAACTTATGTTGCGATAAAGTTAACAGGATTGAAGGAATTACACTGAAAATTTTGAGATAGATGACAGAATGTATTGAAGACCTTTCGACCATGAAATGCAAAATTCCATTTGGCCAAGTGATCTTCCTAAGGAGTGTAAGGATTTAGAGTACATGACTTCTGTTATCGCGAAATCCAGACGGTAAATCAGGTTGATAAATAAAAATTTCTCTGCGAGAGATACTAAGCTTTCCCTTTTCACAATTTGTGTGAGAACGTCAGTCATGACGGTGGGACGATAATCTCACTGCCCCTATGTCTGTGGGGCAGAACATTCTGTTTGCTTACAGCTCCATACGATATGGCGGGATGTAACTAACCAATTAATTGAAGTTACTTTTCCAAGTCAGTCACGTCTACGACTCATGTTTATAACTCTCAACCAGTTTCACTTCCTACCAAGAAACTACCATAACAGAACTAGGCAATTATGTTGAAGTTATCACTCGTGACTAACTGAGCCGCGCATTAAAAAAGAGAAATATCATCAAAGCATCAGATCGCTGTTATATATTCTGTGAACCAACGTGATTTTCAACAATTTAGTTCTTTTGAATTTGACTTATTCATAGGATTATTTGCCTATTCATTATCTTACTAGTAACTTGTCTTCACTAACCTATATAAGCACATGTATACAGTTAGTGTTCTAATACAGAAAACGCAAGGTCTGAGTAATCATACCTTTGCCTTATCCAGATCAATTTGTTACAAGTCCTGTCACATTTACTGCAAAATTTATTAAAGTAAGATTAGAGAAAAGAGTTTGTTTTTGAAAGCATATTTACTCCGTATCACATTTTTCAAAGTTAGTACAAACAGCAAAGGTACACCGTAGAGTTCTTGGATGGTTCGCAAAATTCAGGAGTGAATTTGTTGGGAAGTGTCAGTCGGAAAGCGCTTGATGGAAGCTGTAACCTGGAAGTGCGCATACAGAAGGTGTACTTTGCATTGGACCGCCATGAATGTTCCACTATGTAAAGTGTTCTGAGAAGGGACAGTAGAGAGAGACAGAGAAAGAAAGAAAATAAAGCAACAGGGCAATTTTAGATATGTAATCAGAGTATTGCTTAACCTTTTATGGTGAAGTGAACAATGCAGTGGTAGGTGAAGAGAATATATCGGTCTAATTAACATCGGATGCAATAAAAGCTTCAACTCTTCCAAGGTTGAATCTCCGATACTACTTTACGCTGATGATGTAAAACATTTGGCTAGCTTAAATGCATTTCAAATTGACCTATACGTTCTGGTTAACTGGCCCATAACATCTCCAATGCCTATCAACTATAAGTGTGTCTGTATGCGCATTGAAGATACAAAGACGAATAAATGCATCATTTTGGCGGAATCGATTTTCGCAGTCCGCCATTACAATAATATTGAGGTTTTAGCCAGGCATGATCTTAAGACCGTGTCTTATTACTGAGCAGTTGCAGAAAAGGCTCTCAGAACTCTGTTGGCTTCTAGATGGACATTTTCGACATCGCACACTAGTATGTTTATTGTAGTAAACTGAAGCTTAGTGAGATCCAAACTTGAAAACTGGGTTCAAGCTACTGTTTAAAAGGTGACTCAAATACCTCAGAAAAAGTAGTCGACAACTTTTGTTGATAGTGTTGTTCCTTCCATGCGGCTAAGCTTTCTTTGGATTTTAATAAATCCCATCTACTCAATGCGAGTGAGAGGCATTGGATTGTCAGCGTCACCGAATCAATTTCACAGCATATATTCAATGAAATCACTTATAAATTGATAGCATAGGCTTCTTTATGGCGGATTTGTTGATCGTTAGTTGTTACTACTTAGTAACTAGTCGTTTGTCTAAAAATATGACTTCAAACCTGACTTTGGGTAGTAAAAGAATGTTTCAGTATGCGGAGAGGTATGTTTCTAGTTACTATACTTCTGGAAACTACGGAATTAGAAAAATCGGTTAACAGAAGTGGTCGACGGGAAGCACCTACAATAACCTTTGATTTACCGACGAAATTGAAGTGATTTTCAGGTTTTTCTAAAACTCTAAGCAAAAGATGATATCATTCTTCCTCACGTTAATTGGTACCACAACCAACCTATCCAAAAAGCTAAAACGTTTCTGAAGATTTTCGTACGAGCACTTTATGATTCAGCGTTGAACAGTATCTCCTAAAGTGTGGCTTATCTCTTAAATTTACCGGTAGACTATCAAGATGGAGGAAAATATGGGCGACATTTTGCACCATGCAAGTTTTTCTCAATCTCTCCGAGCTTCTCCAGTCGGAAATTCAAATCTTACAGGAGTGTTGAGTTGGTTAAATTTTTGGTCTGCACACATTTCCAGTCGCCCTTATTTGAACATATTCCTAAAGAGCAATATCTATCTTTATTCAAAATTTGCACGGTGGAAATCAGAACAAAATAGATGTGCGGACAATTTGGATTTAATTTGTTCGTCTTTGGGTGGACACGACTAAACAGTCAGCTTTTCAAATTTTGTATTTGTTTGTCATTTTACACTTATTTCCATTTCTATTCATCATTATCTGATGATTTATACAACATTTTGCGCAGTTTTATGGATTATTATTATTTTTTTAAAGTTTATTTATCCATGTTAGAAAGTAATACAATGACGAGGTAAAGAGAAAAGTAAGTAACTTATCACTTCTCTTCAGAACTTTGGGTCCAGCACCATCTCAATCAGAAGATTTAGGCAGATTCTGGTGGTAGGAATTTCTTTGATTTAGAGGACATCAAACTGTACGACACTTAGGTTTCCTTGGAAATGGATAAAACATTTAAATAGGGATGAGTTATAACTGTAGTTATTTCATCGAAACTAACTACAGCACCTAAAACTTCATGATGGGAGCTGTGTACAGTCATATATGAGAATTTTCACTGATGTTTATTCCTAAAGCTATAAAAAATCCTGTTGTTGCCCTCTATGTGTCAAAATCGATATTTTGTTTTCTATCAAAATATGTTCTGAGGTGTATTGAGCAACACAAATTTTGCTGTCAAATGTACAGTATTGGTGTTCTGCTTAAAATTTTAATCAGAGAACAGATTAAAACCCAGAAATCTACATTAGGGATTTTCGAAGAAAAAAGTGATTTTTAATCCATTTCCAATACGTCGAAGAAGTATTCATACAAGAATTTTACTTATATGTCTAAGCAATCCTTGGTGTACAACTCTTGTGAATATTCGGTTTTAGAGTCCCCATAACAAGCTCTACGTGAATTTCGCATTGCTTTTTTGACCCACTGTAACATTTCCCTGAAATTGTGGGAAAAACTATGTTCCTTATTTTTTAACAGGCCTTAAGGAAGTGAATGACTTCCTAGTGCAAAAACGACTGTCATAGAAATTTCTAAATCACCCCTTTCCTTTATGACATTAGGTTTTTTGGGATTCTTTGATCGAATATCAAGATCCAACGTAAAATAGATAATTTAATATTTAAGGCCACACTTAGACAAGAATATACAGACTAATTCGGCACCGAAACATTAGACATTGTGTTTCCAGACGCGGTACAGTCAAACTTTTACTAACGCGAGGTAGATATCCTCTGTAAACCTATTTGTGTTGTGTCATTCACTCTTATGCAAATTATAAGTATGCTTGCTAGTTGGTGAAATAAATGAAGGTAGTTCTCATAGGTTTATTTTCTTGACTAAAAATTTTACTGTGTAGTATGTGACACTTGTTTAGTAAGAAGTTAGCTAGAAGATAACTCGGCATTGAATCTTTGCCTCTTCTAAGTGCTTCTTTTGGCATCATAGCCGGGAAAACTTGTAGAATAAGAGTTTAGTGGATTTTAAAGAGCTTTAAGAGCGTTTATCATGTCATCTTCAGTCGTATCTTGTGATTAGGAGAGTAGATGTAATATAGGTTGAATTGTCCTTCTATTAACTTCATTTTACAAGACTTCAGTTGATTTTATTGATTTTTATTTAACCAGATTCTCGACTGCTCCACTTGTCTTCGAAGTCTCATCTGCGCTGAAGGCCTGGTTTGCGATGAGATCTCAGCTCTCACACGACCAGTAGTTTCAAAGTGTATAGCTTGTATAAGGTTAATGTACTTCTTTGGTACACCTTTTAATGACAGACACTGCCACAGACCATCGCGATCCACAGAGTCACAAACAACCAAGGGAATCGTTAGCACTCTCACAATATGGTAGGATACTACTCAGAAAGCCTCTGCTAAAACATTTTTTAGTGAAAATACTTGTAAATCTTAGCTATAGACATTTATCTACAAAGTTATTGCATTTTCGTAGATACTGATCTTCACACTAAGTGCCTACTAAAACTGGTAAAACCATTGGTTTGGCATTAGTTTCGGTATTTACCTAGATTCGAGGTCATTTGAAGCAATGTGTAAATTACTACAACTCATCCAAGTATCTAAATTGCTGTAAACCATTTTTCCAGTATCTTGTAAAACAAATAAGTCAAGTGTAGTAGTTACAAAATAAGAATCTCTTAATTTTCGCGAACTTGTAGAGGTAAGACAACATTGTCTTAATTACAAGTGTCGTTGCTTAAAACAGGAACAACGATTCAAAGGGATATATTTAAAAAGTTTTTCGGATACTAAATAACATGTCAATGTACATAATTGAAATTACATGAGTGTCGCTTATCCGCCAAGCATATGTTTCATTCTCGACCAGCTTGTCAAAGTAACAGCAATCGCACCAACAGCAAACCCAGCTGCCCCACCAATTCCAAAACGTTTCCAGCCACCTGGTTTAAGAATTCCTAGCGGTTTAAAAAAAAATTGTTTATCCAGCGAGAATACTCAAACAATATTTTATGATACACTAAAACTTATTAAGGCACAGATATGCGACCTAAGAAAGTGAAGGAACTTTTCTGTCTTACAAATACTTTTATTTTAATAAACAGTTGATATTTGCCATAACTGTTAAGAATGAAATGACACCAGTGTAATGATTTTGCTATCGAAGTGTTCAACTTGGTTGTCATTCCGCTTGTCTGTTTAAACAGCAAACAGGTAGACTAGGTCAAAAAGAGGTTCCAGGGTAAATGGTAATAAGATATTGACAGGTGCATGCTACTTATCAAGATCCAGCTCAATTACATGATGCAAACAATTATATGCTATTGATCGAAAATTCGACTTAACAAACTGAGGAACACGTATCTACATCAATGAGTTAGTTTCTGTATTTATACTGATTCAGGTTAGATAATAAAAGCTTTCTAAATACTTGTTTTCGAACTCAAATAAGGTGGATGAGCTGGGAAATAAGACAAATGATATTAGCACACAAAACTACTGAATGAAGGTTTGGTTCCAAAGGAAATGTGAAAGCTATTGATAAGGTTTTCGAGTTCACACGACTAAGTAGTTAGAAAACTTAGCTTGATAAATTTTCAAATCGTATACAACAGGTCAAAACCCGACTGTAGCAGCTACCTCGAAGTAGAGGTCGTGCTTGATTGTCATGATAAATCAACCGAACTATATTAACCGGAACACAAGTTTATTTAGGTCTTACCATGCCAAGCAGGTAGATAGGAGAACGGTGAAACTACAAAAAGCAATACAAACTCTTAAGACGAAGTCCTACTGCTGACTGTAGAGTTGTATGAAAGTACCAAGATGCTTCGTTCGAAAAACCAACCACTGCAACGATGTTGGCTAAGTGAGAGCTCATGGAGAACTATCATCAGGATTGATTATTTCAAGCTGTGTTCGTCAGGGCTGTCTACTTTCTTCATTATTGTCCAAATTTATGATTGACGTGATTTTAGGTACGACACTTTCATCATCTGAATTTTTAGGAGTTAAACTTTTGCCAGGGGATCCGCTCTTTGACCTACATTATGCCGATGACACAGTTCTACCTGGTGAAGACTGACGAAATGCAACCTTCTGACCACCCTAAGCAACAATAAGAGCATGTTTGGGATGCGATTCTCACCCTCGAAATGCAAAATGTAAGCTCAGGATTGGGTTGCATCGGCACCTGAACTAGTAATAGGCAGTGAAGCAGTGGAGCGTGTCGACCGCTACACTTGTATTGAAAGTCTCATCAGTGCTGATGGCCTGGTTTGCGACGAGATCTCAGCTCGGATACAGAAGGCTCGATTGGCTTAGGCGTAGGTAAGATAACCCTCTGCTAACCAAACGATAGGTGCAGTGCGCAGCAGTCCGCTCCGCCCTACTTTGCAGGTGTGAAACACTCCCTATCACTAGTTCAGGTGCCGATGCAACCCAGTCTTGAAGCAGCATTTTGCATTTCGAGGGGGAAAACCGCATCCCGAACATGCTTGCGTTGTTGCTTTGGGTAGTCAGAAGACTCTGCATTTTGTCAGCGTCTTCACCGACTATGTCATCGGCATATTCTAGGTCAGTAAGCGATTTTCCTGGTAGAAGGTCCACCCCTGAAAAACCTGATGAGGGTAATGGTAAGTCTAAAAGGATGTCTACGACAAAGTTAGACAAGAATGGAGAGAATAGACATCCCTGACGGACACCACTTGAAGTAAAGAATTCCGATGACAGTTCGCCATAAGGTGTCTCCCGACCATTGGTGTTCGAGTAGAGAGCTTGCATAAGGTTAATGTACTTCTTTGGTACACCTTTTAATGACAGACACTGCCACAGAACCTAACGATCTACAGAGTCAAATGCGGCTTTTAGGTCCAGGAAAACAACTATTGTAGGACGCCTTAATGTGTGCCTGTGTTCCAGGACCTGTCGTAGTGTGAGGATGTGGTCTGTACAACCACATCCAGGTCGAAAACCAGCCTGGTTTTCTGTAGTCTGCTCTTCACGAGCTTTAGTTAAGCGTCGCCGATGCATTTTTCCATCCCTTTTGCTTTCGCCACCCACCTCTGTTCGCGGTCGTTACGTAGACTTTTTATAAGTCTGCGCCTAAGCTGACTACTCTCTTCATCATGTTCAGAGTCAGGTGGGATGAGTTTCCGGGCATCCATCAGATCGGTGGATGCTACTGAGATCCACGGCTTCATTCTAGCCTTATGGTTTACCTTACTAGTAGATATCACTGCTGTTTCCACAGCCTTTTTGATATCATTCCAAGCTGCCTCTGGATGGGAATCACTTACATGGTTGCCTAACTCTCTTTCTAGTTGCTCCTGAAATATTTTCTTAGTTTGATTATCATTAAGTAAAACCCTAAGAGGCTTCCTTATGGTGTCTTTCCTACGTCCAGTAAGTCGCAAACAGATGCGCGCTCGCACTAGGGCATGATCTGAATCTAAACATGTGACCCAGAACGAGCGACAGTCTTCTATCGAACCCCTCCATCGGTGGCTGATGGCGATGTGATCTAGTTGAGTCCAACGTTGAGAAGACTTTGGTGGTCGCCAGGTCAGCAGATGCTTTTCCTTATGCATAAAGTTGGTGTTCACTAAGAATAGGCGGTTATCTGAGCATGGTTGCAGCAGACGGTCGCCATTGTCTGTTCTCTCAGTCGCTACACCATAACATCCACCTAGATGTCTTTCCTTTTCACCTTGTTTACCTACTTGAGCATTAAAGTCACCAGCCATTATTACTATATCAGAGCGCCTAGCTTTTTGGAGGAGGTCCGAAAGCTTTCTGTAAAACTCATCTTTAACCTCGTCTGCACTGCAGTCAGTGGGGGCTTAGGCAGATATGACGAAGAGGCAAGGGCGAGTGTCCCTATCCTTCCGAGTCCTTACGGTCCCGTTTAGTCGGACAGCTCACAAACGACTATCTACTGGGATCCAGTCTAGGAGAGATAATTCTGCCCTAGGACTCAACGCTATGCCTACGCCAGCAAGACCCCTGGAAGCAGCATCAGGGCTACCGGATACACGAAGAGTGAATCAGGCTGTTTCTTCGTTTTGACAAGGTGGGATCAGGTTAATGACTTTACTATGATCCTGTATGCGCGTTTCCGAGACGCAGCATACATCGATGGCACGAGTTTCTAAAGTCCTAGGTAATGATGCCTGTTGCCCTATTTGACACAATGTCCGTACATTAAAAGCTCCAACATGTAGTTTAGAACGGGGTTTCAAGAGACCAGGAACGACGTTTCGTGATCTCGCTTCGTCTGTATTAGCGGTGCAGTGAGAAAAGGGAGTGTGAGTAGAGTTAGTCTTAGAGATAAAAGAGACTTTAGGGGTTGTAGAAAGGATTTGATTTTGACCAATTCGGTCTCTCGTGCTGTTACGGGTATGAGGGCGGTTGTCACTTCCCGGCTGCCCACACCGTGGAAGGTTGTTTCTTGAGGGACCTGAAAAGGAAGATAGATTAGTGTTGGTGCGTGACCGCAGAGCCCAAGGAACAACTGCTTGAGACCGGTCACGCACGGCCCTTTTATGAAAGGTATTTAGAGGATTAGCTCCGTTCTTAAAGGCCCTTAGTGGGCACCCTTACCCAAGGAGACGGAAATCCGTGAGTTAGGGGAGGTGTGACATTTTTAGGGCCGACCTTTTCTAACCCTTTCTTCCTTGTGAGAAGGCAGCATCGCTGCAGATGCTGGTTGTCCGAGGGAAACACCTTACTGCTGTCACATCTGTATGTAGTCAGCAGTACGACTTCGCCCTCAGACCTTGGGTAGCTGCTTTTAGTCTCATCGTTCTCCAATCGACCTGCCTGGCATGGTAGGACCTGCAGGTTCAGTATAGCTCGGTTGGGTCATCACGATAGGCAAGCCCGACAACCACGTCAAGGTGGCAGCTACGGTCGGGGGCGACTTTATCGCTCAAGTAGGTAGACTCAGAGAGAAGGAAAGATACCTGGTTGGATCGTATGCTGTCGCGGCTCAGAGAACAGACAATTGCGACCGTCTACTACAACCATGCTCAGATTACCGCTTACTTCTAGCAAGCACTAACTTGAAGTATAAGGAAAAACACCTTTTGACCTGGCGACCACCAAAGTCGTCCCAACGATAGACCCAACCAGGTCACATCGCCGTCAGCCACCGATGGAGGGGTTCGATAGAGGACTGTCGCTCGTTCTGGGTCACATGTTTAGATTCAGATCATGCCCTAGTGCGAGCGCGCATCTGTTTGCGACTTACTGGACGTAGGAAAGACACCATAAGGAAGCCTCTTAGGGTTTTACTTAATGATAATCAAACTAAGAAAATATTTCAGGAGCAACTAGAAAGAGAGTTAGGCAACCATGTAAGTGATTCCCATCCAGAGGCAGCTTGGAATGATATCAAAAAGGCTGTGGAAACAGCAGTGATATCTACTAGTAAGGTAAACCATAAGGCTAGAATGAAGCCGTGGATCTCAGTAGCATCCACCGATCTGATGGATGCCCGGAAACTCATCCCACCTGACTCTGAACATGATGAAGAGAGTAGTCAGCTTAGGCGCAGACTTATAAAAAGTCTACGTAACGACCGTGAACAGAGGTGGGTGGCGAAAGCAAAAGCGATGGAAAAGGCAGTGGCGATAGGCAACAGTAGACGACTTTACCGACTCATTAAGGAAACTGGTATTAGGAATCCTAGTGTAAGTGAGACTATCTCAGAAAATGACGGGACTATTATTTATTCTCAATCCAGGAGACTGGATCGATGAGCAGAACACTTTATGGATCAGTTCAACTGGCCTCGAGCCACTCTTCGGTTACCCCACGATCTCCAGTCATCGTGAATGGCAAGTCGACGTAAGCCCTCCAAACCTTTATGAAGTTGAAAAGGCCATAGGAAATCTGAAGCGAGAGAGAGCAGCAGGATCCGATAGATTGACTCCTGAGATTTTTAAGGATGGTGGTCCAGTTTTAGCAGCTAGGTTGACTGAAATCTTAGGTAGAATCTGGGAACTGGGCGTAATTCCATTTGACTGGTCTCAATCACTGATTGTCCGTGTTTATAAAAAAGGACAAAAGTCTTTTTGTGGCAATGACAGGGGAATCTGTCTAACTAATATAGTATATAAAATTTTGGCCTCAATAATACTTCGGCGCTTAACGAAAGCTCACGAAGAGCAGACTACAGAAAACCAGGCTGGTTTTCGACCTGGATGTGGTTGTACAGACCACATCCTCACACTACGACAGGTCCTGGAACACAGGCACACATTAAGGCGTCCTACAATAGTTGTTTTCCTGGACCTAAAAGCCGCATTTGACTCTGTAGATCGTTAGGTTCTGTGGCAGTGTCTGTCATTAAAAGGTGTACCAAAGAAGTACATTAACCTTATGCAAGCTCTCTACTCGAACACCAATGGTCGGGAGACACCTTATGGCGAACTGTCATCGGAATTCTTTACTTCAAGTGGTGTCCGTCAGGGATGTCTATTCTCTCCATTCTTGTCTAACTTTGTCGTAGACATCCTTTTAGACTTACCATTACCCTCATCAGGTTTTTCAGGGGTGGACCTTCTACCAGGAAAATCGCTTACTGACCTAGAATATGCCGATGACATAGTCGGTGAAGACGCTGACAAAATGCAGAGTCTTCTGACTACCCAAAGCAACAATGCAAGCATGTTCGTGATGCGGTTTTCCCCCTCGAAATGCAAAATGTTGCTTCAAGACTGGGATGCATCGGCATCTGAACTAATGATAGGTAATAAAGCTGTGGAGCGTGTAGACCGCTTCACGTATCTGGGAAGTCTCATCAGTGCTGATGGCCTGGTGACTGACGAAATCTCAGCACGGATACAGAAGGCTCGATTGGCTTTTGCCAACCTTCGTCATTTATGGCATAGGCGAGATATCCGTTTGCTAACCAAAGGATGAGTATAGTGCGCAGCAGTTCTCTCTGTCCTACTTTATGGCTATGAAACATGGCCAATGAGAGTAGGTATTCGTGGGTTACTGGTTTTCGATTATAGGTGTCTTCGAAGCATTGCTCGAGCATCGTGGGACAGCCGAGTAAACAGTGCCGTCGTTATGAAACGAGTATTAGGTAGGGACTGCAGACCAATACATGAAATATTGAAACTTCATCAGTTGAGGTGGTTGAGCCATGTGTTACGAATCCCTAATCACCGACTGCCTCGTCGAGCTTTGTTTTGTAGTGTAGGAATAGGTTGGAAGAAAGCTAGGGGCGGCCAGACCAAAACATGACAGAAATCCATGAAGCCATTGACGAGTGGACTTAGCCATGTCGGTAATTGTCGACTACCTGTTTGGGGTCCGCGAGATGATAATAATCGATGGCTAGAGACCTTGAATGACATGGCTCAAAATCGTTCGCAATGGCGCCAGTGCATTTATTCTTTGTGTTCTCTCAAATCCTAATCTTCTGGATTCTTCAACACCTCTAGCTTTTACTTTCTAAACTTATCTCACTGAATCATATTTCTTGAATAATATGTTCTAATCCTAACCTCCGACTACTTCTAATACCTTTACTACCTCTTCTACTATTGGATTTGAATTGACAATTACATCTCTGTGCTAATGTGGTATGGCAACATGAACTGATGTACTTACGTACAAAGTTCTACGTTGCATCTGACTGACTGACTGACTTGATACCCAATCTTTTCTATTATCACTAACACTTACTACATATACTACTCTGGAGTTTCCCTCTAACAATTTATTTTGGTCCTCGTAGGGTATGGCAACCCAAACTGATGTTCATAAGCATCAGGTCTTGCACTGCGACTTACCCGATTACTTCAGTATTTTTTCATTCCTAATAATTTTTGTTTTCGTACTATACTGTCACTATGTAGCTATGCACATTTTACTGGTTTATAAGTTGATAAGCATGTTAGTTGAGCTGTTTAAGGTAATCGGTCATAATAATAGAGATGTAGAATAAAAACGGATTTCATCCCAACTACTGAAAATCGAAGAGAATTTATCTATTTGCTAAAGTGGGATTCTTAAGTTATCCACATTCGTCATTTAGGTCTAAGCCCTCCTGAAGGATAGTAATAGGTACTACGTTTGTCATACAATCTCAATATTTTATATCATGTTCCTGTTTTGTAAACAGTTTTGGACAGCATCTTTCACTTGTAACCAATGTTTAGGAAACTTGTTCACCATATTTATAATCTTTCCTAGTAATAATTTTATTTCTGTTCAGACCTATTTATTTTGGATTGGTCATAAAACTGTATCCTCAAAGTCACTAAAGTATAGCACTCAGGATGACCGGCACTAATTCTGACGGTAGTTTTGTCAATTTCACAGTTAATGTTAAATTAGATCGCAATATTTTCGTTTCACCATTCTTGAATTTCGATCCATCTATTTTGGTTTCGGTAAGCAATACTCAATTATTAAGTTCATTCTCAGAATCCCGAAGAGCAATTCATTTTTCCTGAGGGAGAGAAACGTCGAGGTCGCTTTGAGCGATCGTTTTCCGAAATCGGAGCTATGGTTATTGGAGGTAACATTATTATAGTCGAATAAAATTCTGTTTAGGTGCATCTGTTGGGGGAATCAAAGGACTATACAGCAGTTTTAAGGATTCAGAGATAAAAAATCTTCCGACCCTTGCTATCAGACGAACGCAAATGCTTAATCATCTGACAAAATCCGGAGCGACACTGGCTCAAACCGCAGGTTCTATAGGGGTCATATACGCTTTGGCAGATTTTTTGATTTATAAATTACGTCGCAGTGCAGAAGACGAGATAAATACAATAGTAGCAGCTACAACTACTGGTTTGGTGTACACATCTCCTGGTAAGCAAATTCATGATTTAGTTCTGAACCAATCTATTGTTGATAAGTGCTTTTTATATATTTGTTTCCTACTTTGTTCATTTTAACCTGATCACATCGACGTTGGCGATGAATTTCCAGCTCATGTTGTTTTTGTAAACATTTATTACGTTAGATCCGCAGCATCTTTGCATCATAATTGCCACTTTAATTCCGGAAATCAGATGTGGATTCGACACAGATTGTATTTAGTTGTTAAATCCTTGATCATGGCTCTCTAAACCAGCTTACATAAAATTGAGCACAGTAACCCACCCATCCAAGTTCTCTCGTTTTGAATTACTATACCAACAAACATGATAATGATTAGTATGTACATAGCTCTCTATCTTGTTTATGTGGTACACAGTCATTGGAAATTTGCGTCGTTCAGCTACTATTGTCTTTTCAGTTCAATAATACATTTAAGACATTCAGTTTGTCGACGAATATTTTTAACGAAACTACAAATGCGTCTCTTAATACGGAAATTCAGGAAATAAATTTCGCTTCAACTTGAAAATTGCTAAGATTCACCGGAACCATATCACCTTTGAAATCGCATTATAGACAAATTAGGTTTCAATGATAACATGTGATGAGTAAAAGATATTTAGGAAATAGTTTCACCTCAACCCAATTTTTGATTCAGTGATTCTCCCTTTGAGTTAGTTAGTTTGAAAAGCGGAAAGAACGATCATGAGGAATTCAGAAGGTGGAATTGGAGAGGACACAAAGAAAAGATGCACCTGCGCCACTGAAAACGATTTTCAGCCGTCATTGAAAGTCTTCAACCACCAGTCACGATTGTCTCACAGACCCCAACCAAGTAATCTACACCTACTAACATGGATTAGTTAGTTGACAATAAAGTCATGGATTTGTGCCTTATTTTGGTTTGGCCCCTACATCACAAAACATCCCTCATCGAGGCAGTCAGTGCTTTGGCATACGTATCATATGTCCCAACTACCTCAACTTATGAAGATTCACCACTTCATCAATCGATTTGCAATCCTTATCTAGTACCCATTTTCTAACACCAGCACAGAATATACTAGGAATGCTTCTAAGACACCTATGATTGAATACTACTGAAATACGAATATCGTCTACTCTTACTCAATCAGTCAGTTACGACGTAGAAATTCGTACGTAAGTACATCAGTTCAGGTCGCCAAACAGCATCAGCATACAAACGCAACTGTCAGTTCAAATCCCATAATAGTAGCCATAGAAGTATTAGCAGCGATGGAGATTAAGGTTCGAAGATATCTTTCAAGAAGTACAATTCACTGAGATAAATTTAGAAAGACAAAGATAATGTGTTGATGAATCCAGAAGATTAAGATTGCCAGAACACAAAGAGTGGATACACCTACACCATCGCAAATGATTCTGAACCATGTTACTCAGGGTCTCTAACCATCGCTTACTAACGTCTCGCGGACCCCAACCAGATAGCCTACATTTACCAACATGATTCAGTCCACTTGTTAGTGATTTCATGGATTTCTGCCATGTTTTGGTCTGGCCGCCCCTAACTTTCTTTCAACCTACTACACCACAAAACAAAGCTCGTCGCGGCAGTCGGTGATTAGGGATTCGTAACACATGTCCAAACCACCTCAACTGATGAAGTTTCAATATTTCATGTACTGATCTGCAGTCCCTACCTAATACTCGTTTCATAACGACGGCACTGTTTACTCGGCTGTCCCACGATACTCGAGCAATGCTTCGAAGACACCAATGATCAAAAATCAGTAACCCACGAATACCTGCTCTCATTGGCCATGTTTCATAGCCATAAAGTAGGACAGAGAGAACTGCTGCGCACTATACTCATCCTTTGGTTAGCAAACGGATATCTCGCCTATGCCATAAATGACGAAGGTTGGCAAAAGCCAATCGAGCCTTCTGTATCCGTGCTGAGATTTCGTCAGTCACCAGGCCATCAGCACTGATGAGACTTCCCAGATACGTGAAGCGGTCTACACGCTCCACAGCTTTATTACCTATCATTAGTTCAGATGCCGATGCATCCCAGTCTTGAAGCAACATTTTGCATTTCGAGGGGGAAAACCGCATCACGAACATGCTTGCATTGTTGCTTTGGGTAGTCAGAAGACTCTGCATTTTGTCAGCGTCTTCACCGACTATGTCATCGGCATATTCTAGGTCAGTAAGCGATTTTCCTGGTAGAAGGTCCACCCCTGAAAAACCTGATGAGGGTAATGGTAAGTCTAAAAGGATGTCTACGACAAAGTTAGACAAGAATGGAGAGAATAGACATCCCTGACGGACACCACTTGAAGTAAAGAATTCCGATGACAGTTCGCCATAAGGTGTCTCCCGACCATTGGTGTTCGAGTAGAGAGCTTGCATAAGGTTAATGTACTTCTTTGGTACACCTTTTAATGACAGACACTGCCACAGAACCTAACGATCTACAGAGTCAAATGCGGCTTTTAGGTCCAGGAAAACAACTATTGTAGGACGCCTTAATGTGTGCCTGTGTTCCAGGACCTGTCGTAGTGTGAGGATGTGGTCTGTACAACCACATCCAGGTCGAAAACCAGCCTGGTTTTCTGTAGTCTGCTCTTCGTGAGCTTTCGTTAAGCGCCGAAGTATTATTGAGGCCAAAATTTTATATACTATATTAGTTAGACAGATTCCCCTGTCATTGCCACAAAAAGACTTTTGTCCTTTTTTATAAACACGGACAATCAGTGATTGAGACCAGTCAAATGGAATTACGCCCAGTTCCCAGATTCTACCTAAGATTTCAGTCAACCTAGCTGCTAAAACTGGACCACCATCCTTAAAAATCTCAGGAGTCAATCTATCGGATCCTGCTGCTCTCTCTCGCTTCAGATTTCCTATGGCCTTTTCAACTTCATAAAGGTTTGGAGGGCTTACGTCGACTTGCCATTCACGATGACTGGAGATCGTGGGGTAACCGAAGAGTGGCTCGAGGCCAGTTGAACTGATCCATAAAGTGTTCTGCTCATCGATCCAGTCTCCTGGATTGAGAATAAATAATAGTCCCGTCATTTTCTGAGATAGTCTCACTTACACTAGGATTCCTAATACCAGTTTCCTTAATGAGTCGGTAAAGTCGTCTACTGTTGCCTATCGCCACTGCCTTTTCCATCGCTTTTGCTTTCGCCACCCACCTCTGTTCACGGTCGTTACGTAGACTTTTTATAAGTCTGCGCCTAAGCTGACTACTCTCTTCATCATGTTCAGAGTCAGGTGGGATGAGTTTCCGGGCATCCATCAGATCGGTGGATGCTACTGAGATCCACGGCTTCATTCTAGCCTTATGGTTTACCTTACTAGTAGATATCACTGCTGTTTCCACAGCCTTTTTGATATCATTCCAAGCTGCCTCTGGATGGGAATCACTTACATGGTTGCCTAACTCTCTTTCTAGTTGCTCCTGAAATATTTTCTTAGTTTGATTATCATTAAGTAAAACCCTAAGAGGCTTCCTTATGGTGTCTTTCCTACGTCCAGTAAGTCGCAAACAGATGCGCGCTCGCACTAGGGCATGATCTGAATCTAAACATGTGACCCAGAACGAGCGACAGTCCTCTATCGAACCCCTCCATCGGTGGCTGACGGCGATGTGACCTGGTTGGGTCTATCGTTGGGACGACTTTGGTGGTCGCCAGGTCAAAAGGTGTTTTTCCTTATGCTTCAAGTTAGTGCTTGCTAGAAGTAAGCGGTAATCTGAGCATGGTTGTAGTAGACGGTCGCAATTGTCTGTTCTCTGAGCCGCGACAGCATACGATCCAACCAGGTATCTTTCCTTCTCTCTGAGTCTACCTACTTGAGCAATAAAGTCGCCAGGCGTTATTACTAATATAGAGTGCCTAACGTTTAGGAGGAGGTTCGAAGGCTTTCTGTTTAACTTATCTTGCAGCTGGTCTGAACTGCAGTCAGTCGAAGAGTAGGCAGAGATGACGAAGAGGCATCGGCGATTGTCCCTATCCTTCGGAGTCCGTCCCATCCCGTTTAGTTGGACAGCCCGTAATTGACTCTCTTCTGGGATCCAGTCTAGGAGCGATAGTTCTGCCGTACGACTCAATGCTATACCTGCACCATCGATACCCCTGGAAGCAGTATCGGGGTTACTGGATACACGAAGAATAAATTGGTCTGTTACTTTGTTTTGATATGATATGACTCGAGAAGTATAATTCAGTGAGATAAATTTAGAAGGAGAAATATAGGGATTATGAGGAATTCAGAAGGTTAGAATTGGAGAGGACACAGAGTGGATTCACCTGCGCCATCGCAAACGATTCTGAACCATGTCGTTCAATGTCCCTAACCATCGCTTACTAACGTCTCGTGGACCCCAACCAGATAGTTTACATCTACCAACATGACTCAGTCCACTTGTTAGTGATTTCATGGATTTCTGCCATGTTTTGGTCTGGCCGCCCCTAACTTTCTTTCAACCTACTACACCACAAAACAAAGCTCGTCGCGGCAGTCGGTGATTAGGAATTCGTAACATATGTCCTAACTACCCCGACTGATGAAGTTTCACTACTTCATCTACTGATCTGCCATTATTACCTAGAACTCGTTTTCTAATAGTAGCATTGCTTAGTCGGTTGTACTAGGATACACGAGATCGAATACTAGTAACCTACGAATATCCTCTATTCTCACTAGCCATGTTTCACACCTGCAAAGTAGGGCGGAGCGGACTGCTGCGCACTGCACCTATCGTTTGGTTAGCAGAGGGTTATCTTACCTACGCCTAAGCCAATCGAGCCTTCTGTATCTGAGCTGAGATCTCGTCGCAAACCAGGCCATCAGCACTGATGAGACTTTCAATACAAGTGTAGCGGTCGACACGCTCCACTGCTTCACTGCCTATTACTAGTTCAGGTGCCGATGCAACCCAATCCTGAGCTTACATTTTGCATTTCGAGGGTGAGAATCGCATCCCAAACATGCTCTTATTGTTGCTTAGGGTGGTCAGAAGGTTGCATTTCGTCAGTCTTCACCAGGTAGAACTGTGTCATCGGCATAATGTAGGTCAAAGAGCGGATCCCCTGGCAAAAGTTTAACTCCTAAAAATTCAGATGATGAAAGTGTCGTACCTAAAATCACGTCAATCATAAATTTGGACAATAATGAAGAAAGTAGACAGCCCTGACGAACACAGCTTGAAATAATCAATCCTGATGATAGTTCTCCATGAGCTCTCACTTAGCCAACATCGTTGCAGTGGTTGGTTTTTCGAACGAAGCATCTTGGTACTTTCATACAACTCTACAGTCAGCAGTAGGACTTCGTCTTAAGAGTTTGTATTGCTTTTTGTAGTTTCACCGTTCTCCTATCTACCTGCTTGGCATGGTAAGACCTAAATAAACTTGTGTTCCGGTTAATATAGTTCGGTTGATTTATCATGACAATCAAGCACGACCTCTACTTCGAGGTAGCTGCTACAGTCGGGTTTTGACCTGTTGTATACGATTTGAAAATTTATCAAGCTAAGTTTTCTAACTACTTAGTCGTGTGAACTCGAAAACCTTATCAATAGCTTTCACATTTCCTTTGGAACCAAACCTTCATTCAGTAGTTTTGTGTGCTAATATCATTTGTCTTATTTCCCAGCTCATCCACCTTATTTGAGTTCGAAAAACAAGTATTTAGAAAGCTTTTATTATCTAACCTGAATCAGTATAAATACAGAAACTAACTCATTGATGTAGATACGTGTTCCTCAGTTTGTTAAGTCGAATTTTCGATCAATAGCATATAATTGTTTGCATCATGTAATTGAGCTGGATCTTGATAAGTAGCATGCACCTGTCAATATCTTATTACCATTTACCCTGGAACCTCTTTTTGACCTAGTCTACCTGTTTGCTGTTTAAACAGACAAGCGGAATGACAACCAAGTTGAACACTTCGATAGCAAAATCATTACACTGGTGTCATTTCATTCTTAACAGTTATGGCAAATATCAACTGTTTATTAAAATAAAAGTATTTGTAAGACAGAAAAGTTCCTTCACTTTCTTAGGTCGCATATCTGTGCCTTAATAAGTTTTAGTGTATCATAAAATATTGTTTGAGTATTCTCGCTGGATAAACAATTTTTTTTTAAACCGCTAGGAATTCTTAAACCAGGTGGCTGGAAACGTTTTGGAATTGGTGGGGCAGCTGGGTTTGCTGTTGGTGCGATTGCTGTTACTTTGACAAGCTGGTCGAGAATGAAACATATGCTTGGCGGATAAGCGACACTCATGTAATTTCAATTATGTACATTGACATGTTATTTAGTATCCGAAAAACTTTTTAAATATATCCCTTTGAATCGTTGTTCCTGTTTTAAGCAACGACACTTGTAATTAAGACAATGTTGTCTTACCTCTACAAGTTCGCGAAAATTAAGAGATTCTTATTTTGTAACTACTACACTTGACTTATTTGTTTTACAAGATACTGGAAAAATGGTTTACAGCAATTTAGATACTTGGATGAGTTGTAGTAATTTACACATTGCTTCAAATGACCTCGAATCTAGGTAAATACCGAAACTAATGCCAAACCAACGGTTTTACCAGTTTTAGTAGGCACTTAGTGTGAAGATCAGTATCTACGAAAATGCAATAACTTTGTAGATAAATGTCTATAGCTAAGATTTACAAGTATTTTCACTAAAAAATGTTTTAGCAGAGGCATTCTGAGTAGTATCCTACCATATTGTGAGAGTGCTAACGATTCCCTTGGTTGTTTGTGACTCTGTGGATCGCGATGGTCTGTGGCAGTGTCTGTCATTAAAAGGTGTACCAAAGAAGTACATTAACCTTATGCAAGCTCTCTACTCGAACACCAATGGTCGGGAGACACCTTATGGCGAACTGTCATCGGAATTCTTTACTTCAAGTGGTGTCCGTCAGGGATGTCTATTCTCTCCATTCTTGTCTAACTTTGTCGTAGACATCCTTTTAGACTTACCATTACCCTCATCAGGTTTTTCAGGGGTGGACCTTCTACCAGGAAAATCGCTTACTGACCTAGAATATGCCGATGACATAGTCGGTGAAGACGCTGACAAAATGCAGAGTCTTCTGACTACCCAAAGCAACAATGCAAGCATGTTCGGGATGCGGTTTTCCCCCTCGAAATGCAAAATGTTGCTTCAAGACTGGGATGCATCGGCATCTGAACTAATGATAGGTAATAAAGCTGTGGAGCGTGTAGACCGCTTTACGTATCTGGGAAGTCTCATCAGTGCTGATGGCCTGGTGACTGACGAAATCTCAGCACGGATACAGAAGGCTCGATTGGCTTTTGCCAACCTTCGTCATTTATGGCATAGGCGAGATATCCGTTTGCTAACCAAAGGATGAGTATAGTGCGCAGCAGTTCTCTCTGTCCTACTTTATGGCTATGAAACATGGCCAATGAGAGCAGGTATTCGTGGGTTACTGATTTTTGATCATTGGTGTCTTCGAAGCATTGCTCGAGTATCGTGGGACAGCCGAGTAAACAGTGCCGTCGTTATGAAACGAGTATTAGGTAGGGACTGCAGATCAGTACATGAAATATTGAAACTTCATCAGTTGAGGTGGTTTGGACATGTGTTACGAATCCCTAATCACCGACTGCCGCGACGAGCTTTGTTTTGTGGTGTAGTAGGTTGAAAGAAAGTTAGGGGCGGCCAGACCAAAACATGGCAGAAATCCATGAAATCACTAACAAGTGGACTGAATCATGTTGGTAAATGTAGGCTATCTGGTTGGGGTCCGCGAGACGTTAGTAAGCGATGGTTAGAGACCCTGAGTAACATGGTTCAGAATCATTTGCGATGGTGTAGGTGTATCCACTCTTTGTGTTCTGGCAATCTTAATCTTCTGGATTCATCAACACATTATCTTTGTCTTTCTAAATTTATCTCAGTGAATTGTACTTCTTGAAAGATATCTTCGAACCTTAATCTCCATCGCTGCTAATACTTCTATGGCTACTATTATGGGATTTGAACTGACAGTTGCGTTTGTATGCTGATGCGGTTTGGCAACCTGAACTTATGTACACATGTACGAAGTTCCACGTTGTAACTGACTTACTCTGGGTCTTTTGTTTTTATCCGTATGGTAATGTCAGATAATGAAAGTATTTCCTCTGGAGGCTTGAGTCACAGTACGTCACTTTACTCTGAGTAGTTCTGCTCTAACACCATCTTTTTTTCCCAAAATATAGCATCGAATCTGCTTATATTCTGTTAACTATATGGTTCTTAATGTTTTACAACTTTTTCTTTGGAAAATCAGTACGTTATGAATGTCATGTGTGAATCAGATTATGTATCCCCCCCTAGAATTTGATAAAGTATATATGATAATCGGTTAGTCATGGAGGAAGTCAAGGTCTACTGAGCACCCATATCCTGTCACTGTATTTAACGAAAATTTTTTCTGTCAACCATAGTCTGGTTGAACTTAGTTGGTCGACAATGCGGTTTTCAACCTAGTTCCTCCATACAAATTGGTTTCAGTCTAACAGAACATCAGATTAATATCATCGGGCCTTTACCAGTCATTTAAGTGATGTCATATCTGTCTGTACAAACCCCTCCCGTTGGTTTATTAAAAAAGTGGTCATGGCACCTTGTTTTTTATTAAGTAACAAACAAAAATATTCTTCAAAAATTATCACTTGTATTTTTATATAAAACAAAATTTGAATCTACTTTCCCATTCTAAAGAAATATTGGTATAAACACAATGAGGTGAGGTTGTATATATTAATTGACTGGAATTCTCAAGGTCAATAAATATAACTGCGATACAAATATAAGGTAAAAAAAATAATATTTCATCTTATGTCGCATAACAAAGCTACACCTCTTAATACCCAGTGATCAGCTGATTTGTTTGGTGGACAACGTAAATAAAGTGAGGTGACATAGGTTAAATCTGTTCTGTATGGTTTTTTGTATACTGGACATATATATAGGTTTTTCAGCATTTCTTTTGGTATCTCTTTGTCCTTGGATATATCTATAGCTTGTATATGGATAACTGGCATTGACTGGTATAGTATTCTCGGTTTCGATTCAGTTAGACGCAAATTCTTTTGATCAAATTCAGCACCTTCTAGAAATAAACCATGAATATATGCACCTTCAGCCGGTGGACGTTGAATATCATCTTTCATATACCTAGTAACTTCATTCCATAATGCAACGGTGTCTAACGCCCAACCTTTATGACTACGTGTCACTTCTTGTCTGATCGCTGTAAGAAATCCTTGTGGATTGAAAAAACCTGTCATCCAAAAGCATACTGGACGTCCATTATATAACCATTCATAAAATTGATGATTTCTCTCGATTAATTCGGTAAACCAAAATCCTAGTGTAGATGATTCCCATGACAGCTAAGGATATAAATTAAGAACAAGACAAGAAAATGTGGATATTACTAATTGAATTATCTACTACTACTACCTAAGTACTTCTAGCTATTACTCTCTCGTTAAAAAATCGTGTTGGTGTCTCAAAATCAGGTTACGAGCCAAAAAACAATGTTTGCAAATATTGTTTTTTCATTTCAGAAGAGCGTTCTGATTTGAAAGCGCCCCGATAATAATGTTTAAGTATTATAGATCTTTAAGAGCTGTATGTCGTAGCCCACTTTCTTTACTCATTTAAGATGATTAGTAGAGGACATGACAACAAAATAAGCCTATTGATACTTCAAGAAGAATGAAGATGTTTCAACAAGGGAAACTTTCTTTTCAACGGTATTATTTCATTAGGTTGTACGGTTAGTAGGGGGGTCAAAACAAAACCTAGCACAAATCCATAAAGTCACTGACAAGTGGACAGAGCCATTGTGGTAGATGTAGACTGCCTGGTTAGGGTCTGTGAGACGATCGTAAATGATGGTTAGAGATCTTGAATGACATGGCTCTAAATTGTTTGCAGCAGTGCAGGTGCATCCGATATCTGTTTTCTCTCAAATCCCAATCCTCAGGATTTTTCATCACTTTAATAATATCTGCGAACCCTAATCTCTCCGATTACTGCTAACGCTTCTCCCACCTCTATTACTATGGGATTTGAATTGACGATTGCTCCTCTGTGTTAATGTGGTATGGCAACTTGAGTTGACGTACTTACGTTGTAACTAACTGACTGCAGCGATGCTGCTTTCTCAAATGGAAGGAAAGGATTAGAAGTCGACTCTAAAGATGTCATAGCTCATCTTACCTCACGGATTTCCGTATGTGGCAGCAAGGCCACTTGAAGAGCGGAACTAACACCTAGTTGTCCCTTGAGTTTGCGATCAAGTTCCCAGATCGCTGTGAACAACGATAATTCAACTTCCTATGCAGGTTCTTGATGATACCCCTTTTCATGGAGTGGGCAGCCGGGAAGTGACATCCGTCCTGATACCAGTAACAACACACGAGATCGTCTTTGTCACAGTTAAATACTTCACTCACCTCTTGATAACCCAATTCTAAACTACATATTAGAACTTTTACTGTCCAGTGACTGTGCCAAATAGGACAACAGGCTTCCTTAGCTACGACTCAAGAGTCCCGTTTCATCGATGTATACTGCGTCTTCGAAAGGCGCAAACAGCATCCGAGTAGCTTCATTCGTTTGACCTAATTTTGTCAAGGTAAATAACCAACTTGATTTACTCTTCTTATATCTGGAAGCCCTGTTGCTGCTTCACGTGGCCTCGCTGGTGTAGGTATAGCATTGAGTTCTAGAGCAGAACTAACTCTCTTAGACTGGACTCCAGTAGACAGTCACTTGTGCGCTGTCCGACTAAACGGCACAGTAGGGAATAGGAAAGATAGAGACACTCACTGCCTTTTCGTTGTCTTTGCCTACGCTCTCACTGACTGCAGCTCGAATGAGGTAAGGGGTGAATTTTACAGAAAGTTAGGCGATCTGATGTAGTAATAGTGGTTGGTGACTTTAATGCTCAAGTAGGTAGACTAAGCGAAACTGAAATACACCTTGGTGGATCTCATGGTGTTGCAACTCAAAGAACAGATAATGGTAAACGTCTGTTGCAACTATGCTAGGATAACCTCCTATTTCTGGAAAATACCAGCTCTCTGGAGTACATGTTCAGATTCACTTCGTGCTCTAGTCAGTCAGTCAGTCAGTTGCAACGTAGAACTTCGTACGTAAGTACATCAGTTTATGTCGCCATACCACATCAGCACAGAGATATAATTGTCAATTCAAATCCAATAGTAGAAGAGGTAGTAAAGGTATTAGAAGTAGTCGGAGAGGTTAGGATCAGAAGATATTATTCAAGAAATATGATTCAGTGAGATAAGTTTAGAAAGTAAAAGCTAGAGGTGTTGAAGAATCCAGAAGATTAGGATTTGAGAGAACACAAAGAATAAATGCACTGGCGCCATTGCGAACGATTTTGAGCCATGTCATTCAAGGTCTCTAGCCATCGATTATTATCATCTCGCGGACCCCAAACAGGTAGTCGACAATTACCGACATGGCTAAGTCCACTCGTCAATGGCTTCATGGATTTCTGTCACGTTTTGGTCTGGCCGCCCCTAGCTTTCTTCCAACCTATTCCTACACTACAAAACAAAGCTCGACGAGGCAGTCGGTGATTAGGGATTCGTAACACATGTCCAAACCACCTCAACTGATGAAGTTTCAATATTTCATGTATTGGTCTGCAGTCCCTACCTAATACTCGTTTCATAACGACGGCACTGTTTACTCGGCTGTCCCACGATGCTCGAGCAATGCTTCGAAGACACCAATGATCAAAAATCAGTAACCCACAAATACTTACTCTCATTGGCCATGTTTCACAGCCATAAAGTAAGACGGAGCGAACCACTGCGCAGTACACCCGTCCTTTAGTCAGCAAACGGATATCTCGCCTACGCCATAAATGACGCAGGTTGGCAAAAGCCAATCGAGCCTTTGTATCCTTGCCGAGATTTCGTCAGTCAGCTTGCATAAGGTTAATGTACTTCTTCGGTACACCTTTCAATGACAGACACTGCCACAGAACCTCACGATCCACAGAGTCAAATGCCGCCTTAAGGTCCAGGAAAACAACTATTGTAGGACGCCTTAATGTGTGTCTGTGTTCCAGGACCTGTCGTAGTGTGAAAATGTGGTCTATACAGCCACGTCCAGGTCGAAAACCAGATTGGTTTTCTCGAGTTTGCTCTTCACGAGCTTTCGTTAAGCGTCGAAGTATTACTGAGGCCAATATTTTAGATACTATATTAGTTAGACTTATTCCTCTGTGATTGTCACAAGAAGACTTTCTTATAGATTGGGACAATCAGTGATTGAGACCAGTCAAATGGAATTACGCCCAGTTCCCAGATTCTACCTAAGATCTCAGTCAACCTAGCTGCTAAAACTGGAACACCATCCTTAAATATCTCAGGGGTCAGTCTATCAGGACCTGCAGCTCGTCCTCGCTTCAGATTTCCTAACGCTTTTTCAACTTCATCAAGACTAGGGGGACTTACGTCGACTTGCCATTCACGATGACTGGAGATCGTGGGTAACCGAAGAGTGGCTCGAGGCCAGTTGAACTGATCCATAAAGTGTTCTGTTCATCGATCCAGTCTCCTGGATTGAGAATAAATAATAGTCCCGTCATTTTCTGAGATAGTCGCACTTAGACTAGGATTACTAATACCAGTTTCCTTGATAAGTCGGTAAAGTTGTCTAGTGTTGCCTATCGCCGCTGCCTTTTCCATCGCTTTTGCTTTCGCCACCCATCACTGTTCGCGATCGTTATGTAGACTTTTTATAAGTCTGCGCCTAAGTTGACTTCGTTCTTCATCATGTTGAGAGCCAGGTGGGATGGGTTTTCGGGCATCCATCAGATCGGTGGATGCTACTGAGATCCACGGTTTCATTCTAGCCTTATGGTCAACCTTACTAGCAGATATCACTGCTGTTTCCACAGCGTTTTTGACATCATTCCATCCTGCTCCCGGATGGGAATCGCTTAAATTTTCGTCTAACTGTCTTTCTAGTTGCTCCTGAAATATTTTCTTAGTTTGATTATCATTAGGTAAAACCCTAAGAGGCTTCCTTATGGTGTCTTTCCTACGTCCAGTAAGCCTCAAACAGATGCGCGCTCGCACTAGGGCATGATCTGAATCTAAACATGTGACCCAGAACGAGCGACAGTCTTCTATCGAACCCCTCCATCGGTGGCTGATGGCGATGTGATCTAGTTGAGTCCAACGTTGAGAAGACTTTGGTGGTCGCCAGGTCAGCAGATGCTTTTCCTTATGCATAAAGTTGGTGTTCACTAAGAATAGGCGGTTGTCTGAGTATGCTTGCAACAGACGGTCACCATTGTCTGTTCTTTGAGCCGCGACACCATAACATCCACCTAGGTGTCTCTCCTGCTCACTTAGTGTACCTACGTGAGCATTAAAGTCACCAGCCATTATTACTATATCAGAGCGCCTAGCTTTTTGGAGGAGGTCCGAAAGCTTTCTGTAAAACTCATCTTTAACCTCGTCTGCACTGCAGTCAGTGGGGGCATAGGCAGATACGATGAAGAGGTATCGGCGAGTGTCCCTATCCTTCCGAGTCCTTACAGTCCCGTTCAGTCGGACAGCGCACAAACGACTATCTACTGGGATCCAGTCAAGGAGAGATGGTTCTGCCCTACGACCCAATGCTATGCCTACGCCAGCAAGACCCCTGGAAGCAGCATCAGGGCTACCGGATACACGAAGAGTAAATCGAGCTGCTTCTTTATTCTGACATGGTGTGGCCAAGTGTATGACGCAACTCGGAACCTGTATGCGCGTTTCCGAGACGCAGCATACATCGATGGAACGAGATTCTAAAGTCCTAGCTAAGGAAGCCTGTTGCCCTATTTGACACAATATCCGTACATTAAATGCTCCAACATGTAGTCTAGAGCGAGGTTTAAGGAGACCAGGAACGACGTTTCGCGAACTCGTATCGTCTGCATTAGCTGTGCACTGTGATGAATGAATGTGAGAAGAGTTAGTCGTGGAGATAAGAGAAGTACTAGGGGGTGTAGGAAGGATTTGATTTTGACCAATTCGGTCTCGCGTGCTGTTATGGGTATGAGGGCGGTTGTCACTTCCCGGCTGCCCACACCGTGGAAGGTTGTTTCTTGAGGGACCTGAAAAGGAAGATAGATTAGTATTGGTGCGTGACTGCAGAGCCCAAGGGACAACTGCTTGAGGCCGGTCACGCACGGCCTTTTTATGAAAGGTATTTTGAGGATTAGCTCCGTTCTTAAAGGCCCTTGGTGGGCACCCTTACCCAAGGAGACGGAAATCCGTGAGTTAGGGGAGGTGTGACATTTTTAGGGCCGACCTTTTCTAACCCTTTCTTCCTTGTGAGAAGGCAGCATCGCTGCAGATGCTGGTTGTCCGAGGGAAACACCTTACTGCTGTCACATCTGTATGTAGTCAGCAGTACGACTTCGCCCTCAGACCTTGGGTAGCTGCTTTTAGTCTCATCGTTCTCCAATCGACTTGTCTGGCATGATAGAACCTTGAGGAACATATGTTCCAGCCAGTATAGCTCGGTTGGGTCATCACGATAGGCGAGCCCGACTACCACGTCAAGGTAGCAGCTGCGGTCGGGTTCGTGCTCTAGTACGAGCTCGTATCCGTTGGCGGCTTACTGGACGTAGGAAATACACCGCAGGGAAAGCTCTCAGGGTTCTACTTAATTATGACAAAGCTAAGAGTTCGAGAACAATCAGAAAAACAGATATGTAAGTGATGTCCACCCAAGGCAACTTGGAATAATATGCAGAAAGCTGTAGAAACAGCAGTGACATCTGCCAGTAAGGTAAATCATAACGTCAGGGGGAGGCACTGGATATCGCTAGCGTCTGCTGAACTGATAGATGCTCGAAAACTCATCCCATCTGGCTCTGAACATGATGAGGATAGGAGTGAGTTTAAGCGTGGGGTGGTAAAATGCCTACGCAATGATCGTAAACGGTGGGGGGTAGCGAAATCAAATGAGGATGGAAACGGCGGCGGTGATAGATAACAGTAGACAACTCTATTCAGACTTATCAAGGAACTGGTACAAGAAATCTGACTGTTAATGAGACTATCTCGCGCAGGATGGACAATTCATTCATTCCCAATTCAGAAGACTGGATAGATGGGAAAAACGCTCAAGAGTGCAGCTCAGTCGACCTTCAGCCACATTTCGGTTGCCCACGATCCAGTCATCCTCAATTGCGTATCCATTTAAGTCCTCCGAGTCACTATGAAGTTGAGTAAGCGATAGTGAATCTGAAGCGAGGGAGAGCAGTGGTTCTTGACAGATTGACCCCGGAGACTTTTAAGGATGACGGTCCAGCTTTAGCAGTTAGTTTGACTGAGATCTGGGAACTGGACGTAATCCCATCCGACTGGTCTAAATCACTGAATGTCCCAATTTACAAGAAAGGACAAAAGTCCTCTTGTGACAATCACAGAGGAATAAGTCTAACTAGTTTAGTTTCTAAATTGTTAGCCTCGATTATAATTAGTCGCCTAACTAGAGGTCGTGAAGAGCAGACTAGAGAAACCAGGCTGCTTTTCGACCTGGACGTGGATGTATAGACCACATTTACACATTACGTCAGGTCCTAGAACATAGAGACACGTTCAGATATCCGACATGGTTGTATTCCTCGAAATTAATGAAGTATTTGACTCCGTTGACCTTGAGATCCTTTGGTAATGTCTGTCATTTAAGGTGTACCAGAGAAAAACTTTAACCTTGTATGGGTCTTCTATTCGAACAACACTGTTCGAGTGAGAGCTGATGGAGAACTATCATCAGAATTGATTATTTCAAGCTGTGTTCGTCAGGGCTGTCTACTTTCTTCATTATTGTCCAAATTTATGATTGACGTGATTTTAGGTACGACACTTTCATCATCTGAATTTTTAGGAGTTAAACTTTTGCCAGGGGATCCGCTCTTTGACCTACATTATGCCGATGACACAGTTCTACCTGGTGAAGACTGACGAAATGCAACCTTCTGACCACCCTAAGCAACAATAAGAGCATGTTTGGGATGCGATTCTCACCCTCGAAATGCAAAATGGAGCGTGTTGACCGCTCCACTTGTCTTGGAAGTCTCATCAGTGCTGATGGCCTAGTTTAAACAACAAAGTTGTGCCTTGTCAAAAAGCAACTTGAAACATTAGCGTCGATACACTGCTATTTCCTTACAATCCAAACTGGTTGTCTAAATTCAACAGATCGGTCAATAGGTTTCAGTCATCATTAAAGAATACAGCTCTCATTGCACAGTTATCTCACTAAAAAAGGAACGTTAACAACTGTCACTTATTACTTAGTAAAATATTTTCGGAACATTTAACCTCCGTTTTAATTTACCTAATCAACTTTAAGTGTTATTAACTACTATTTTCATGCTGAGATAACTTATTACAATTTTTCTGAATAGCTATCCTACTACCTTTCGATGCTCATTCATTAGAACACTGCATCGTCCTTAGTTCACATCTATTCTGGAGATCGCTAGTAGGAATCATACAGTTTCTTCCGTCAAAACATTACAATACGTCATGGCACTACATAAATATGAATAAAATCTTTTACGTAATCAATTTACTAAAGTAAATTTCAGCGCAAAATTCACTAAGTAATAATACCTTTTTCCATTGATTGGGTATTCTGGCATCATACATACAATCCAGGGCTTGTCTTAGCTGTTCACTCATTACGATTATACCATCAATAGCCAATGTTAAGTCGACAAGATTTTCACGCATTATCGTAAGTAACTTTTGTATTCTGTTCAATTCTTGGCGTAGGAAAATATTCATTGGTTGTAGCGCGCCCATCTGATTCAAACGTTCATTCACCTCAAATTGTATATAATTAGGTGGTAATTTGTCAAGCATGTCCACAGCCATACGACGTACTACGTCTTCACGTGTTTCTAATGCACCAGTACTTGCGTCTTTTGGTTGGACATTTAATATGCAATCCAAAATAACTTTAGCCTTTTTACTTTGATATCTGTAGATATTTTTATTTCAGCATCAAAAGAATTTAAAATTACTTATGGAATAAGCATATATGAAAAAAACAGTCAGCAAAACAGATTACACTGAATGAAATTAATAATTCAGAATTGTACAAATTATATTTGGAAAAGTTTTAATACCTTTTTAATCTATTTAGCCTCTTATTTATATATCTCCATAATATATATATAATGTATCCTAAGTAAACTATTATTATCACTAAACCCCTTTTAGATCTTGATCAGAAATTGAATTTATGGTTTCTGGATGTAGGTAGTAAAAACAGTAATACTAGCTTAAGATTTTAGAATAAAAAGAGTTAGATTTACCAGTAACTAATCTACCATTCCTACTGCATTAGAGATAGAATTAACTGTAACAGAAATGGAAAGTCCTCCTGGGAGCCCTCTGGGGCTGATGAAGACCTAAATACCAAGGTTGGCATGGACAACACTGGATATGAAGACATCATGGGACGACCTAGGATGGGAGAAAGGAACAAAAATGATGCGGGACTTGCAAACCTATTTGCCTTCAAAAAACTGATCATCGGCGGCACCATATTTCCACACAAACGCATACACAAAGCTACATGGATTTCACCGGACTACACTTGTCAGAACCAAATCGACCATATCTACATCTTAAAAAGTTCAGAAGGGTGATGAAAAAGGTGGAACTAAGACAGCACCTTAAATAGCCTCAAATAATCACTTGATACAGTCCAACAGGGGACTGAAAATCAAAAAGCACTGGCCAGTGGGGTGGACAAAATCACAAAAGTTCAATACACCCTTTCTTCAGAATACTGAAAAGCTCGACGAATACAAGATATCCCTCAGAATAGGTTTCAGGGCTTTCACGAACCACTCATTGAAGAGGAAACTACGGTGGGGGACAGTTGGAAAGCGATCAAGGAGGCAATCACTTCAATATTTCAGGAGGTTCTGGGCCACAAGAAGTACAATCAAAAGGAACGGGTCTCTGTTGATACTCTTGAAAAAGTTGAAGAAAGTAGGAACAAAAAAGCAGAAATCAGCATCAGCCGAGCAACAGCAGACAGTCAAGGTACAAGCTGAAAATACAGAAGCGAACAAGCAAGTGAAGAGGAGCATCAGAGCCGAGAAACGTAAGTATGTGAAAGATCTTGCAATCACGACAGAAAAGGCTGCAAGAGAAGGAACCTTGAGACAATTGTACGATACAACAAAGATGCTCACTGGAAACTCGTAAACCAGAATGACCAGTAAAAAGCACTGATGGCAAAGTAATCAACAACATCGAAGAACAGTGAAACAAGTGAGTAGAGCACTGAACCCACACGACATCGAAGTGGCATCCATGGACCTCCCAAACGATATTGGTCCACCAACATTTGAAGAGCGGAAAAGCAGAGAGACCAGAAAACATTCCAGCACAGGCACTAAAAGCAGACGTGGCAGCAACTGCAGTAAAGATACTCCACATCCTCTTCAGAAAGATTTGGGATGAAGAACAAGTACCAACAGACTGAAAAGAAGGACAACTTAACAAGATACCAAAGAAAGGCGATCTCGGTAAGTGTGAGAACTGCAGACACTATGGCGTGCCTGAGAAGATAGTCAGTATCATACGTGATTCTTACGGTGGATTTAACTGCAAAATCGTGCACGGAGGACAGCTGACAAATATATGAGTTATGATGAGTAATTTGAATGGCAATATCTTAGTAATTGTTAGTGGAACTTTTTTGCTTATGTCTCCAGGTAAAGAGAGTAGATCCGCTAGTAAAATATGTAAAATAGACTTCCCAACTACACCGGTTGGACAGTCGGTCGATAATCGAGCCTATTTCCTCTCATTTATTAATCAAGTCAGAAGTTTTATAAAATTATGATTGAAAAACAAAGCAATTATTCGTTACTTTTTAGTTCCTGATAAATCATTAGAAAAACTGGTGACTGATTATCTTACGCAATATTGACATTTTCATGCAATCCAAATGCTTGAGGTGAATCGTACAATGGGATTTCATTAATAGCATCAAGAAATTCATCTAATTTCTGCACGCGTGGGATTTTGTAACCTGGTGCAAATTCAAATTCTGAATTAAATAAGTTTTCAGTGAACCACAATTTGCAATAGGTGTTCAGAAGCCGATTATCGAAATCATCAGTTACTCGACCGCCATACTGAATTTCTCCAAGCATGTAGCTGACACATTTCCAGTCGATTCCCTGGTAAACGAATTTATGTAATAAAAGAGTGATAATGAAAGAAACTACTGTGCAATGATTATTAATTGAGATTTCCTTACAACGAGTAAGTTAATACTAAGTTGTAAATCAGTATTCAGTTACTGAATATTACTTGATAGGCAAATATCGGAACACACTGGATACGAGCAGTCGAAACTGACAATCAGTACAGTAAAACGGATTATTATTAAGTGAAAATCGGGTGGTTTGAACAGGCTTGAATGTAATAAAATATTTTTTGAGTCAATACAACACAATTTAACGTTCATTGCTACTCAGGAAAAAATACGGTCCGGCACCAGCGAGTGAAGTAAGTTCACAACGCTTATTGGTCGGATAACTGATTGTATGTACTCAATTCCGTAATCGTTTAATTGTAGTAACTTAACCGCTCTGTATGTATGAACTATTTGATTCTTGTTCTCTCAAACTTTCAATCTAAAAATTCGGTTTCAAAATTCTGAAAACTTGGGATACTTTTGTCGAAACTTTTTAAGGATGTGTATTTAAAATAGGGAGAGAGATTATATCGGTTGAGTAGTTGAAGAAACCGAAAAGATATCCCATGCTCAGGTTCTTTACAGATTTGTGGATTCACATCAGCGTCAATATCCACAATCTAAGGGAAAGTCGTCCCTCCTTTGAGGAAAGAACTTGCATTTTTCAGAAGTTACTGTCAACACTTGAGGAACTATAATTCTACTTGAAACTTTCGATTACGAAACATTGAACTGCCATATTTTCTGAGTAATCGATATATTTATGTCACCATTAAAGAGTAGAACGTATTAATGTTTATATGGTGTTAATTTTACAAAGATTTTATGTAGCAATTTTCTCAAGGTACATTTACGTATTTATCAGTGAAAATAGTTCTTCAGCTGCTAACAACGGCTGTGTGAAAAGCATTTAAGAAAATCAACGATAACAATTAACCGAACAGACGTTCGCTATTACTGGCTGGGATTATGACCCATCCTAAGTCGAAAACACCTGACATAATCTATCTAGAATTCAACAGTCATTAAATAATTCTATATTCCTATTAAAGTGAAAGTAATGTTACTAACCAATCAAGAAATACCCTAAATTACAAGATACCGAGTGAAAAAAGAGATTTACGTAGACTTTCTCCAATCATTTGATACTGAATACAGTATATTATGAGGTTTAATCACTTAGCCTATGGCTTAGTAAACCAGGTTTATAACTAAGGAAAAGACATGTATTACATTGAAAAATATCCATTGACAGAGTTATGTGCAAGACATTTATACACTGTAGTCACAAAATAATATTTTTAACAAGTGATTTGTTCAGTTTGAGCTTTAAGGACTTCGGTTCTCATCTCAGTCAGTCAGCCAGCCAGTTACAACGTAGAACTTCATACTTACATACGTACATCAATTCAAGTCGCCATACCACATGATCATAGAGGGCTAATTTTCAATTCAAATCCTATAGTACTAGAGGTAGTAGAAGTATTAGCTGTAATCGGAGAGATTAGGGTTCGCAGATATTATTAAAGAAGTATAATGTGGTGAAACAAACTTAAAAATAGAAAGATAAAGATGATGCAGAACTCAGAGAATTAGAATTTGAGAAAACGTAAAGAATGGATGCACCTACGCCATTGCAAACGGTTTTGAGCCATGTCATTAAAGGTCTCTAACCATCGGTTACTATCATCTCACGAACCGTAGCTGCTACATTAGCGTGGTGGTCGGCCTTGCCTATCGTGATGATCCAACAGAGCTATATTGGAAGCAACATATATTCCTGAAGGTTCTACCATGCCAGGCAGGTCGATAGGAGAACGATGAGACTAAAACCAGCTAATCAAGGTCTGAGGACGAAGTCGTACTGCTGACTGAAGACGAATGTGACAACATTAAAGTGTAGCTCACCTTACCTCACGGATTTCCGTCTCCGGATTTAGAGCTGCCCACTAAGGGCTTTTAAGAGCAGAACTAATACTCAAAAAACCTCTCATAAAAAGGCCGTGCGTGACCGGCCTCAAGCAGTTGTCCCTTGAGCTCTGCGGTCACGCTCTCAGGTCGCTGAGACCAACACTAATCTACCTTCCTTTTCATGTTTCTCAAGAAGCACTGTTTCACGGTGTGGGCAGCCGAGAAGTGACATCCCACCTTATACCCGTGAGAGCACACGAGACCGGATCGGTCACAATCGAATCCTTCCTCCACCTCGGTTCTCATCTGCGATTTTTAGCCTAAGGATACAACTTAGCTGGTACAGATTTCTACAGTATTTAATCATACAACAAGAAAGAATTATCAAGATGAAATAGGAAAGATATATTAAGTAGAATGAAATATATTTGTGTTGTTGTCGTATTTGTTACCTATAGTGCTTAAAACATGCTAAACCTCGATGCATATGAAAGAAGAATACTTTAGGACAAAAATGCATATCTTCAGAACTTTCAAAATGCAACATTTCACTCACTAGTTTCGGATCCATATCGTCCAAGTGATTCTGTGCAAATTGTAGACTGGCATTTAGATCAGATGTATTAAATTCATAGGCAATATTCCAACCTAACGGACCGAATTTCCGTCTCTCTTGTACTGTTGTATGCAGGAAAGATATTGCATAAATCATTGGCTTCCATTGTGGTCGATTATTAATATCTAAATAGTCCTAAATATAGTACATATATACGGTAAAAAGTAGATGAATCTGGCAGTAAAAGAGAGGTTATGATCTTTATTTTAGGAATATTAAATGAGAAACTTTTAGTGAGTATAAATTAACCCAGTCGTTATAACATATATATATATACAATGACTTGAACTGATTCACCACTCCAAACTTACTACAGCTTTTGCGCACTAAGTAATCCTGGTGCACACAAGGAGCAGCGATAAAAAATTAAGACATATAGTTTAATCAAACTTCAAATAGGGTATCTCACAGCTCAGCAGAAGAAAGTAATGATATCTATCCTAGCGTATATATATATACATTTTGTTTATCCAGGATGTGATTCTTGTCCTGTTTACCAACAGAGACTGATCATATCCAGTCCGGGATATCAACAGCAGGAAAATGCAAAACTTTACCAATGATAAGAAGAAAGTTGAACCCTTCTATAATTTTAGTAAAAATTCTGAATATAATCTTTCTTACGGGTCGCTTATTTTTTTTTGAGGGTTTCTTACCAGATTGAATAACTCATACATAATTCGGCGAGTGATATGTTAGGCTTCAATTAAATCAGCTGGTGAGTGACCTACCAAATCACCATCCTGTAAACAAACAAACTTCAGTCATGCTTATTGTTGAGCAAAAAATGTTGTTTATCATATCGCTATGTAGTTTTCGTTTTTGAAACGACTTATTCTAGTTGACTGGCCGTTCTCTATTTTTACATTCATGCTCTGGGTCCTCTCATTGGTAATACAGTACTTCTGAAAAACCATCAATCTCCTATATGGTCCATGCAATCTTGGTTATTTGTGGCAATCCCAGTACCATGATGTGACTGTAATTATTTTCGTTTATAATGTTAACACAAAAGTTAAACAATGAATGGAGTGAAGTTGATTTTTATATTGAATTTGTCAAAATTTAAACAAGTTCTGGCTCTATAAATTTGGGGGGATTCAGCAGATACTGGTGAAATGCTTTGATCCCTGAAAAGTCGAAACTAATGATGAAAGATGTGGGTACTGAAACTGTTAACTTAAAAGAAATATTTTAATACTTTATGTTCATAAAACTTGTAATCACTCTCCAAGTTGACCTATACAAACTGAGACTTTTAATTGAATAATTAGTTCTAAATATTTCTAATTTTGTCTAGCATTTTTTCGCAGTTTTGTTGCTTGTATATGCTTGAAAAGCACATATCTTTCAATCACAATGTGAACAGCTTGTTCTATGCATTCATTCGTATTCGGACTCGCGAATATTTTATTTTCATGAAAATACAATCCATGAGCGTTTTAATAAACACTCAAAATTTCAAGCTCTAAAGATCGAAAAAGCAGAATGAAATGTCTTTCAAGCGATTTGTAGAAATTCCTGATCATGTATGATTGACTAGTAAACCAAACCTAGAAACAGCTAAAATCTAAGGTTTAGAGTTTAAAATTGAAGATATTTTGTAAAGGTTTCCTGCTCAGCTGGCCCCTAAAGTTAGAATACGTTAATTAGACATTTGCATTACCACTTACTTGCAAGATGGTAGTAACCAATGGTTAGAGACCTTTAATGACATGGCTCAAAACCGTTTGCAATGGCGTAGGTGCATCCATTCTTTACGTTTTCTCAAATTCTAATTCTCTGAGTTCTGCATCATCTTTATCTTTCTATTTTAAGTTTGTTTCACCACATTATACTTCTTTAATAATATCTGCGAACCCTAATCTCTCCGATTACAGCTAATACTTCTACTACCTCTAGTACTATAGGATTTGAATTGAAAATTAGCCCTCTATGATCATGTGGTATGGCGACTTGAATTGATGTACGTATGTAAGTATGAAGTTCTACGTTGTAACTGGCTGACTAACTGACTTACCTGCGTAAATGTTGCATATGTACGTTTCAAACCAGCTCTAATGCCTTGAGGTGGTTCATTTGTAAACTTAATCGACGTTTGTAAAAATGCAATCGGAAACTGAGTATGTACTTCAGTTGTGACCCATAAACGAAATTCTGGATGAATTTGTTCAATTTCAGTTATTTGATTTAGCAATTCAGCAACATACGTCAATGATAAATGACAATTTTGCAGAAGTATCCATCCTCCTGTTGTTATTAAATTACTGACTAGACGTTTAGCATGAATCTCTTGACCTTGGCCCATAGAAATTGTTTTACAATCAACCTGAAAAAATTACTATTCTTATTAGGATTTAAGGTATACATTCAATCGAAATGGAAACAAAATCATCATTTGAGATGGAAACATAAACATGTGAATCAGTGAAATGATCTTAATTAGTAGTAGAACATGTTATGATTTCTATGTTGATTTGTTGAAGGGATTAGCCTAAGGGAATCATAGTTTGAATAATGACTAATGAACAAAAAATACTTGGAACTCACCACCTACGGTCCCTGGGATTATCAGGGTAGAGAAATATAAAAAGGCTAATTTATTTGTTTCTGGTATTCATTTAAAGAAATTCAAGACAATTTTTAATGTTATTAAGTTGGAGGAAATCGGCAGTATTATATGTATATGAGGTCTATCTATTGAAAAAATGAATATGAAAGGCAAAGAACGGGTTGATCCACGGTGTAATTCGCCTCAGCATCAGAAAGAGATAAATTAAACCATGAGAAGAAATATTAGGATGATTAATGCACAATGTGAATGAGTAGAAAATGAATCAGTCGGTCATCGTTTAAAGTTCACAGAAACACAAAAAAAGACAGCCAACCAGATTGACATCAAGAATTAAAATAATAGTATTGTCTGTTAGAATAAAGACAGAAAATGCAATGCGAGTAATGTGAGGGAATAGAATCAATCAACACTTGGTATCAGAGTATCTATTGGCAAGCTTGTTAATATATAGGTATCATTACCAAGGTTTGACTTGATAGTGTCAAATAAATTGAGCATAGGATGGATTGTAAATGATAAAAGTAATATGTTTGTAGTATCCTAATGATTAGAAAAGTGAAAATTTTGACGTTCCGTGACTTAGTGCAAGCCATTTCTTCAGCGGAATAAAGCAAAAACATTTAGCAAAACCCATCAATTAATCAAAATACAAGTTCAATCACACATGACACTCCGGTCAGTGTGTGAATATTCTTGCGTGTTGAAGGTGTGGAGAATGTAACATTTGTAATGTAAAAGGATAGAGTTGAATTTGTATGCAAGATATGGTGTGAGATGTGAAGATAATCAGCTATGGTAGCTTGGATAGATGGTTCAAGCCGGGTGGATGGTTAGGTCTTCTTTTCTATTGAGGGAAGTAGGAATTAGCATTGTATGGAGAGCTTCAGCTATTCCCCTTTTTTGAAGTTTTTGATATTTTTAATATTGACTCGATGGTTAACGAAGATGGCATGTACTATTATTGGTGATTTAATTTGGAACGTTTTAATCTTTACAGGATTATCAGGTGATTTTTTCGAGTATTTAATGTTTTCTTTGGCTTGAGTCAAAATTTCATGAGATGACTGTCCAGTATAGAAAGAGTCACAATTGACACACCTTAAAGATGATCTTATCATCTATACAAACTAAAGTTTTACGAAAGGTATTAGTTACTTTTCAGTATGCTTTAATTTTGCATTGTTTTAAGACTCTTAAGTTCTTGTGTTGTATCATGGTGGTGCTGAATGGAAGTCAATGAGGCGATTAGTGTTTTGGTTTTTGGCATATACATAGATCTGAAGTCTCACTTAGGTTTCTTTTAACTAGGCAATCTAAAACTGATAGATCACTGTGTTCATTTTCATTTTCGTAAATGAATTTATTAAGGCCGGGGAGCGTGTTTTATATAGTCACAGAAGTATCGTCCACATATCTACATATCTCGTGGTTTAATGTCATTGGTGAAAATATCTGATTCTACATGCAGTACAAAAAGGTTGGCTACAATCGGGGACACTGGCAATCCCATTGCTTTGGTTTGTCAGTTCAGCGTTCTGTTGAAGGTAAAAATGGTTGAGTTTAAGCATACATAGCTTTAAGGATTTCATGATTAAACTGATGCTTAAAGGACATCTACCAGATAGATTATGATCTTTCTCCACTAAACCACTAATAAAGTCTAAAGATCAATCGACAAGAATGCTGGTGTATAAGAATTCAACCTGATTAGACAGTGCTATGACAAGATTATTGTTTATTTAGTTTTTTTATTATTATTATTATTGTCTTTAGTATTAGACATAAGTGATATGCTTGTTGAATATCATCACATAAATTTTCCATGGATATGGAACAAGGTCGAATGAAAGTGTCCTTAGTAAATAACAAGTAGTTTAGACAACAATCTCAAAAAAGTTTTGTTGATTGTACGGGAAACCTGGTGGCTTAATGAGTCATTGAAGTGTCATTTTCAAAAATCACTAGCAGCTGATTGGAAAACCTACGTAATTCTACCATTCGCTTACAGTTTATCATTTTCATACTTTAAAAATAATAATCATAACGACTATTACAGTTATGCAGTACAGCAGGACACATATTGAAGTATGTTTAGCGTGCTTATTGACAATCATAATAACTACTAAACATTTAAGAGCAATACAAACAAACTTACCTTGTACTTCTTGGCTAACAATTCTATTTGTGTAGTGGGATCCGAACCAATACTAAGTAATCCAACCATTGGCCAAAGAGGCGTTGATTCCTGGTAGACACCATCTAAATCAAGCGTAAATCCCTCAGAAAACTTTCTACCTAAACAGTCACCTACATAAATATTTGCTTGATTCATTATGCGGTCTGGACACCACGCTCGAATAAGTAGGAGGCGTTTAAAGGTGTCTACATTTGATTGGTAGCCGTCAGGAATAGGTTCTAATTCAGGTGAAGGTTTGTTCGTCCATTGACGCCAACCACGTTCATTACTAACTACTTGATCTAGAATACTAGCGAACTGATTTAAATTCGATAAAGCTACTAAATTCAACCAAGTTGTATCTGTAATCCATTTAAATGGTTTCGGTTTTACAGTGTTTAAATCCAGAGACGCACCACCTGTAAAAAATAAGATAGAATAAAAATTGCTGATCAGTAAACATGTATATACCTTTACGGGGGGCGGGGATCATTACATTGCTTGTATACTGGTTGAATATCTTACCATGCACTATTGGGCTAAACAAACTCTAGTTTACTCCACGGTATTTGTTAGTAATTTGAGATCTTTTAGGAGCTTTCACATACACACATAAAACATAACGGATTTCGAGTGCCACCCAAATGAAATAAGACTGATTAGCCTATCCTTTATTGTTGCTTAAAGTTTGAGAGATTCATCCCAAACTGTGCAACAATATACCGCAACCGTGGACGGACGCTTGGCGAGGGGATGCACGGACATTCCATCTACCAGCAGACGCTATACAAGCATTAGAGATCACTAAGCGAGTACTAAATAAGAAGACAATGTTATAACGATGAAAGGGCGAAGCACCACTAGATGTCATGACTGGTTCATCGAATATGGCTGTTGGAGCCGTATTGCAGCAGCTCATAAATGGCACATGGGAACCACTTGTTTAAATACGTCGATAACAGTATCGACTATTATAGATTTGTAATAAATTCGATCATTGTGTATTTTGAATAATAAAGTGAATCGCGACAGCGGTTCGCGTTATAGTAACAGTTGTTAGGACGGCGGTATACGAAGTTTAGGAATCTACCAAATATCCACAGAAAGGATCGAATTCGGTCAATGCACCACAGATTTGTTTCCTAGTGTCAGTTAAAAACATTTAAGCCGAAAAGTTTAACCCTACTAGAACTTGATAATCAAACCTTGACCTTTTGATAAATAATCGAATAACACTAAGTTTTATAAAAAGAAGGACTTCCTAATAGCCTGAAAATGTCCTTAAATAATGAAGTCCCTTAAACCAAAACAATGATAGCCTACCAATGTCTAATTATTACTAATGACCAATAGGTGTTACCGTTATTATGCCCATAAATACCTTTGATAAAACACTGGAATTCCTCATGTCTAACACGTCCAGCTTGCATATCAATTTTCAACGCTAACAGAAGAGAAAACGTCGATTTGTCAACTTCATACAAACCACGAATGATATATCTCCATACGTCATAAGTCATGTAATCAATCACATTCGTAATACGTTTTGTGGTAATTGGAGACTTTTCAGATCTAAAATATAAATAAAAATCACAGGTCAGTTTTATATTTATTTGAAAAATCAAAGAACTGAAAGTTCCCCTTAGGTGTTCTAAAACATTGAGTTGACATATAACTAGACGATTCAATTTATGGAGAATTATGCAGTCAAAACCCTCGTTGAAATCCAACCTCCCCACTTAGTTAAGCCCTTGCATGACCAATTAGTTTCCCCTGAGATTAATTAGACTATCGTGTATGTGAGCTGAATCGGCTTGAGAACTAAACAATAACGGTGAACAGGTCAATTATACGAAAGAAGCTAAGTGCTTTAATTAAGTAAGCTTTTATGTGACGGGGTATGAAAATTGAAAAAAGGTTAAATAAAGAGTGGTACAAAATTAATGTAATGAATTTTTAAATCTTAAACGAAGTAGCTGTCCAGCGCTTACAGATTTTCAATGATTGTTGATTAGTCTGTGATGTCAGTCAGTCAGTTACAACGTAGAACTTCGAACGTAAGTGCATCAGTTTAAGTTGTCACACCACATTAGCACAGAGACGCGATTGTCAGTTTAAATCCTATTGTGGTAGAGATAGTTGAGGTATTACTTGTAATTGAGAAGATTAAGGTTCAAGAAGTACAATTCAGTGAGGTAAATTCAGAAAGAGAAAGAGGTGATGACGACTTCAGAATCTTAGAATGTGATACAACACAAAGAGTAAATGCACCTGCGCCATCGCAAACGATTCTGAACCATGTTACTCAAGGTCTCTAACCATCGATTATTATCATCTCACGGACCCCAACCAGGGTAGCCGACACCTGCCAACATGATTCAGTCCACTTGTCAATAACTTCATGCATTTCTGCCATGCTTTGGTTTGGCCGCCCCTAACTTTCTTCCAACCTATTTTTATATCGCAAAACATAGCTCGACGAGGCAGTTGGTGGTCGGGCATACGTAACACATGTCCCAACCATCTCAACTGATGACATTTCATTACTTCATCTATTGACCTGCCATCCCCACCTAGAATTCGTTTCCTAACGATAGCATTGCTTATACGGTTGTCCCATGATACACGAGCAGTGCTTCGGAAACATCGATGATCGAAGACTAGTAACCTACGAAAGTCTTCTACTCTTAACGGCCATGCGTCGCATACGTATAGTCGGACGGAGCGAACTGCTGCGCAGTACACTCGTCCTTTGCTTAGCAAACGGATATCTCGCCTGCGCCATAGATGACGAAGGTTGGAAAAAGCCAGTCGAGCCTTCTGTATCAGTGCTGAGATTTCGTCACACACCAAGCCATCAGCACTGATGAGACTTCCCAGATACGTGAAGCGGTCTACACGTTCGACTACTTCACTCCCTATCACTAGTTCCAGTGAAGTAGCACGACGATCCTGAAGCAACATTTTGCATTTCGAAAAGGAAAACCGCATCCAGGCCGAAAACCAGCCTGGTTTTCTCGAGTCCGTTCTTCAAGAACTCTAGTTAGGCGACTAAGTATAATCGAGGCTAACAATTTAGAAACTATATTAGTTAGACTGACGGCTCTGTGATTGTCACAAGAACACTTTTGTCCTTTTTATAAACACGGACAATCAGTGATTGAGACCAGTCAAATGGAATTACGCCCAGTTCCCAGATTCTACGTAAGATCTCAGTCCATCTAGCTGCTAAAAAACTGGACCACCATCCTTAAAAATCTCAGGAGTCAATCTATCGGATCCTGCTGCTCTCTCTTGCTTTAGATTTCCTATCGATTCCTATCTACAGCAGACGGTCGCTGTTATCTGTTCTCTGATCCATCCAGGTTTCTTTTATTCTGGCTGAGACCACCTACTTGGGCGTTGAAGTCACCAGCCATTATTAATATATCAGAGCGCTTAACTTTCTGAAGAGGTTCAGAGGGGAATGATATCAAAAAGGCTGTGGAAACAGCAGTGATATCTGCTAGTAAGGTAAACCATAAGCCTAGAATGAAGCCTTAGATGTCGGTAGCATCCACCGATCTGATGGATGCTCGAAACTCATTTCATCTGGCTCTGAACATGATGAAAAACTAAGTCAGCTTAAGCACAGGCTGATAATAAGCTCTGCTCTTAAAAGCCCTTAGTGGGTAGCCTTAACGCCGGAGACGGAAATCCGTTTATTGAAACTTCACAAACATCTAATGTGATCTCATTACTTCGTACTACTAACTTACATGTACATGAAAGAAGTACCATAATATTCGGTAGATAATAAACGGATTAAAATCAGCTTTGTTTCGCAAAAACTCATTATTTATTCATATGAAAAGTGTTATGAAAATTTACTTTAACTAGCCTCTGTAAACATGAAGTAAAATAATAGTCCAAAAATGGATGGCTCAAAATCATTTACAATGGCATCCATTCTTTATAATCTCTCGAATTCGTATCCTATGAATCTCTCATCACCTTTATCTCTCTCTTTTTAAGTTTATTCTAAAGGGTTATACTCCAAGAAAAATATCTTTGAACCCCAATCTTCTCGAAAGTAAAACAGATTCTCCTTCGTATAACTGTCAGAACTTTAATTATACCTGAATTTCTTTATTTCCTGTACATGTGGGCCAGAAATATAGTAAAGTGAATAAACTAATGTGGCGAATAAATGTATAACAAATTTTTCACTACTGATTTACGCACAAAACTGTTTTAATTACGTCAAAATCATACAACGCACCTTGCTAATGACTGATCGAACAGCGATAAAAATTGACGTAATGATGTTTGATACATACAGTTGATCAAGCTCATTTCAACAATTGCGAAATATAACACTGAACCTCGTGTTGCTACTGGTCTATACTCTTCTCTGGCACTGGTTATCTGCATTTCAGTTTCAGAGGCAATTCCTAGCTTTCGTGAAACCTCACTAGCTGTTGTTTTAGTAGAACTTAATACACTAATCAAATCAATATCATCTACCAATGAACCTTGAACACTTGCTAGACGTGATAGCAAATTATCTTCTAATTCTTTAATTTTTGTTTTATTGGATTGAACATCAAGCATTAATTGAACACGCTGAGCTTCCAGTTCATGTCGTTCACTCATTATAACACGTCCAAGTAACTGTTCTTCTAAACCTTTCATTGTGACTGTGAAATCGATAATCGAGGTCCTAGCAGAGATTTCAGGTGTAAATGATGGGTTGGGTAATTTGGTTGTAATATACAATCGGAAGGAAGGTAATACATCAATTTCTTTATCAGCTACCTTGACCTGAACAATTAAATAAAATTACGAGATGCCATGATGAAACTATTTTTTAAAATAGTAACCAAAAGAATAAATTTACCATAAACTTGATTTTATCTCATAAATTTTTGTTAAGAAAGCTTGTAATTAAACTCAGGATTTGCAACAACTCTGAATTACATTACTAACAGCTTTTAATCAGTGATAAGGAATTCTTATCTTGTTTGTCGCATGAAAATTTAACTTACATAGGATCTTTAATACACTGTCACACCAAAACTCAAACACATCACTTAATATTTCTATCCTTAGATTTTTCTGAACCGACTATTCACAATGTACGTTACCTTTTAACAAATAATTTTATGAATATAAACATATTGAAATCATGTCCCAATTATCAAGATTTGCAAGGATTGAGAACTTCAGTGGGCTTACAATACTTCGTTTCAACTAGCAACGAACGCATTGGTGTTTGGAGGGACTTAATTATTGATTTTGAAACAATTTAAAGCAAAGAATCAGCAAGAAATTCATATAAGAATGGAAAAATGTACTTCTACATATTGAAAAATACAGTATAAGAAAGGCGCTCATATTTATTTGAACATACTGTAAGTTATACTGATTATTTTTTTCACTTACATGTATATCATTATCATAATCTTAAAAGTAATGTTAGGATTCTATAGAGGACTGGAATAGTCCCTATTGAAGAGCTTTTTCGATCCTTTCCTTTCTAGCCTATCATTTTAGTCTCAAAATCTGTAAATGCTAGAATACATCAAGGGTGAAGTAACAGCGGAATGTTTCTGAAGAGCAGTAGAATGAGAGAACGGATTTTTTGATAACTATTAATATCGGCATGATGGTCACCTTAAAATATACAAGAGCTTTCAAGTAGACTCATTTGGATCTCTATTCAAAGTCACAGTCATATAGAATACTTATTTCCCCAAAGTTGCAATTATCATTACACTACATAAATTTCAACAACTATTAATTTAACATGAACATCCGTCCTACATGTCTTTACCTTAAAAATTGAACCTTGTTTGATAAAATTTTTCTCCAGTACATCATTCATTGCTGGATCTAAATCTTCACCGATATCTTCAATCAGTAATGGACGTCCAGCTGACAAGGCATCTTCTAAGTGTTGTCTGAAATACTTATTCCACAATGTAGTTATAATCAAGTTATGCTGTTGCTCACGACTTTTTATCCACGCTTTTCCCTGCCCTTGTGGATCGATTAGCAACGGATAACGACTTGCCTGATCAACAATGATGCCATTTTGTACGGATAATTCATCACTGGGTAAACCTTGAATTTTCCACTCACCCAGCTGAACACAAAAACGTTAAATGAATGTAATGTAGATAAAGTCTGAGAATAAATTTCACAAAAGGCCATATACTTAAGTATTACTAAATTCAATTAATTTATTCAAATTTAATTGGCTTTGGAAAATATTTCATTTAAGCGAAAGACGATTAAGACAAACAATGATGGAAGGTCAATTGTAATAGATAAAACGAAACGCCTCTAGGTATATAGTACATAAACCCGATCTTTTTGTGAATTCTAAGGTACACAAATGATAACTAATAAACTTTCTTTCAGAACTTTTGTACACACAAAGCAATAACAAGTAATAATTTAGAATTTCATTCTAATATTGTCGCTAGCTGCAGCCGTTCTAGGGTGACTGACGGCCTCGAGCTAGGATAAAGGAAGACGGTTGGGTGAGCAACCCACCCAGTAGAAAACAAACAAATATACTAAAAAAGAGCTAGTCAGAAAAACCATCTAAACTCTACGTAGTTAGAGCATACTATCCGAGGCATTGAAAGCAGAAATAGTAGTAACTGCAAAGTTATTCCATGCTCTCTTCAGCAAGATTTGGGACGGAAAACAAGTACCAACAAACTGGAAAGAAGGAAACCTCATCGAAATACAAACGAAATGAGATCTGAGCAAGTTTTAGAACTACGAAAACATCGATTTACTATCAATACCAGGAAATGTCTTCAACGTGTTGTTGAACAGAATGAAGGATTCACCAGATGCCCAACTTCGAGATTCCATACGGGTCGATCTTGTACCGACCAAAACGTGACACTACGGATCATTGTAGAACAATCAAGTGAATATAACTCATAATTCCATATCAACTTCCTTGACTATGATATTATGAAACCTTCTTCGATACTATGTAGTATCTGAGACGATAGTCAACATCTTCAGATAGACTACACTATCAAATCGTGCATGGAGCGCAGCTTTCAGATGGATTCCTAGTGAAGACCAAAATCAGATTAGACTCCTTACTCTAACTTTCTCCTTCTTTTGGCAGTTGACTGCACTTTGAAGACTTTCACATCTCAGGGGAAGCATAAAATACAGTGGACAGTTTGAATGAAACCAGATAGTTTAGACTTCACAAACGATGGAGCTCTCCTATCCCACACACAGCGACAAATGCAAATGAAGACGGACATTTTAGAAGCAACATTTGCTGCAGTGGATCTCAATACACGAAGGGGAAATACAAAGATCCTCCGGCACAACAAAACACACGCCAGCCAAATCACACTTGACAGTGAAGTTTGGAAGGTGTGGTAACTATTAAATATGTCGGCAACAGCATTATTAAACAAGGTGGATCTGGTGCAGATATGAACACATGGATTAACAAAGCAAGTGCAGCATTTCTACTACTAGTTGTAAAACAAAAATTCATCTGGAAAAGGTGTACACAGTAAAGGGTGAATATCAACTTATCAGTTTTATTATTTATAGCTTAATTGTTTAAACAAGTAAAAATAGGTGACTTGATAACTAACTTGAGTTGGCCGAGTTAACATGGAGATTAAGTTAACGATTGTAGACCCTGGTATATTATATTGACTTAACAGTCGCTGCCATGATTGGCATAACATTTGTCTAAATTCTTGATTGAATGGACCGCAATAAGAAAGAAATCCAGTTGCAACAAGTACATCACCAACCAGACTAAAAAAATATGTAAAAACAACAGAAACAAAATTCTAAAGCATATTAAGAAATTTTTTAACATCCTATGTCTAGTAATCTATTTCATTTCATTGTGATTATTGACTGAAATTGCCTTGATTGGTTTAACATTTTCATCATAAATATTCATGTATATTAGGGTAAAGCCTGATGACGATCTAATCGAAAACAATATTGTTCGCTTATATGTGTTGTTCTAATTGGATAAGCACAAAAATGCTTTTAAATTAAATAATTATGTAACAGTCTGATTAGTATGAATTAAACTGAAGTGATATTAAATGTAAGAAAGAAAAATTTTTGTTCTCATTATTATTATTATCATTATTATTATTATTATTATTAGTTGTATTTTTAAACAGGAATCAGTTATTTTAATCCCACATCATTCTTCTTGATTATTATTCACTTGTTATAATCGCTTTAGCGTTTTTCATTTTCTCTGAATGGAAAACCATCCCTCATTTATCTGACCTCATCCTGCTATTCTATCTGGATTGTTACTTAACTTTCTGACATTGTAATAACACCATCCCACTTACAAATTATGATTATGTTTAATACTTGAAATCTTTTAATAATCATGACCATGTTACGCTGTACCACTTCATTTTTATTGTTGTTCATGCGAATAAGTTTGATAGTTAATAATATTGCAGTTAATAATATAGTTACTAATATTGTAAAACTCCTCAACTTCACTAAAGACCATGATGTGACAGATTACATATAAATACGATTGTACAGACCTAGAAAATGATTAAGTCGGAAAGAAAATTTTCTTTGCTGAATTCTCTCCATGTCTATATAATTTAAACTGTTTAAACTCTGCCGTGGCAGTTGGAACGTCTTCATTTACATGAGTTATGACAGCTTATGCAGAAAGCTGAGTTTCTCCGAAAGTCACGAGGCCTGTGCCTCCTCTGACATCCAGAGCAACAGTTACTATAGGGACATGGAATTTTCTCACAGTGTCGGAGATCAAGAGTTGAATTGATGCTATCCAACGAAGCCCGAAAATCGCCTATAGAAGTGGAATCTCATGGACCCGGGATCATCAATGCATCCTTCAAAATAAGGAAAAAGCACATTACAATGAACATCAAATGGTGATATGAACCCATAAACGACAACAATGAAGACGATAAAGGTCAATTTCACGAGATGCTACGGTTTATCGTAGAGATATGCCCGAAAATGTTTGACTATTCTAATGGGAGATCTTAAGGCGACGGTTGGAATGGATATCGTACAATGACATGAACTAGAAGCAACGAATGAAAATAGTGAGAGATGTGCAAATCTATGTGCCTTCAACAAACGCGAAAACAAAGCTACATGGATTTCAACAGATCATACTATACAGAAAAGAATCGATCACATCTGCATCAATAAAAAGTTCAGAAGGATGATGTGGGACGTGAGAACGAAGATAGGAGCTGATATAGCGTCAGATCATCACTTGGTGGTAGTGAAGACGAAACCGAAACTATAAAAGACCCGGACAACTGGACACAAAAACTTAGGGGTTTCATGCAGCTTTTCTTCGGGATACTGGCAAACTCAACGAATTCGAAATAGCTCTCAGCAATGTTTCAAGACTTTTATAATTTATTTCAAGAAGAGGTTAATATAGAGAAGAACTGAAAAGAGTTAAGGAGGCAATGACTTCAACATGTCATGAGGTTTTGAGCCACACGAAGCACTATCATGAGGAATGGATCTCTGTTGACACTGGATAATATTCAAGAAAAGAAGAATCAGACCGCAATCAATGTTAGCCTAAATGGCCTGTCAAGAGCAAGGAAGGCAAAGGAGCCACCGACACTGTAGAACAGCGAAACAGGTAGGTAGAGAACTTTGAAGATTTCTGGAATACAAATATCTATGATACGCGAAGGTGACAAATTTGATTTGGCTGTAGACTGTGTCAATTAAAATTCGAATCCGTTTGGAGTCATAAATGTTTGTGAAGCGTAATTAAATATATTGATACAAATTACCTTAAAAAGTTTGTAATGAAAAAAGCCATTACATCTAGTTGTCATCAAGAGAAGTATGTCACACATACCATTCAATATTTTCTTTAAATGTCTGACTCTGTTCTGTCCAGCGTGTTTGTTCATCTTCTAAACTCCTAATAAGTTTTGAGGCAGCGATCATTTTACGTCGACACAATTCAGCATCCTCAATTAGAGCATTTTTCTTACGTAATGCTTCTTCATAAACCGCCTGAACTTTAGCTAACTCACGTTCTTTTTCATCAAGTATTGCTTGAGCATCCTATAAAAACAAGTGTATGAAATAAGAACGAACGGCTTTATTCAAGCCCATAACAATCACAATCAGTTATTGTGAGATCACGTTTTGATCAAGTTAGCATAACCTTAGTACTCAGTTGACCTAAATTATAAGGATAGTGGATCTGTTTGTTTCACAGTAAACTGCAGGATGCTATGACTTGTGACGATTTCAAAATATAAAAATGTTGAACCATTGACTTTTACCTTGAGGACACAATAGATCTAACAATTCGGGATAAATAAATGAAACGTAATATTTCGGTTATACTATGGCAATCGTAATAAACGTCAAACATGCCAACCACCTGTTTAGTTTTTATTTTTTAAAAATATTTTAGTACTGAAATCGTCTTGTAGTACATTCGAAGACTAGTAACTACACCTAACTAATGCCACAAAACTATTTGATTCCTTGGCATGTTCCTTGACATATTTTACAATTAGTGTAATTGTCATCATTTTTAGACTGGTTTAAAAAGATATCTCAACACAGCGTAAGCTTATAAAACCTCTGAATAGCTCAGGCTATCAGGAGTTGGTTGGGATGAAGTAGAATCATCTACTCCTTTTTTCATTGTGAAACTAATAGAGCTGAATTTCGGATACTATAGGTTTATTTTGAAATAGGTTTCAAACACTTATCTCAATACTTTTAAATATTTTAGTACATGTTGTCTTACCGATGATGCACCTTGTCAACTCATAAAGTGTACATGCAAACAATCAGTTGCGTACAACGCTTACATTTGCTTTGCTGAAGTGGTTATTGATGAATGATTCAGTTCATATTTTGTCAAGTAAGCACCACAGACCGTTTGCAATGTGTTAAATCATTTATAAGTTGATGGGGAAACTATTATTCAAAAACTTTATAATGATCACTTACATTTAAATCAACCATAGCTTTAGCCAATCTAGCTTCTTGTTTTACTAAGTTGTCTTTCATTGGTAAAACATCTTTATTGATCGTATAAAAATAAGCCATCGCCTTTGTCCATGACAACAGACCAGCGACGTTACCACAAGCCTTTTTGCCAACTTCAAGTGTGTAATCTTCCATATTCAAATATGGTTCCAACAACTCCACAGTTTCGCCATTAATAGTATCTTTTGGAAAAGACACTAGCATGGACAAGAAGCCCGTATTCGTCATCAGTTTTAAAGATTCACTCCAACTGGGCTTTGGACAGGGCCGTTCTGGATCACTTCGATATGGTTCAAGATGACGTTGAAACAAAAGCAGTACACAATCCATGATGCGCATAATTAAATGTGGTGGTTTTCCTAATCTTCTAACTGTAGCTATATCAGCTGGTTTTATGGTATTCAACGCCTCTTCAGCTTCTTGTAAGGCTGGTTTAGCTGCTTCTAATTTTGCTTCAGCCAAAGCTTTTTCACGATCAATATCATCAACTATGGCCTGAGCTTTATCTTTGACAACTTGTACTTTGTTTCTTACTTCAGTTGCTGCATTTTGTTGAACAGTAACCTAAATAATCAGAAGAGTAATAAAATAAAGGAGCGGGCGTAATGATACATTTTGGAAAGAGAAAAATCCAAAAACCTAATCTCACTTGCTATCATCATTAGCAATTCTAAAATCCTTTGTTGTGTATCCCTTTATTTCAGCGTCTTAACATTAGTATGGAGTGAATAAGCTATTACAGTAGCGACAATGTGCACATGTACGTTTTGATTACTGGACATGTTTTCGATACATTTAAACTAACTATTATGTTCAAAAACAGATAACTAATAATGATGATTCCTAAATGAACTGGGAATATACGCCATACGAAAATATCAAACAGGTAATTATAAATGATTGATTATTGGATACGTATGGCAAGTGTTTCCGTCAAAGTTTGTTTTATAGCATTCTTATGCAGATATCATTAACAAGTTTGTCTTGACACTTATCAGTTGTATTTTATGCAGTTCAGAATAATGATTTAAGAATGTAGATACGTCGCTTAGGCCCGCCTCATAGGTGCTTTATTATCGTTCAATCACGTCTAGTCGTAAAGAGCACGTTAACTTTCCATCGTGTTTTCTGTTTTTGAATGACGATTTTGGTTAGTCATAAGCACTGCAGGACCTAGCAGAAATACATACCGAACCAAACTGTTCAACCCTGCATAAACCACAACCATAGCTGCTACATTGACGTGGTGGTCGGGCTTGCCTATCGTGATGATCCAATCGAGCTATATTGGCTGGAACATAGGTTCCTGTAGGTTCTATCATGCCAGATAAGTCAACAGGAGGACGATGAGACTAAAACCAGCTACTCAAGGTATGAGGACGAAGTTGTACTGCTGACTGAAGTAAGGTGTGACAACATTAAGGTGTTTCCCAACTGGATAACCAGCATCTGCAGCGGTGCTGCCTTCTCAAATGGAAGGAAGGGATTAGAAAAAGTCGACCCTAAAGATGTCATAGCTCATCTTACCTCACGCATTTCCGTCTCTGGCGTTAGGACTGCCCACTAGGGGCTTTTAAGAGCGGAGCTCAGTCAGTCAGTCAGATGCAACGTAGAACTTCCTACGTAAGTACATCAGTTCATGTTGCCATGCCCCCATAATTGTCAATTCAAATCCAATAGTAGAAGAGGTAGTAAAGGTATTAAAAGTAATCGCAGAGGTTAGGATTAGACGATATTTAAGAAATATGATTCAGTGAGAAAAGTTTAGAAAGTCAAAACTAGAGGTATTGAAGAATCCAGAAGATTAGGATTTGAGAGAACATAAAGAATAAATGCACCGGCGCCATTGCAAACGGTTTTGAGCCATGTCATTCAGGGTCTCTAACCATCGATTATTATCGCAGAGACCAACACTAATTTACGTTAATTTTCAGGTTCCTCAAGAAACAACCTTCCACGGTGTGGGCAGCCGGGAAGTAACATCCACACTCATACCCATATATGCACATGAGATCATCTTGGTCACAATCAAATCCTTTCTACACGGTTCCTCAGTATTCATAATAATACTATTTCTAGCTTTTGTAAAATAATTATTTATCTACCAGCTACGTTTTACATAGAGGCTAATGAAATGATAAAGAAGACCCTCAGCCTAAAGTGAGGATTTCATCGCACTGCCTGGCATGGTGGAACCTACAGGAACCTATGTTCCAGCCAATATAGCTCGATTGGATCATCACGATAGGCAAGCCCGACCACCGCGTCAAGGTAGCAGATACGGTCGAGGCGGAACGGTGACCAGTAGTTGACAAGACCCAACTCTCGATTTAAGCTTCTATTCATATGATACTCTGATTCATCTGTGAGAAGATATCTTAGTCGACTTATCTTCCAAATAATAAAAATTAGATAACTGTAGAAACTGGTGAATAATCTGTTTACTTATAGATAACCAATTGCACTGAATGGTTAAATATAATATAATGTAACCGGATGAAGTAACATGATTAAAGTAGCCATGTTCCGTTGTGTAAATGAGAACAATGTATATGAGTAACTGTTATCTTCTTAACTTATTGTAATAGTAACAATGAAAAAATTAAGAACTTAAAAATAACAAAGTCACCAGAAATTTCAAATTTTACCTCCGATCAACACAATACTAGGTTACCTAACTCTGTGAAGATTTGACATTTCCACAGATTTTACTAAGCTTTGGTTACGATCAAATAATTTTTGAAAATTCCAAATATTTTCAGAGTACTCCGAATTCTAAGCTATCAGTTAGTCAAATTTTCGGGAAGAAAACACTTCCGTAACAAATAATGTGAACCTTATACAAAAAAGTTAAAATGGTTTTATTTAAGATACGATTGAAAGATTTGACATACTGTCCGAAGTACTTCTTCAGCTTCTTTATTAGCAACATCAAGATCTTTTTCTTTCATGGCCAACTCTCTAGTCAATTGAGCAACACTCTCTTGAGCCTCAACTAGTTTTTGTAAACCACCATCAATGCGTTTAGACAAACTCGCATAATGGTTATGTTGTTGCAAATATACTGATTTATAACTGCATAAAAATGACAAATATGATTTTGGTGTAACGTGAGTTGGTCGTCTATATCTAAAATTTCGAGAGGAAAACAATCACAACAAAAGAATTACATATATATTCTTTAAAGTTTGATTACTTAAAATTCAGCTTGTAATAAAATGCCCAAGTCATCAGACAGGCTCAATACGTTTATGTGAAATGTAAAACATTTAAGAGTTATTTCGAATTAGCAAATAAACACCATTCCCAGAACAGAAAAGCAACGAACTAGCTGAAAAAGTTGAGGTGAAATTTTTTTAAAAAAAAAGTAAAATTGATTATAAACAAAATAGTACAAAAACGGCATTTGTGATATTCCGAATGATCTTCACCGCTTCATTTTTAATATTCATCGAACCACATTTAGCAAGAATTTATAATTTACCTAAATCGTTCATACTCACATTAGATCTGAAGTTATTTTAATCTATATAGTAGTCCTATCAAATCTTATATTAGCTCACGAATTGACTGTTTAATAATTCAGCATTTAGTGATGAAGATCTCTAGGCCAAAAGATTTCATTCGAATAAAAACATGTGAAAATATCTGTATTTATCAATTCAAGGTACAACTAGATTTAACTCACCTTGAGAAATAATCTATGCACGCTTCAGTTATCCCATGGTGTACTATACCCATAGTATTAATTAAAGAGGTTTTTGTCTGTTGGTTACAAACAATCGGGAAATCAATCAAATAATGATTTGCTACAGCGACTAAGGCTTCCTTTGGCCAACGATGAAACCAATCTATTGTACATCCCGATAATAATCCAGGAAATTTTAAAGATCTAAGACGAAACTTCTCACCGATTGGGGAGAAGCACAAAACAACATGAAGATTTTTTCGCGTTCTCCTAAGGAAAAAATCGTTTAGATCTTCATTAGTTGGTGTCAAGCGCGGATATTCCTTTTTCATAGTAGGAATTAGATCTTGTAGAATTTCATCCATCTCCTCACGCGTAAAAATGTTTGACATGATACCAGAAGAAAGAACATTATTTAAATATTCTAGAAAAGCTTCATCTTTAATTTCTTGATCGGTAAAGATAAATGTGATACCGCGTCCTTTTAGACCAGATGTACGATAAAGGAATTTCAAATCTTCCACTAAATTTGTAGTATTATAAGATCTGGGTTATTAATAAACAGGAGAAAAATTTGTGAATTAGTCGAAGATCAATAACCAATTAAGTAAATGATCTAGTCTGGTGAATTTTGTTTTCCTTACGAATTCGTATTCTAAATTGAAAACAACTATTGCTCATAAGGGCTACTGTGATGTTTCCACTTGTTTACAGAGCAAATAGCACGACATTTCCATTATTATTCTAGTGATAAATATCGAGACACTCAGTCTCTATGTGGTGCGCGCTACTTATAAGTAGTATATGACGCGAGTGAAGACGTAATGTCTTGCAGCAGAAGATGGGGGAAGATCAAGAAAGGAAGAGTGGGAACACAATGGAATTTGTATGAAACGCATGAACAGTGAGATGTCAGATAATGGGTTGATGATGGATTGAAGATTTGCAAATTAACGGTTACGATATGGTTTTCCTATTTTACTGAGTAACTCTGTAATTTGCGATAAATACAATTCGTGGTGGTGTTTTGTTCTCTGAGCTGGTTGTTTTGGTTGTGGAGCTTTCATTGTTCTTCTGAACACCACCACAATCATCCACCTGAGCTACAAGTTTTCTCCACCATCTCAAGATAAATACAATTCGGTTTCCCTCACCTGTGTTATCCTTCACTACATCTATGGCGAGCATTGTAGACTTTAAACAGCTGTAATGAGTCATGATTTTTTTAAATGACTGTATTTCCACATAATAAGGGTGAGTCAGTTCTATGTTAGTCGAAGTTGGATGACTCAATAGATTACTACTTGTTACTAGTGTAATGAATGAAGACCTCAAGATGAGATGAAATAGTCGCATATTTAGACGGTTGATTTACTAACAAAAAGCACACACCTAATCTTTAAACTTCCAGTGGCTGTCTTCTTCCACATGTCTTCTAGTGTTAAGAACACTGCAATCACGCCATACATTCAGATCCGACATTCTCCTTTCCGGTATTACCTTTTGAGCGACAGTCCGTTGTATACTACATAGAACCCACGTTGGGATAGTATCCGCCTCACTAGGTCTTTGTACATTTCCCTTTTTTAAAAGTGAAATTGTTGGTTTTGTGGGGTTTAAGAACTTGTAAATAATTATCACAATAGCAAAACGCTAATATCGAAAAAGCAGTTCAAATAACTTGCACAAATAATCCTTAGAGAATAGAAAGCGAACGGGTTTTACTTGTGAGAGATAAGGAATCCAAACTTTATCAACAATACATACATATGTAACGACCAGTGAGGAGTTCCAATGTTACAGAGATTATTTATTTAGTTACCAGACTTTGATTTCCATGGATTTTTAGTCTGATCTCTGCTCATTATCAAATTAACTGAATCATTCAAACAACTGGATTAAATAAATAACATAACCCTTGGCGTATCAATTATACTTAAATGACCGTAGACTATTCTATACTATCAGCACCAATTAGGACTGAATATGTTATGGAAACTCGTAAATCGAAATATTTACTGATTCAGTCTTGAGAATCAACAAGTAAAGACTCAGATGTGATAACAGTAGATATTCATCGATCAAAAGGACAACTACTCAGATGCATGATGCTCACTGAAGCTTTTAACTCTAGCTAGATCAGCAACAATTTAATCTTATGAAAAATCATAAAGTCTACAGAATTAAATTATACCTTATCACTAACACTATCAGTAATCAGAGTATCAATTTGCTCGTATATTTCATGAAATAAATACGTGAAATAAGTATGTTATATAAATAAATAAACAGGCGGATATTTGATAAAAATGTATTGCTTGTATTAATCACATATCTTAACAGTAGGAAGGAACAAGGACGGTAGAAATATCGATATATTACGATAAACAATAAGAATATTATTTAAAAAAGTAAAAAGAGTGATGGAAAACGAGATTACAACATATGTTCTCTTGCGTCAATCAAGTTTAGCAAAGAACTATTTTTAAACATTTAAAACAGTTAGAACAGTAAGCCTCACAAGTATTCACTAGTCATAACACCGGTAACTTATTACATAGGTCTGGTTGGTTTGAGATATTCTCAACTTTTTCTTCATCGCTTAACGTCAATTCTTGAGATAAGCATTAATATAGATGGAAAACAATTGGTCCAAAGAACATATTCGCTGTAGATTTTATTTATGAAATATGCTGCAATTAATAACTATGCTTAATCAAAAAAAAAATAATTAATGGCACCAGTTGAAAGAAAAGAATATGAATATCAGTATTTACCTTGTCAATGTAATTTGAAAAGTTTGATAACCAGCGATGTAAGATGCAAGTTTTGTAAATGACTGTTTCCCAGACCCACCGACACCTACTAGTAGAGCATTTCCACGAGGCATATATATAATTCGTGCTATTCGAACGATTTGTGTTAATGTATCCCGAAAAAGTACTAAATTCATCCGTGCACCACGAATCGATTCATTATACTGATGCAAAAACATTTCCATACGTGAAGATAATTGTTGAAACGATTCAATCTATAAGTGAAGTCGAAACATAAAACGAAACTAAGATCTGACTGAGGTGTTATTTCACTCAAGCTAAAACAAACACTAGCAACAATTATGAAATCCTGCACAGAAAACTGCAAGTTTAATACTTTCTCATTGTAGTGGGATACTGAAATTCCCTTTTAATGAAGCAGGTAGTAGATGCTGACGAGTTAGTGGTTGGACCCTTGAGGTTACAGAAGATTATTTTACAAAATCCTAAAATTACAGATTAACGTAGTTAGTGTGTTGGAAATAGTGCATTAGAGTAAGAACATAATTTGGACTGAGAAATGTCAACAAAATGAAAACAAATGAATGATTGAAATAAATCCTCCTTATTCAAGACATGGTTCAAAATCGGTTATAATGGTGTACATGCTTTCACCTCGAATCGTACGATCAATTTTAAGCTCCATACTGAATCGTTCTCTCTACTCGAATTATATTCTCAGTGTTTGATTTTCTTTCAATATCATCGCCACTATGATGCTTTTGACAACTAAACTTTTCTTGTTAGTTTGATTTTGTCGTGTTGATGTGGTAAAGTAGTTTAGATTAACGCATATTTGCATCAATCCCTATGTTGACTATGAATGACTAACTAGTGATTTGAATCAACATATAGGTAGTCTAATTTAGTTATGAACTAACTTACTGGTTCGTAAACTTTTGGTACTTCAACAACATAATCTTCCGGCTCATCACCAGTTGGTTCGGGAGGATCACTTCAAATAAAGGAAAAAAAGTAATAAGAATGTGAAATTATCAAGTAGTGTTTTAAAGTTGAATAACTGTATAGCAAACCAAATAAACTTTTTTCAAGGTAATCGGTTACAGTTGTTCAACATTTAAATGGAGAGCAACACATCACAAGTAAGAAACAAACTTGCTGAAAACAAAGGTAGATATTTGTTTAACGTTGTCATTGAAATGTGAAACATGGCTAGTAAGAGTAGAGGATATTCGTAGGTTACTAGTATTCGATCATCGATGTCTCCGAAGCATTGATCGTATACTCTGGAACCATCCAGTAAGCAGTGCTGGTTCTAGGAAAACGGTACTAGGTACGGGTGTCAAATCAATAGATGAAGTATTGAAACTTCATTAGTTGAGGTGGTTGGGACATGTGTTATGTTTGCCCAATGACATGGCTCAAAATGATTTGCGATGGCACACATACATTTGTTCTTTGTCTTCCCTGAAATTCTAATTTTCTGGATTCCTCATAAACGTTTTCTTCTCTTTTCATATTTATTTGACTGTGATATACTTCTCGACTCATATCTTCGATCCTGCTACTATTTCTACTACGATTGGATTTGGATTGACGATTTAATCTCGTGGCAACTTGAACTGATAAACATATGTACTAAGTTCTTCGTTGTAGCTGACTGACTGCCTGGTCAATCAAAAAATTACCCTCGATACAAAACGACAGACATTTATAAACTTAGTTCTGATATATTAAATTTATTAAGTAATATAGTTTAGAGCATCAGATGCTCTATTTCACAAAAGCTTTAATAACAACCATCGAGTTGTATGAAGGAAACCAGATTTCTATATTATTAAATTGAGAACATGGTACAATCTGCAAAGCTGTTAGTTTAGTTCTTTTGGAAATCAAGTTACCATTCCGATCTCCAAAAGAAGAACGTTTATTACGATCCTTACTATCAGATGCAATGCAATAATCACTTTGTTATGTTATTAACATATTTCAAAGATCATAAAACCAAACCAGCTATGTTACCGAAGAAAATTAACGAAATATAGTGGATCACTTTCAATCATAGTCACATATTCCATTCCAAGTTCTTCCTTAACTAAACGTTTAGTTGCCAAATTAAACCACTGGTGGTCATCTTCTGATACGAATCTGTAATGAATGATAATTGAAGCAAAAACAGAAATGAAATGAAGCCGTAAAGTTTAGTTAAACGTTCATCGATCAGTTTAGAATGTGTACCTATCTCGTTTTATTAAAGCATACTTACTAGATGTGCAGTCAGGTCAGATAAATGGCTGTAAAAGTTTAAGACTTTGAGTTGATGAAAGTGGAGATAGATTAACAAAGAATCTTCTTAGTATATAAATAATAAAACCGATTACTTTTGATAAATGTTCGTTAAGTTCTAAGTGGATCTCCTTTCCTTTCTATGACTAAACTTGTGATGATTAAGTGAGCCATTATAGTAACAATCAAGTGAATAACTTTAAATGAGTGCAAACAGATAAAGTCTTAAAAATGACTTGTTGGTGGAGGTTTAAAGTAAGATGAACTAAGTTAATTCCTCTTATTCTATTAGCGCAATATCAGGGAGAATATTAGAGGAATGGTAACTTCCAGGACTAATTTATGGTTCATTATTCTGTATGGTATTATTGCATAATTAGTCAGTAACTTTATATACAGATACCTGTTATTATGATCTTCCGATTAGTTCACCAACTACTGCTGTGTGATTTATTATTTGTAATCTATTGCTAGTCTATTACTTACAGCCTTCCCTGTTCATATCTACTTTTGACTTGCTCACGTATAAATGCATTTTCTCTTTTTATGGTATGATGTGGTCTGCTCAGTTTAGTCTGCTTGATATTTAAGCACATTTGTGGATGCTGGCCTATGGACTTCTTCAATAAGAGGCAGGGCAGAGAGGAAGAGGCTATCGTGTTGTGTACCAATAAGGATTTAGAGCAGACTCACAATTTCTGGTGCTAAGGTGTAATAATCATTAATGTTTGTATTAGTCAAGTGATATTGATCAATGGCCAGGGATACAATGTTTAGGTTTACAAAATTATAGAAATAGTACTTATTGTCGAATTACTTAATCAGAAACCGAATATATGAATAGATTAAAAGTCATATCACATTAAATTAGGCCATGATAAACTTTTTATGGCAGAATCAATGAACAAACAAACCTGTCTGCTAATACGCGTGTGCATTCATGACGCCAAAGCATCATTAATCGTTTTGTACTGTTGATTACTTCGGGTAATGTACCAAGCATCCCTTGCCATATACGACTGAGATCACGTAGATTAAAAATATAATGGAATTTAGCTGGTGTTGGCAACATTTTATTCTTAGTTGTTTGCCATAAAATCCTTGTCAGTGGGACAATTAGATTGACTGTTTCAATTACTGAAGTATCTGTGAATCCTCTTTCAAGACAATAATGTCCCTGAGCTATTGCACCGAATATTTTATCGATCGACGCGTTACTTGGCAAGGTGCAATTAAATATGCAGAACTGTCGTTTCAATCTATGGGGTATATCGTTTCGACCGGAACCCGGATGTATCATAGCTGCTGCGAACTGAACATCAACAATGGATGTGAAATCACCTGGTTTTTGTAGATTGTAAAATCCTTTCATTTCAATCAGCTGGCGCACTATTTCGTTTGTTACCTGAAAATATGTTCACCATAAAACATTTTATATGTATCTCCATATAAAAGGAATCATCCGGCGCAAAACTAAAATAAAATATCTGCTTCTAATCGAGAGAAAAAGATTTCTATAAGTAGTGCTTAAAAACGATGCTTATTTTCAAAATTTTCAAGTTTCATCATTGGATTCGCCCATAAAGCACCACAGATATTTCCGGCTTCCACTAAAGATTAGGTCTGTGTTTTTAGTATAACATCTAAGAAACAACAGACGGATAACAGATAACTTTCTGTCCGAATATTAGACTACGTTGAATTTTTAACTATTCTCCAAATGTTCCAAATTTCGAAGGCAAAAGTACTAATTTAGCATTTTCTGCTCTTTTCTAGTTGCCCATCCTGCTCTTTTACATTCAGTCAACTCTTTCGATTTAAACAGCAATTAAATGGGTTTTAGTATCACTAAAACTATATTTTTTGATATTTCTGATAAGGTTAGTTAATTACTATGATATTTTTGATGAAAACATGATAAATACACCTTCATTTAGAACATTATCATTCAGTTTGTGAAGCATACTACCAAGTAAGTGATCGAAACAAACGAGGATTTCCATTCAAAGCCGAATGAAATTTGTCTTGGTGATGTGAACAGGAAATTCCCTTCCACGAAGAGTTGCGTCTAGTCCTATGTCTGTCAGATATGCTTCTCTAAGTTCTTCAAAATGGCATGCTACAGTATGAGAGCAAACTGTAAAACAGTAACAGTAATAGTAAAGTTGTTAGCCTCAGAAATACGTAGGATTATATCTCGATACTTTTGACTACATCTTTCGAAAACTGTTTGGTTATTATTTGTATTTATGAATGGACAATGTGGTTGGTTATTGACAGTTTTATAAATCAGAAACTCCCCTCGATGAAATTCATTAAAGTAGTGTAAATAACTTGAAGATAAATTCACATTTTCAACGGTAATAAGCTCAAGAGATATTGGAGCTGTGGGTAGTCGGTTCGAGTCCTAGATCGAACATCAACTCTGGGGTGCAGGTATTTCCAGCAGACGAGTTCGAAGTAGGCCAAAACTCGCATCTTAGGTTCCATTGCTAGCCACCATCTACCTTTGCTAATAATAATAATAATAATAATAATAATAATAATAATAATAATAATAATAAGCCCCGAAATGCCTTGGTACGGTCGAGAGTTGAGAGAGTCTTCTCTCATCCTCGTGCATATTTAGCCACTGCAAGGAATGTTTTACTCACTCCCTTTTCGAGGCACGAGTGTTGTTTACGAAAATGAGAGAATGAAAAGTGAATGTTCTTGTCTCGTGAGTGAGTTGAATAAACCCCAATTTTAAACCAATGATGCACATGGTTTTCAGGATCCTGATGGAACAAATGGAGTGTGAACCTAGCTGCTGACGCACCGAAAAGTGTAGATGAACACTGACTGTATTTGCACGATGCCTTAAAAACGGCGTGTGAAATCACAAAATGTCCCGCTTATAAGCATTGGGTTTCTACAGCCTTCTTAAAACTTACAGAGGCACACTGGTACATTCTATGTAACCACGAGTTTAACATCAGAAGAAGAATGTTACGTGATCAAATAAGGCAAAGTTTGAGTCAGGACCGAGAAACCTGTTGGTCGGAATGTGCTAACGGGTCAGAAGTAGCAGCTGCATCTGGTGGTTACCAGATGCTCCTTGAACTTACCCAAGCAACTGATGGCAGGAAGTCCGATGTGAGTAAAACAATCTGTAAAGCTGTTGAGACACCAAACAATAACATCCACTAACAGTTTTGGTGAGCGACAGACCTTTTCGAAGAACAATTCGGCTGGTCAGCTGCCTAGACAGCGCCGATCAGACTGCCTTGTCCTCCACGGCCAGTGACGAATGATCCATCTAACGAGGTGGAAGTATATAAGGACTCCGACTCCAGGAGAGGTACAAATCACCAGGCTTAGACGACTTACCTCCTGACTTTTTTAAAGGTGGTGGTAACCTTTTGATTGAGACTGACTCGGTTGTTCACAACCGTTTGGCAATTAAAGAACGTTTCAACATCGAGGAACTAACCGATAGTTATCTCTAACCTTAATAAACATTCATGTCATCTATGTAATGATTAACAGAGGACATGTCTATAACCGATTGTGTCCAAAATATTGGTTTCCACCAAACTTCGCAGATTATTTAAAGCCTATGAAAGGTTGACTTACGAGTAACAGGATGGTTTTCGTTCTGGTCGAGGATTTACGGTTGATATCTTTGTCATTTACCAACTGTGTCAACACTACTACGCTGATCTTAGACCAACTATCAATATGTTTCATGACATCAGGGTAGCCTTTGACTCGTCCGACACGACTGCTATGGCTGTGGTTACCTGAAGAAGGAATCTCGGATCTTGAGTATGTGGATGATATTGTCGTACTGTGTGAGGATTCCCAAGCAAAGTGATCTGTGCCTAACCGGCTGGTCCATAGGTATGGTATGTGCTTTTCACCTTCTGAGTGCAAACTACTTTTACAAGACTGGCAGCACCTTGAACCTGCACTCGCTCTTGATACTGAGCATATAAAAGTAGTCGAGAAATTCACGTTTGGTGAAATCCAGAACAGTTTATACCTATTCGAGTCATTGGTGAGGCCCTCGTGATGTCAGCCTGGCTGTTAAACGTCGAATATACAACGCGTCGATGAGACTAGTTTCGCTTTCTCCTGGTCACATTTGGGAGTGTTCGGTGACTTTCCATGTTCGATCGTTGTTTTCTCTGAAGGATTACTGACAATCCGTGGCGACACAATGCTAGTGATGCAGAGGTTCGGTAACGTGTTTGAGCACAGCAACGATAATTAAATTAGTGTCACTATTTATCTCCATAAGCTCATAACAGAAAAGTGCTTTACTGTAATAGGGCTGGTAAATATTTATTTGATGGTTTTATGGCTAAAAAACAGATACGATAACTCAACTTACCTGATCACCCCATTCATTTATCAACGGCATACTGATGTCGTCGATAAAAACCGTCATTTTTCGACCAGCTGGTGGACCATACGTGCTCCCCATTCGTTTATCGACGAAACTTTCTATTGCACGTTGAAATAACAATGGTGTAGTAACACTCGAAAAATTCAAGGTTTTGAATATATGAAATTCGGGATTTTGACTACTCAAGTATTTATTGATAATCACAGTTTTAGCTGTACCCTAGTAAAGAAGTAATTAAAAACTTGCGTATGAAAATTGCAGTTAATATTAAAGCACTTTTATCATTTGTTTCAGCGACAGAAGTTCATTTGGTCTACGTTTCCACATTGACTTGACATTTATTTCCGTTTTTAAAACATATGATTGAAATTAGATAAGACGTTACATAAATTTCCTCGTCATAGTAGTTGATGCCATAAAAATATATGCCATTCCACAATGATGGTCTCTCATTGCGAGTCAGATATGAGAATACAGCGCGTTGTCATTAAAATAATTGATATAAGGACAGATAAAATTGAAATTTTTTCAAACTAAAGTACACTTGAATAAATCGATTTTAACATAAAAGATATGCAGAATTTCAAATGGATGAAACGATCATAGAAAGCCGTGTAGAATTCAAAAGTTAATTTTCATCCACAAGAATTTTTATGTGCATACTGGTTACTTCGTACTAATACTTATCCTAAACAAAACAGTTAATGAGTAATTAAGTTTTTTTCTGTATTTAAGACTGAAAGAAGCTTATTTCATTCATACCCACAAATCATAGCTGAACGGCCAAAGTAAGGAGAGTTTAGTGTTATGTAAGAATCAAGTGACAGTAATAAATATATCAAGGTATAGTAAGTATGACGAACTATGTTCGGTCGGTAGATTTAAAACACTGTTGTCATTGAAGGTGTTATGTAGTAGTATTTTTATTCAATGCAAAATTTCCAGGTGCATTTTAGTTGTAATTTCTTTATTATTAGACACATACGAATGATAGTGAAGGTTTCAATTAATAAGACTTACTTGTTCACCAATTAACAGTACACATTTTTGTTGTTTTGAGATTAAATCAATCAGAAATTCTGTCCGCACATTGTCAACATTCGGTACAAGTAACGAAGAGTATTCTGGTGTATGATCAGTTGGATAGTGAAATTCATCAACTTTTGTATCCCAATGAATCCATTCACCTAGATCGTTTACTAAATAATCAAATATTGTCGTTTGTGATTCCGTAGAGATTTCTGGTAGGTCAAATTTTACAGTTTCATGTTTACGTAAATATGTCTCGAATTTAGCACGATCATCACCTTCAAGAAACGCACCAATACTCCACATCAATGCAAATACGTACTTCCGTTCCAAATGCTTTAGTGTGACCTTATAAATTAAAATTTGTGAAATTGGACTGTTGATTAACACCTATCTTACATCAAGATAATAGTAAACTATATCAAGCTGAATATAAGGGCATATTTTTAAAAAAAAATAAACCCAGTAAGTACAATAGGAAAAAAAATCCGCATATTTTTTCTTATTTGGATATCAGGTTTTGATACTGATGAAAAAAGAATGTTGCAAAAAATAACTATCCTCTCGCAACAAAGTAGAATTATTGATATTCACCAGTAGGGGTCTTTGACGTGAATTTCATCAATGTTATCACTCAGCCGAAATACCATTTTCAAGCCATCAAATAAAATTGTATGGAAGCTTTGAGGTAACTAGACTTTAAATTAGGCTCATTGTCGATATATTATGGAAAGTTTCACTTGTTACCTATTAGCTCTATTCCCCGCCTAAGCAAGCAATCACTTCAATATGTCAGGAGGTTCTGGGCCACAAGAAGTACAATCAAAAGGAATGGGTCTCTGTTGATACTCTTGAAAAAGTTGAAGAAAGTAGGAACAAGAAAGCAGAAATCAGCATCAGCCGAGCAACAGCAGACAGTCAAGGTACAAGCTGAAAATACAGAAGCGAACAAGCAAGTGAAGAGGAGCATCAGAGCCGAGAAACGTAAGTATGTGAAAGATCTTGCAATCACGACAGAAAAGGCTGCAAGAGAAGGAACCTTGAGACAATTGTACGATACAACAAAGAAGCTCACTGGAAACTCTCGTAAACCAGAATGACCAGTAAAAAGCACTGATGGCAAAGTAATCAACAACATCGAAGAACAGTGAAACAGGTGAGTAGAGCACTGAACCCACACGACATCGAAGTGGCATCCATGGACCTCCCAAACGATATTGGCCCACCAACATTTGAAGAGCGGAAAAGCAGAGAGACCAGAAAACATTCCAGCGCAGGCACTAAAAGCAGACGTGGCAGCAACTGCAGTAAAGATACTCCACATCCTCTTCAGAAAGATTTGGGATGAAGAACAAGTACCAACAAACTGAAAAGAAGGACAACTGATCAAGATACCAAAGAAAGGCGATCTCAGCAAGTGTGAGAACTGCAGATGCACCACTCCTCTCTCAATACTAGGCAGAGTCTTTAACACGGTGTTGTTAAACGGAATGAAGGACTCTGAGAAGATAGTCAATATCATACGTGATTCTTACAGTGGAATAAACTGCAAAATCGTGCACGGAGGACAGCTGACAGAATCATTCGATGTGAAGACTGGTATCAGGCAAGGTTGCTTACTTTCACACCTTTCTCTTTCTCCTGGTGGTCGACTGGATTATGAAGATGTCAACATCTGAAGGGAAGCACGGAATACAGTGAACAACCTGGATGCAGGTGAATGATCTGGACTTCGCAAATAATCTGGCTCTTCTATCGCACACAACAACAAATACAAGAGAAGACGACCAGTGTAGCAGCCTCAGCAGCAGCAACAGGCCTCAACATACACAAAGGGAAAAGCAAGATTCTTCGATAAAACACAACTATCAATGAACACCGAAATCAGAATTTTCAACAGTCAAGATAGTTCTATTGTAAGGGGTGGAAACTTGCAAAACTACCAAATCCATCATCCAAAAGATACAAGATACAGTTATCTACGCAAAATATTTCGGATCCGGTGGCCAGACACCAGACACCACCACAAATTACTGTGGGAAAAAACAAACCAGGATCTATTGGAGGAATAAATCGGGAAGCGCTGGAAGTGAATAGGACCCACATTGAGAAAAGCACTCTACTGTGTTCTAAAGCAAGCCCTCACTTGAAACTCTTGTAGTGGAACGCTTCTACGAAGAAAATACGATTTGTGAAAAATAAACATTATTGCACATCTTTTGTTTAACTGTACTAAAAACACTTCTACGACTTCTTGCGCGCAACGTTCTCTTCGCGTTGCTGCCATCTTTATCTATTTGCTGCTCCCCATGTAATGCCAACGTTCTCCTTCAATAAAACCATGGAATATGGATTTATGTTGTTTTGCTATGAATCACGACGGGATATCATGGAACTGTTAGTGGTGAGCATAGTCAGTCTGGTATCTTTTGACTCGCTCACAACACTCTCAAGGTCGAAGGAAAGGAGGAAGGCCAGGAGATACAATATGCCAAGAAATGGAGATAGACATAAGAACAATTAACAACAATTGGACGGTACTAGAAAGACAAGTCCAGGACAGAGTAAGTCGGAGAATACTGGTCGGCGGCCTATGCTTCATTGGGGGTAACAGGCGAAAGTAAGTAAGTGGTTCCTAGTTTAAGTTTACATAAAACCCCAAAACTCTTTGCTTCTAGAGTTTCCTTTACATAATATGTTCTAGTATTCCAACCTGTTGAAGTACATTCTTCAGCTAATTACTACTTACAATTAAGAATAGGTTGATAATTAACTGTTAATCGTTTTCTAGCACACGTTATAACCAACTGATAGAAAGTCAATTAATTTATTCAAGAGAGTGTATAAAACTAATACCTGATCATACAAACTTTTTTGTTTTTAGGAAATAAGTAGAAACAGCAGTAGAATAAAACTGAATTTCGGTTAAAAATTTTGATTGTTTATGAGGATATTAATACTTTGTGTTATGTTATTAGGTTGATTCAAAAAACCAAAATACTTCTGAACTAGGGTATAGTAAATTTCGAGTTAAGTGATCACAAATTTAAGCTGTTTAGTAAGATAAAAAAGTTATTCTGGGTGAGACTTCAGTTAGTGAAACTTGCATGCTATTTTGTGCAGGATAATGTAGAAAACTGGTTTAAAGCTACCACAGGAGATGGAAGATTCCCAACTAAACGATAAAAATATCGTGCATCCTGCGTGATACAGTTCCAAATCGATCGTGACAGATCGATACTTACTTTTTCGATGCAGTGTTGAACCTGAAGCACTAAAGTTAAAGGAGGACAAGAAATATCTTGAACGACAAAACGTTTTCATAACTTATGTTTTGCTTTTGATCCAAGGATAACTTGAATTTTATAGTAACAAGCAAAGCTTCCCGTTTAATGTCAATAACATGAAGATTTAATTTTAAAGTTAACTTGAATGGTACCATTTCAGATTTAATTCATTAGAAAAAGCATGAATAAAATCTCAATATGAAAAATGAGCATTAACTTGCCGATGGATAATCCTTTTCTTTTGCATTAGGCAGTATTCCGTTCAGAATATCGCAAGCTTGGCGAATTACAAACGCCTCTAAAACACTCATCTTAAAGTTCAGATACCTAGTTGCGTATCCGTAAACACTTTCAAACGATAACTTAAATAACTGCAGCAACTGATCAGCTTCATTTTTTTCACGTGACAATAACCATCCTTGTAATATCGGTAACCAATTTAAAGTAGTTGTACTAATGTATACCATACCTGGAAAATGTAAAAATTTCAGGATTTCAAATTTCCTTCATATACTATCTGATACGTAGAAAAACATAAATATTTATTTATTTGCCTGAGCAATCCACTCAAAAGCTTTTTTAATGAATCCTTTTACTGACTTACCGTAACTCATGCCACGTTACCATTCCTAGCACAATCCTGAAAAACAACAGATCAACTGTTCCTACTAATTCAGGGTATATCTTTGATTCATTTTGGATTAATTAAGAAAAATGGTGAAAGATGTTTGATGGTTTGGAAATTTGCATAGTAAGTGCGTATGAGAGCTTTATGTTTGGAGAACACGAGAAAGTGGTAATTTTACGTCTATTATCTAAAATAATTTGTGGTCAAGTGATTCGAAAGCAATTGAATAGGTGTACTTGATGTTCTATATGATCCATGGTCTAATACCAGGTAATGGCATATAGTTAGTTATTTTAACTAAATAAGCGCATAAATAACCGTCATTAAAACTTGTCTACAGAAGTTTTTTACTGATAGAAAATAGTTGAAGTATAAAAAAAACTACTATTACAATCAGTGAGAAAGCTAACAACCTGTTAGCAGAACATAGCTTGGATTAAGGTATGCCCAATTCAGGATTATGTTGAACGCATTCAAGACGAAGATGTCGTCAACAGAGAATGTAAACAGTTCAAGCAAAGCTCACTGATAGAAGACCAATTTAAATGCCTAATATTCATCAAAGCTCTTCAATCACCGTAATACGCTGAGATTAGAACCAGACTTTTGACTTAACTGGATCAGGACCCAAAGTCACACTCAGGACACTAAAATATGATATTATATAGCTACAATACTGTCAAGGCTAAATGTAGGTCCAAAAATAAGATGCTGAAAACACTAGAAACAACTCGTAATAAACTGCCAACCGCCTGCTGATTATGTGGCACATGACATCAGCATCAGGTGTACGATAACTAGTTGGCAAGTTAAAGTGCTAATTTTCTTTCAATGGAATCCAACAGACCGATAAAAACTTGATCTACATATGTCAGATGAACTTAGAATGATGAACTGGCCTATTAAAAGTGTCTGGAATATTCTGTGTTCATCTTTAGATACCCAGATATTTTCAAAACGATCAGGTGAAGAGTTGCTATAAAATACAAAAAAAACATTTGCTCTTGCTTTTCGAAATGGCCTTTGTCAATGCACCAAAATAAAGCTCATTTACCAATGAGACCAGAAATCAGGCATTTTTTGTCTGAAACGTCCTATACCGTATGATGCTTTAGAACTAGTCCACCAAGAAATTACCCTGTTGCAACAAGCTGGCGTAACTCAATCAGTCAACTACTCGATATGCGCTCCACTGATCAGAATGTTTGAGAAAGTAAATGGAACTTTAAGTATCTGTACTGACTTCTTAATCTGTTAAAACTCTGCAATGGATGGATATCCATAGCAGATCTTCACGATTTATTTGTGGTATATGAGGAAAACTTGTTATAATTTAATTCTATTCATTATGTATGCATTTGTGAGTGAGCGGATGTTTGCACCTCAATTCTTTACACATTCTCTAATTGGTTGTAAATATGGCCAATCTACAGATTTATCCATATGTTGATTAAAATCCATAAAATGCATAGACACGCTCTTCACTTGTTATCCATCAATTTATTTTCGGGTGTGCTTGATTCGAGTGTGTCTCGTGGATTCCGTTGGTCGTCAACACTACACACTAACCGCAATAACTTGTGTTCTGAATTTTTAATTAATCATAGTATTACTAGGGGAATTAACCTGTAAAAGTACAACTTAAATGGGACCATATATTGGAGTCAAAGATATATGGCGGAAATAACCACTACATATCAGTACCTGTTGCCAGTTCCTGAGGATTTGTTCGCTAAGCTAAATGGTTGCACATGTTTCATGAAAACAGACCTTTCTGAATTCCATCTCCAAGTGGAAGTAGGTAATTATTCTAGAGAGCTTCTAATTATCAATATTCATCGGGGATTAACCAATAAAGCCGCCTTCCATTTGGTATCCAGACTGCACCTGCAGTTTTTCAGTAAATATTGGACGTTGTGATCGACTACATCAAGTTCTTTGTCGGCTGATGCAGCATGGTTTTCGAATTTGTCACGAAATGTGCATCTTCTTCATTTATTCAATTAATTACCTTGGTTTTTATGTTAGATACGAACAGTCATCACCCAGATTCAGACAACGTAGAAGTAATTCAGATGCCAGGACCAAATAATTCTCCTTTATCAAGAACTTACTGGGAATTAATTAGTAAGTACAGCGCATTTCTCCCGAAAATACATCGAATTGAATTAATTACTAACAAAAGACAAACTTTGGTGACGGTCAACAGAAACTTCCTTCAATACACTTCAATCTGAGCTTGGAGATTGTTGTTGCATCTGATGCCTCTAGATATGGAGTCGGAACTATGACATAGTATGTTTCCAGACAAATCCACAAAGGAACCTGCTTACGCTGCTAGATCACTCGCACAAGCCGAATGGAACTGCACTTAGATTGAAAAGGAAGTCCTAGCAAACATATTCGCTAATAAAAGGTTTCATGAGATACCCTAATGGTCATACATTCACTTTACTAAGAGACTACAAACCCTTAATCGTAAACTAGTTCTAAGAAAGGAATCCCTGGTTATACGATCAAAAAATCACAGTGCTGGCCTACAATGTTTCAGAGCTATATCTTTAACACCAAGTACCAGTCAATGAATACCATCGGTCAAGCCGACGCTCTGTCTCGTCTGATCAGAGTTCCACACCCTATAACTATCTCTATAGCTATTGATCAAGAAATCAAGTATACGGTAGCAGATATAAGTTAAAATACTCCACTGTCAGTAGATGAAGTATTGAAAGAAAATCTTCGAGACTCAGTCCTGTGAGGAGTTAAAAATCTCCACCTGGTAGGGTGGCCCTCACAGATTGGCTCTGCAGAGCTTCAGTATTTTTACCCGCACAGACCATCTCTTTCCGTTATCGATGATTGCCTACTATTTGTCAAACGTGTCATAATCCCAGAAAAGCTGCGGTAGTGTTTTAAAAATTGAACGCAGGATATTGTACGACAAATCACAAGGATGTAAAGACAATATATTTTCTCTTCGTCAGGTCCTGGAACATATACACACATTTCGGTATCCCGAAATAGCAGTAATTTTTGACCTTAAAGGGGCATTTGAATCTATCGATCGTGATATTCTATGGCGGTGTTCGTCATTGAAAGGTGTACCAAAGAAGTACACTAGCCTCATACAAGCTCTCTAGTCAAACACCACAGGTCGGGTGAGAGCTTATGGCGAACAGTCATCGGAATTCTTTACTTCAAGTGGTGTCCGTCAGGGGTGTCCACTTTCTCCATTCTTGTTTAACTTTGTCATAGACTTGCTTTTAGATATAAACTTATCCTCCTCTGACTTTTCAGGAGTGTACCTTCCACAGGGTTGCGCTTGTGGACTTAGAATATTCTGACGACATGGTTCTAATTGGTGCTGACGGTGACAAAATGCAGAGCCTTTTGACCACCTAAAGCAACAATCCAAGAGTGTTTAGGATGCGGTTTTCCCCCACGAAATACAAACTGTTTTTTTCAGGATTGGGTTGTATCGGAACCTAAACTAGTGATAAGGAGTGAAGTAGTTGAGCGTGTTGAGTGCTTCACTTATGTCGGGAGTCTCATCAGTGCTCGTGGCCTGGTTTGTGACGAAATCTCAGCATGAACACAGAAGGCTAGATTGGCCTTCGCCAACTTGCATCACTTATGGTGTAGGCGAAATATCTGTTTGCTGACAAAACGACAAGTGTACTGAGCAGTAGTTCGCTCTGTCCTACTATATGGATGCCAAACAGGGCCGGTGAGAGTAGAGGACATTCGTAGGTTATTAGTATTCGATTATAGGTGTCTTAGAAGCATTGCTCGTGTATTCTGGGAAACGAGTATTATATAGGGATGGTAAATTAATAGATGAGGTAGTGAAACTTAATCAGTTGAGGCGGTTGTGACATGTGTTACGAATACTCAACCATTGACTAGCTCGTCGAGCTTTGTTTTGTGGTGCAGGAATAGGTTAGACGAAAGCTAGAGGCGCCCAAACCAAAAGATGACACAAATCCATCAAGTGACTAGCAACTGGATTGAGTCATGTCGGTAGATGTAGACTATCTAGTTGGAGCCCACGAGATGATAGTAATCGTTGGTTAGAGACCTTGGACGACTTGGCTCAAAATCGTTTGCAGTGGAGCAGATGAATCCACTCTTTTTGTCCTCTCAAATTTGCATCTGGATCCTCCATCATCTCTATCTTTCTCTTTTTACATTTATTTCACTGAACCCTAATTTTCTCCATTACCGCCAATACTTCTATTACATCTACCACTATCAGTTGGGTCAGAAGTTTGGATGAGTCATGCAACTACGATCGCCAGCAACGGGAATCGAGCTAGAATACCTTTCGACATTTTCCTAGCCACCTTCGAAATCAAACCACCAGAAACTGTAACGTCAGTCTCTGAGCAGATAAGCAATGGTAGCACATCCTTAAGGTCTAGACGGTGGACAGTTCGAATGCGCAGACCAGTTATGCGGATGCAGGGTTATGTTGGACAGTGATAATAAGCGCAAACTTTGCCAACAAGTGCTAGTGGAGAGCCGAAGAAGGCTGGAGAGTGTTACTAACGGTTTCGTTATTGTGCTTCCTTCACTGGCTGTCCAAGCCGTGATCTGATTTCGGGGAATAAGTGAGCGTGGTAGTGTCCAAAGAACATTAAGCAATAAGAATAGTTTTGTCATATGAGAGAGATCATTGACACGGACTTTGTCTGATTTCATGGAGTAAGTTTAGAAGACAGTTGTTTTAAAGTCTTCATGGCGTTCTAAAAACAAAGAAATTAATTTACTTACCATTTCTTGAAACAGTTGCAGGTGATGCATTGTCAACATTGTCTACTTCAAAAATTATCTTACAACATGGTGCCATTGGAATACGATCACCATTGGCCAGTGTTAAAAGTTTACTGTCATCAAGAACCGAGTTCAGGTTTTCAATCCATAATGCATCAACTGGGCCATCTAATATAAGCCAGATATGTTCACCTTTCTTAGCTTTCAGTGTTCTTTTCCATAGAGTGGAAAATATACCATCTGTCCAATCGTTTGTAGCAACATCTAAACGCCCAAACATTTGTGAAGCCGTAATCGCTTTCGGATTCATGCGCATTTCACGATGTGGTTCAAAGCAATCAGTCATTGCCTGATTGTGGATAATTAAAGTATGAAACTCGTCATCACTCTTTAAAAAATTATTCTTTCAGAAAAAGCTAAAGTTATGCCAACTTTGTGGGTTAAAGTAGATTTCATTTTGAATGAAAGAATTTAGATTTTATCGAAAAAAGTATTATTACAAATTGAAAAATAAAAATTATTTTCGATACAGTGAATGTAGTTTAATTTCTGATTTGTAACCAATTACTTCGTAGATCAATGGTTAACGACTGCATAGAGGATATAGCTTCAGTTATATGTAATCAGATGGCAGATTGGCAATCAAATGTGAGAGATGACTCAATATGATCTTGTGAAATGGTCATTATGTTATTCTGGCTTAAAACTATTCGTAATAAGAAGTCGAATGGATGGATTTTTCATGTAGTACTATGGAAAAAAGCACATTGAGAAACTGAGCCAACCTGAGTGTCATATTTGGTCCACATTACTTCTTTCTGTTAAGTACATCATTGACTAAATTTATTTTGTTTTCGTCTGTCAGGACTACTAATGTTATCTATATGATTTGTAATCGTCATCGAAGTGGTGTTCATTTCCTGAAACCTTCATATTTGAAGGCTTAGACTGGGTGTATTACATTACCATTGATTAAACTGTCACAAATTTACTGATGGTATTAGCTAAGGTAGAAGAATGGTGATAACTGACCTTGATAAGAATGTAAGCTAACTAATGATATTTAGAGCTTGAATAAAACACAACAAATGAATATTTTAACGCATATAAGTTAAATGCTAAATATTTGATTGATAGACAGCTAAGCAAAAATAAATGTTTTAGAGAATGTTAGTTATTTTATAACTAATTGTAGTTATGTCATAACTAACCAATCAGATTGGTTAAGCGCTCACCACGTCATCTAGTCTGACCGATGTATAAACTTTCTTTGTTGTGAATGGTCCATCGATTGAAGGATGTTATCATTTTATTAATATTGCTGTGACTCATGTTTTTTATTCATTTTCTAAAGACACGCTATACTGTCCGGTACGTTTGCTCATCCTGCTTGATAATTGTAATTTCCTTATTTATTGTACTAAATTAATCGTTTTCCTTTTGTTTAGAAAGAGATAAAGTTTAGAACCGAATTGTCTTCTGTTAACTATAGTTTCACTGGGGACTCTGTCATCGGCGGTAGTCGCGTTTACGTTTTTAGAATTACATCTGTAGGACAAATTTAAATCCTACATAGTTTCGGACAGTAATTCATCAAAGGTTCATATACTGAATATCTTCAAATGTCTACCGAGGATCATAAGAGTGATCAGATTCCTGAATTGTCTCCACAATATTCAGAAACTCATAGTGAAGATCAGTTTGGAAGAAATAGCCTCCGAACGGATCCTTTGTTGGAATTAGAATTAGCTAAAGTGCGTTTAGCTCATCTAGAAAAGGAAATTGAGTTAGAACGACTACGGCAAAGAGGAAAAGAATATTGTAACCAAATTCAGGATGAAAAGTTTATGTCGTTCGAATCTACATCCGTTTCGCGTACAGCTGATAGTACAGGAAAGGGCTGGATAGGAATGATATCCAAAGCTTTAGATCTACCCAAGCGAGAAATCATAAGGTTCGATGGTAATCCTATGAACTACTGGAGTTTCATACGAAATTTCGAGGATTGTTTTGATGAAAGCGTCGGACCTCGATCTAAGTTAAACTACTTGATTCAATACTGTGATGGTGAAGCTAAAGCTACCATTGTTCATTGTACATTGCTTCAACCGGAAGAAGGTTATCGTAAAGCGTTAGAGCTTCTTGAGGAAGCATTCGGTCAGAAACACGTAGTTGCCCGTGCATTTATCGACAAGATGTTAAACTTCCCTGCTATTAAAGAAACCGACTCAAATAGTTTAAGAAGATTAGCTCGTGAGATGTATGTCTGTGAGCTTACGCTCACACAAATGAACTACCTGTCCGATCTTAATTCTACGAAAACCATCGAAAGCATGTTTTTAAAACTTCCACCACACCTACAGAGAGAATGGGTTAAAGTAGCATGTCGAATTCTCAAGACGGGTAGAGAGCCTTCATTCAATGACCTCTGTGAATTTGTTAAAGAACAGTCGGATATAGCTAACACTAGATACGGCCTGCTTGTCAACCGCAGCGATAATGTTGACAAAAGAGGTTTTGGTGCTTTAAAGGGGAAGGCTGCCGCCAGTTACAACATAGCAACGGTAGCACATGTAAGCATTAATGACAGCAATACTTCCTTATATAATTCACCTTGTCCAGATTGCTCAAGCAATCACCTCTTGGATCAGTGCCAGAAGTTTAAAAACAAGAATCTTAAAGAAAGGAAAGAGTTCGTCTTTAAGCATAAATTATGTAATAATTGTCTGAAACCAAACCATATAGCAAAGAATTGTCGATCGCCAAGGTCGTGTATTGTTGAGGGATGTGGCTGGAGACATCATACTCTGTTACATGAGAAGCAGGAAGAACGAAGAGATATTATTAGTGATGCCTGCATTAATTCTCAGATTTGTACAGAGGAAGATGTTAAGGGCATACAGAGGCCTGTGGCATTTGCAGTAGTTCCTGTGTGGATAAAAAACGGTGAGAGAATTATGCAGACGTGCGCCTTTCTAGATAGTGGGTCAGACACCTCTCTAATAGTAGAAGATCTAGCTGATAATTTAGGCCTCGAGGGAAAGCCGAGAACTGTGTCTTTAAAGACTATAAATAACGAATCGTCATTGGTATCTAAAGAGGTAGATGTAGAGTTGCACGCTATAGACTTCTCATCATCTGTTAAGATCCAGAAGGTATTGACAGTCAGAAAACTACCGGCAGTTCACAGAACTGTACCAACAGCGCGTCAAATGGCATCCTGGTCCTATTTAAAGGACGTAAGTTTCCCGAGAGTAGAAGATGAGGATGTTAAACTGTTGATCGGGTGTAATGTACCGAGAGTACACGAGACGAAGGAGGTGAGAGCTGGAAAGACAGATGAGCCGTCTGCTGTGAAGACCTTATTGGGTTGGACGCTGTTCGGTCCTTACGGGGAATTCATTGATAACAACCGTGCACTTAATCACCTCCCGGCTAAGGAGGAACTGGAAGATAAGTTTGAGCAGTTGTACTCAACTGAATCGAAAGACCCGTTTATGTCTATGGAAGATCGTAGAGCATTCAACGCTATATCAAGCACAGTGCAAAGGTTAAATAAACGTGATGAAATTGCGATAAACCTGAATGGAACAAACCTTCCTCAGACTAAATCGACAGATCAGGATTTTTCTAGTTCTCTTTCTAATCATCCTGCTTCTCTCGCAGAAGCTTATGTTGCATCACTCGAAGCATCGAAAGAATTAGCTAAGTCACCTACCGTTCTATCAAGTCCTGCTATGGCTAAGAAAGACATTCCATCTGATTGTGTTCTCGGATCAAATATTTCATCAAACGTTGAGAATTCTGATGTGTCGAAAGATGCTTCGGTTAATTTATGGACATCATCATCTACAAGTCATGATTCTGCTTCGTGTCCTTTTACTACATTGGCTAAAGTTGTTACAGCTTCTCAGACAGACTGTAAGGATTCGAAAAATCTGGAGGATTCTGCTAAGGAAGCAGTTGAAGATAAACGGAAAGAAACGTTAACTTTAGCGGAAATCGACCTAGTTGCAGGTGAAATAGAAATGTCATTTATTCGACAGCATTGCCGAGCTCATAATTCCGATGCTAATAAACAGAGGTGTAATAATCTTGGACTTTTTCATTTCCAGTTAAATGATATACACAACAACGGTGCTGAAAAGAATAACGAATCTCTCTGCAGGTCACGGATAGTATTACGTTTAGTGTATAAATGCAGACTGTTGATTAATACTCTCAGTTGGTTACAAATGCCTACTGCTCTAGTTGACTCACGAACTTTGAGAATGGTTGCAATTAATGAGGTGGGTAGTTATGTAATGGCTACATGGCGCAACGACTTCCAATGTCTTGCTGAGGTTCTAGCCCATCGTCAGCGACATGGTACAAGAGCAGAGTATCGCATACGTTATGTTTGGGATCGCGTTGTAGAATGGACACCTGTCAGCAAGTTACGCAAAGCAACTCAGTACGAAATCGATTATGTCTTAAAATTCTGTAAAGAGCAAGGTACACTATCCACAAATAAAATCCCTAGTAAATTTGATCTGCAGTATTCATGTAGTAGTAGCAATGATTCTGCATCAGGAACATCTCAAGCTAAAAGAATAAGGACAAATGGGTCAGAAAGCAAGTCAATAGACCGCACTGCGGATCCTGAAACACATCGCTATCGGTCACGTCCTACTCATGTAAGTAAAAGTGGTTTCTCTGTCTTAGAAGACAAGAAGACTCTTCTTCCAAAATTATTTGATGAAATCATCGAAGAGAACGACACATGTCCATATAGATTCGACAGTTCTGTATCTGTTTTGAGTCAAACATTCACCATCAGGTCAAACCATCAGAACAGACGTGGTCTTAATTCAAAACATAATTCTATAAGAACCGAAAATTATGCAGCGGAAGCTACAGTAGCATCCTCACCGGTATCATCGAATTCATTTTGCCAGAAAAGTGATAAAATAAAGGGAACCATTACCCTATGCGGACCCAACGAGATGTGTAAACGAACGCTGGGAGTAGAGCGGAATATCCGAGCGGATGAATCATTTGTCAGAGTTCACGTGTTTCCTGAAAACCTGACCAGAAGGAATATTTTGTCGTTTATAGCATTAATCTTTGATCCCGGAGGAGGTATATGGAAACATATTATAAAGTCAACGAGAAGGAAGCCACAACATGGAGACTCACCGTTAGTAAACAATACTAGTTTGCTGAGAAATCTTTGGGTGGAAGCTATAGTTAGAGAAGTCAATTATGGTCCCGATGGCCGATTCAGAACGATTCGATTGAAGAGACACCGTAGAGATCAACCGAGATATACGAAACCTATGCCTAATGGAAGAGGTCGATTATTCGAGCGCGACGGCAACGAGGTCTGGACGTGGTGACCGCTTCGGGGGGAGTGTTAGTTATTTTATAACTAATTGTAGTTATGTCATAACTAACCAATCAGATTGGTTAAGCGCTCACCACGTCATCTAGTCTGACCGATGTATAAACTTTCTTTGTTGTGAATGGTCCATCGATTGAAGGATGTTATCATTTTATTAATATTGCTGTGACTCATGTTTTTTATTCATTTTCTAAAGACACGCTATACTGTCCGGTACGTTTGCTCATCCTGCTTGATAATTGTAATTTCCTTATTTATTGTACTAAATTAATCGTTTTCCTTTTGTTTAGAAAGAGATAAAGTTTAGAACCGAATTGTCTTCTGTTAACTATAGTTTCACTGGGGACTCTGTCATCGGCGGTAGTCGCGTTTACGTTTTTAGAATTACATCTGTAGGACAAATTTAAATCCTACAGAGAACCTAATTTTCTTCTGGGAAGTGTCAAGTGTTCTTTTACCGTCGTCTTTTTGCAACGATCTTGAATAATTTTATCTTTTTTATTCTCCCTAAATAAATATTAAATATTAAATTTCGAAAACAAACTTGACAAAATCACTTTGCAAGTGTTAGTCATAACACAATTTTATATTTAGAAGAGTTTTCAGTGACATGTTTTCCCCTACTTTTGGATTATTCAGAATTTCATAACCACAGCTACTCACAGGAACCAACCATGTACGTACTTTACATAATCTCATGATGAATGGTTTACTTTGAAACGCGTTTGGGCAAAACCTGATAACCACAGTATAAGCAAGTTGAAGTTGATTTTCCTTGTGACTTAAAAAGTTCAGACCACTAAAACCAGTGTGGTCAAATTACTCACCGTCACATAAAATAACAATCGATTCACTAAAAAAGCTATAAAACTTCATTGAGACATAATCAACTTCGTGTGTACAACCGATTTAATTGAGCTGATTATTAGTTACCAGTTTCCTCTAACACAGATAAAAATGTACTTAATTATACACAAAGATTCTTGATCAGGCATAAACTACTAATGTTTCTTTATAGAGTTAAGGAGATTGTTGTTTATGATTACGATCGGTCTAGTTAGACATTAACACCGTTGGCTGCTTACTAAGTCATCCAGAGGTTAGGCTTTTGCGCGTCAGACCGAACGCCCTGTGTTCGGTTCCTACTTCAAGCTTTCTACTCTGCTGGTCCGACAATGATTGATTCATGATTTCAATAATAAATTACTAACCTAAAAATGTGATGACGTACCTTCATTAGAGCTTGAATACAACAAGTTTTCCCTGTACCTGATGGTCCTAATGTCATCATACCGTGACGAACACGTTGAGTTTCATACAACTGTATAACTTTAAGAAACCATGGAGGATGACTAATTAGACGGGATTCTTGTAGGTTCTGTTTTATAGCCTTTTCAAGCTCTGGATAACCACCTTTGTCTAAAGAAATACCTTTAATAAAAGAAAAGAAAAATAAAACATACCAGTATGTGAAAGGTCATTCTGGGCCATTGTTAATTTATGTTCCTTTCCATTAGTCTTAGCCTTTTTAAGTATTTTTTGTAAGAATAAATGTTGATAGAATGAAATTCATATAATTATATTTGTATTCAGTGACACTCGGTAAATAATATCTACAACAGTAAAAATGTTAATATAATAAAGAAATTCTAATCTCTCGACATCCAAGCAGTTACCAGATTTTTTCTGAAATTTGCTGCCTAATTTCCATCTGAAGTAGAACTGTGATCATCCTAGATGTATTATTGTTGATCAAGTTTTATCAGTCAATTAATTACGCGGATATTTATTGATCAAGAGATGATCAATGATGATCCTGTTTACCATTTCCAACTTAATAACGACGAATACAGAACAGATCTAGGTTGAGATTTTTCGCATACTGGCCTCAAAATAACTTGATGAATAGATTTTTAATACTAGTAGCAAAAACTCTATGGAGGCTGACCTTTGATTGAGTAACTAAGATTTCACAATTTTAATGAGAAAGGGTTATACAACGTATAATTTTCCATAAAATCGGATCTTGGCAACTTTCGCCAAACAAACATCGTCAAACACATGGCTCAGTAGGTGAATTTTTATGTGCTTAAAGTTGATCTACATCTGAAATAGTCAGCTTGAACGATTAAAAATAAATGAGATTACTTTTATGAGCTAAGGATGATTTATTAGTTTCCTTTCTTTCCTGTTGTTGGTTTTGACACGATAAACAACTTCATTGTCAATCTAATCAGTGTTCATGACTTTCATTAGTATTCAGTTAATAGTATGAAAATTTAAGATTGAATTAAAAACGTACCAGGAAATAGGTCATCAAGTAACGATAAAAATAATGGTTCATCAGGTCCAACTAATTTACTCAAATTCATGTCACGTAATACACGCATTACTGTTTCGAATTCTGTATCATTTGGATTGGCACGTTTAACCGCACCTAACGTACGTAACACAGAAAGAATATTTCGTAATCCGAAGTCATAATGAATCTGAAATAGAAAAATTAAAGGAAAAATTACTTGATGCTGGTAAGAATTTTGTTTGAAAGGAAATGAAGCAGAGAAAGATAAACAAACGAACAGATATTTGCGGTGTAGCAAACAAACAACGGAAAAGTATGAACACCTAAAATAATACTGTTCACAAGATTTACAATGCTAAATCTGCGGAGAACTCATTATTCAACTAGGCTTTTAACAGATGATGTGAATTTATTTCAGCCAGATGAATCGCGAGTAACGGAAAGAATTCAATCCATATTTTGAAATACGTGAATATCAAAATTTATAGTAATCAAATACAATGATAGACCAGTAGATAACATAATTGCTTGAACTAAATCTATAGTCGATGTGAAGATCGCTGAAAGTCACTGTCACAGAAGTCCCTACATGCATGAAATTTAACAATAAATGACTAAAGTGAAATTGTGACATACGGTGTAGAGATAGAACAGTGAAGTGTTATTTTTCATTCCTAAAAATATGAGTAGCATTCAATAGTCCGCTGAATATTCTCTCTCTCTCTCTCTCTCTCTCTCTATATATATATATATATATATATATATATATATATATACATATATATATATATGAAAAAATCTACCCACCTGTTTACTCAGCTGTTCTTCACATAATTTATATAATGTGTAAAACTTCTGTGCTGATATAGTATTTTCAAGGAAACCACATGATGCCAGTTTAACACGTATAATTATTTGTCTGTCGGGTACCATCATGGCAACTGTCCGGAAGTTGATTTTCAAATTTTCAGGCAATTCCTGTCGTCCAGCATAACCAGGGTTCTAAACATAATAAACACATGCAAAACTACTTATGAATATCATTTTAATATGCAGAAGCATCTAATTTCACCAAGATGCGTGATGCGTAATAATATGATAACATTAACAAGGTGAAAAAAACAGTAGAAAAACTGATGAGTGGAGTTTCAGAGCACAGTTCATTCGAATCGATAAAAGCTCGACATTTCAGAATGTCTATTCTGTATTGTATAGCTATGAATGTGGTTAAAATGGAATTCAAAGCCAGTCACCTGGTACGTCGGTGGAATACAACAATTCTTCAAAGTTACATACATTGAATGGCGGCAAAAGTTATCAGTGAATATTTTACTTCAATGTGACCATGAAAAAGTTCGTCATTTATTGAACACGATTATCGGAGAAACGCAACATAAGTATTAAATCTTCAGAAATATTGCAAAATCTATGTATGAGGCATGTGTACTTGGTTCTCAAAATTACTGTATATACTTCGTTCATTTTATAATTGTTTTTCAGCAGCTCCAACTAAGTTGAAGCAATGTGATCGGGTTCGATAGCAGCTAGAAGTAAATATTTCTCCAAAACTCATGTCTAATTTAGTATTCCAACGAATGAGGTAAATAAACCTAATACAGCATAATTAACGAAGACAGCAAAACTAGTTGAAATAGTCAACTATTTAGACAAAAAATAGTTTACTAGCGACATTCCGCTGCATACTACTCATACTACTCTACACACGCCACTGGTATTATCCATCACAAGAGAAGTTTCAGGAAAAACGAATATTCATTAAGTTTAGTGAATTAGTCTCTCTGAAACTCATTATAGAATTTTTTGAACTATCATCCAAATTTTGATTGATTTATCTGCAAAATAATGCGTATAGGATGGACAATCTTGAAGCATTCTGTGGAGGTATAACAGAACAAGGTGATCTAGTCTTGTTTTCATCTTTTTAAAGAAAATCAAGTTATCGTCTAGTCAGATCAGCGAAAATGTAAAGAAGGGTTTAGTTTATGTATATGCTGAATTGTTAAAATAAAATAAAATGGTGATTTAGACTAATATTCCCAAAGTAAAAAGACACTACGTTAGTTAGTGATTAATATATTTAAATCTGTTTTGAACCAGTAGGCTTTGACAAATAATACTGATAAGCTAGTCAGCTGGAAAGTTATGAGCTTACTTAAATTATTTACAATTACAAAAATCCGATATATTTTAACTGTTCCTGTTTGGTCATTTCCAGTTTCCCATTCTCCATGTAATAAGAATATATCCCTCATTTGGAACAATTAAATTATCTGGACTTAAAATACGGGAATTAATAGAAATTATGATCAAAGCTTAATCAACTTAAGGGTATTTGTAAGTAACAGGTATGTGAAGGTTAAACACCACACGATATTCATACCATTGTCAAGAATATTCCGAATTGTGGATTCATAGCTATAGTTTCACCATCTGTGAACACAAACTGAGATTTATGCTCCTTTTTACATGTCAATATGATAGCGATCTGTTGAGCGGCTACAGACAACACAGGTAGTTCAATACGATTGAATTCATCAAAACAACCCCAAGAACCAGATTGTGCTAAACCTTTGAATATTCTGCCTAAGCCACGAAAATCCATTTGGTCAGAACAATTTGATACAATGACATATTTTCCTAAACATCTACCCATATCTTTTACTGTCTCTGTTTTACCAGTTCCTGCTGGTCCAGCTGGTGAACCACCCATAGACATGCCAATCGCTTGCGCAAGTGTAATATAACATCTAGAAATATGCAAAAAAAATAAACAAAGAAAAAGAAATATAAGTTGTTGACTAACATGAATGAGTGAGTAACGAAAATATCATATATACGCTTTACTGTGTTGAATGCTCGAATTCATACTTGCAAAGAAACAGTGAAGTAATCAGTGACACTTATGCACTCTTGTCAATTTTATCAAGCTAAATTAAAATATAATTCACGTCAGCAATGATAGTTGAAAAGTTTGATGGTTTCGAGAGGAACCAATGCTCTCAAGCTATTTAAATCCTGGGTTAAAAATATCTCAATGAAAAATCATCTGATTGAACGTAATTTACGAGACACTTAGGCTGTGATTCATAGATCTAGAAATTGTAGAAAACAGTTAATTTGTAGGTCTACTTTTAGATGCTGGCTTGCTGAAGGCTTTACGAGAAGCGATAAGGTGAGAGCTAATACCACCTAATTAACATGGTTTCTTACGCCGGCTACATATTATGGAGCATGGGGCGTCGATCAGCAATCTTCAACCTATTCTGACCTGAACCGTCCTTTTTAGTTGTTCGCAAGTACTATTTATCCTTCTGATGTCTGTCCCCGTTTCCCTGCTCAATGTGTATTTTGGTCATCCTTCTTTAATTTAGCCTTGATGATTCCGAGTTAGGGTCTGCTTTTTGCTGATGTTTGATGAGTCCTAACACCTCTAGCATTCTTTCACACTATCTTGAGCTAGAAGTTCGCTTATTCGCTCCCACATTCAACTACGCCTAATGGTCTCTGCCCAATCGATCTGGAGTAGCTCTGATGTTCCTCTTCACTTCCTTCTTTGCCTCTACGTATTCAGCTTTTGCCTTGGTTTTCTCCGCTCGTGTTCGGCTGATACTGATTGCTGCCTTGGTGTTTTTCCTTTGTCGAATCTTATTCAGAGTATCCACAGAGATCCAGTCCTTGCGCTGATGCTTCTTGTGGCATAACCATTTAGCACCTAGCATTATAATGTTTAGCTCTTAATTTTACAATCGTTATCAGTACAAAAAAGGTAAAATGAAAAATCTCAAACAATGCTATCACAAAATTGACCTTCTGGATGTGCAAATAAACACGTATTAATAAACATGTTGAAAAATCTTAGTCTATTATTAGTTAATGATCATCCAATGATACTTATTGAAACAGAATGCATTGAAAAAGGGTTTTGGAAAAAAATAAGTACCAACTAGTTCACTGTATTTCAGAAAGACACTTTCAGTAAATATGTCAGATACGTTTTGTATTATTACAATAGGATTGGTACACCCATAATGTCGTATAAATATTGCAGAATAGTTCATATAGACCGTGTAGGAAGATCAGATAATTCCAGATGATAGTAATATGATTAACGAAGACCAATTTGATATTACTTTCGGCATAATTTCCATTTGACAACGGCAATCATTTAGTGGAAGAATGGAATAAACTGTTTATTCTGTTATTGTTTAGGTCAACCTAGAGAAATATCTTTCCACTTCTGATCAGTTAAAATTATAAATAAAATCAATATATCGAAAATGAAAAATTCACTTTTCCGAATAAAACTAATGCCTGTACTGTTATTATCCTGTCTATGAATAATAGAACCATTTAAATTAAGAAAACTTGCCGATCTGTAAGTGGTGTAACAACTAATCGTTCTACACATCCAATAAATTCATTTTGATAAGTGAAATCTACATCGGTAATTGAAATGAGACATAGATCTGAATCTTCTAAGTAGTAGAAACGTGTTTGTTTAAGCCAATCAAAATCTGTCGGTGACCTGATACGGTCTTTAACCTAAAACAATAAAAAGAAACTTCTATTGAGACAAAAATATACATCCATGAGAATAAGATCTACGTTCGAACACTAATCGTCATGAAATGGTTAAATGCAGTAAAATATAAGTATTAATAAACGAAAAAAGGTTTTCGGATATTCCTTTAAATTAAGTGATTTTGTAAGGATCAACCTGGACAAATTATGCATGCAAAATGCGTACACTATTGTTGTTCACTTTAAGTATCAGAGTTTAAATGACATCACATTTAAAAGTTAGTCCTTGATACTGTGAAGTATGGAAATTTCGTTTTCATTATACATATATTATACACTAAATATTTGTCTTTAGCATAAAACCACCACTTCTTTTAACCGATTATCAGTTTCGTTTTAGATGTTTTCCGGTCGCGACCGAATGTGTGGAATCAAGAAGAAATTTAAAGATTGATTAGTATAATTAATTTCAGTAAGTCTTTACCAAGACAATCATCCCAAGAATTCGAGTACAAGAGCTGTAATATGAACTGAGCTAAAAAAATCAATAGAAGCATGATATGACAGATAAAAGATTCGGAATATTCAATGAATAGTACGATCCTTTATCCAAAATAGTGGTTGTATCCAACAGATCACTTTGTCAGTGAAAATGAACTCCTACTTAGAATAGTAACATTTGGGGAAGTGATTGAGTGAGACTAATTATTTGACGGCTCTACTGAAGATATGAGAGAACACAAATTTTACATTTTGGAGAAATGTCCTCACTAAAAACTGTTCTAGTCTTCGTAGACACTAATCTAACCGCTGTTTAAAACTTTTTGGAGATGGTTTCAGTCTCTATTTAGTAGTGCATATACCTGTCAGAGTGACATAAATGGATTGAAGCATGACTGCGCTAGCTGCGCGCTGACTGGCTAATTTCCTATCCAGTCAGCGCCTAGCCCATACTTGGAGAACAGGCTAGAAAATTCTCGTATTGTTAGCTGCATGCTGATTGGCTAAATGTAATCCGGTTAGTGCTAGTCGATCACGTGAATTACATTCCAGAAGCTTCTCATGTAAAAACTATAAGGACACTAACGTTGTATCTATTTCGCCTTCGGCTTCGGCTTCGTATTTCCACTTAACCTTGCTATTTGGAATATAAGCTTTTCCTTTTCCACCGTGTTTTGATTCTTTGGAACTTGTCCAGTGTATTGAGGTCGGAGAATAGGAATTTGTTGTGAATTATTTAAGCAAGCGTTACAACAATACCCAATCTTAATAATCAGTCGTTTTCGTAACGTCTTTGTGGCTGTGACGTTAATATTTTCCATAGTATGCATATAATCTGTGTAATGTTTCGTCGTGGTAATTAATAAGTGACTTAAAATTAAATTTCATGATGCCTGTGATTCCTCCTCATCACGATGATTCAGATCACCAACAAAGTTTAAGATTTGATTTCATGAATCAAACCAATCGTTCTTGACGTTTAAAAGTCTCTATATTACTCTGAGTAAACGTATGGTATTCAAGTTTGCATTAAATGCTTAATTAGAAATAACTTACACACCATAGATTTTTCTTTGTAAATAAGAGTAATTAAAACGCTCCATAATCATCTCAATAGTTTAGAGAAACTCGGGACATTTAATCTGTAAATTTACAATCTTATCCAAATGGGTCTAAATTCGTCTGGCCATCGTATTCGGACAACCAATATAGTTTGTAGGTTTTTGCTGTTTCTACATTAAAGAAATCTAACCTTTGTGGTTGACAAGGATATTTTTTAATGGGAACATTGAAGAAAAAAACAGATAAGTACTGCTTATTCTTGATAAATGTTGTAAACAATTGTTAGGCTTATAAACAGACATACAATAATGTATCAACTGTACTTACTAATGATGCGAAAATATCTTTTTGATGTAAATGTATGGTGATTAATGTTTCTAATTTAGTTCGTTCCACTTGCGTTAAATTTTGTGTAGTGTGCTGTATAAGCATATTTAGTAGACGACCAAATTCATGATCAGTTCTTTGCATAATCTTTTTGTTATATCTGGCTTCTTTTAGTGCGTTAGTTGAATCTCTTGTCCAGATAAACTGGATGCCCAATAGCCCAACCTAAAGGGAAAGTAAAGGTGAGAGGTTAATTTAATCGCTACTCTGAAAATCGTTGGTAAATGAGTGAATGTGAAACATGATAATTACGTAATATTATCAAAAATTTGTTTAGTTCTGTTGACATTGCTCAAACAGTCGTGAGTAGACAAATTACGTCGGACGAAAATATAGGTTTGTGCTATTTTCTGAAAAAACCAGGAAACCGATAACTTTATTTAAATAGTTTTAACACTTTTTGTTTGGTTGCTATCTTTCTTTCAGGAAATAATCCCTTCACATTTCGCTGTAGCAGTCCCACGTTACGTAAAATTATGGTTTTCGTTTACATAAGGTCATGAAGTATATACTATGATATTATGTCTCTTTCATAGTAATGTGTAAACATCTAATGTGGTTTGATAGAAATTCAGTTTGTCTAAACTTTTTGTTGTTATTCAAGCTAAGTGAACCTACACAAATGACGGTCATTGAAAATGACTGATAAATTGACCTAAGCTGGAGAACTGAAAATTAATTTTAGTCAACTGGTTTTGATCGCAGACCATGCCATTTCACGAAGAGCACGGAAATCGCACAATGTTAAACTCAGAGCATTCGGTTTGATTGATAGGGTGTCAATGATATCATTTTGACTCACCAACAGTAAACTCGAGAAAATTAAACACATTTCAAACCTGACCGTGTGTTTATTAACGTGACTACGTAGGTATACATACAGATGACTGATTGCATTCATACTACTTTATCTGAAGACAATATTTGACTTCATCAATCGATAGACCGAGTAGCAATGTTTATTACTAACAGTTCTGCTGAAAAGATTTAAAGAAATTTAGAAAGTTTTTCAATCAAATATTCTCCAAAGAATTTTTAATTTCTATTACTTTTTGTAATTTTACATATTCTCACAAGCCGTCTATTGATTCTTACATTATACTGATCTTTCGTCGAAACATTACTGTTTGGGTTGGAGCCTAATTACTACCATATGAACTGAGAAAATCCATTAGTGTACTTCAGAGAGTTGGTAAGATCTTCGTCTTTTTATCAAAGAACAGGCATACTGAGCAATAGCTAGTTCTACTGACCATATTGTTACGAAAAATGGTTCATGAAGCTGGAGGATATGTTTAAGCTACTAATAATTTATCATATACTACACTTTGAAGCAGCGCTTACGCATGTTAGAATTTCCAAGCTAGTAATATTGAAGTTAAACTTTGGGTACTAAATAGAGATATCAAATTTAGATAGGATAATAAGACAGAGCTGAATGCAACTGCATTGAGTTGACTTAACTTCAATTTCGCAATACGATCAAAATTTAAGAAATGGACTAATTGTTTTACGGATATTAGGTCCGTTGATTAGGCTGTAAACCCTTTTAGAATGAGGTGGTTAAAAAATGTGTCACACATATCGAACAAATAGCCTTCCACGACGTTTGGTGCTTATAGGTGTAGAAGGAGGTAGGATAAAAATTGCTAATTTCTTTTGAGTAAATGAAAACCAGTTAATGGCTAGAATATGGTAAGCAAAATGTAGATGAAATGCCATATATTAGCATGATGCATAAGTAACACTAACCTGGGCAGGGAATGTTGCAAGAAATTCTGATATGTTGACATCTTCTTCCATCACTACTTGATAGCCTTCTCTTATTACCTGATGTAATGAGAACTGTGCTTCTTGCAATAATTGATTCAACCAAACTTCTACATGTCCTTCGGCTTTTACTGGGTGCTCTAACTAAACAGAAAAAACACACAATACGAAACAAGTAGTCCCCTGGTAACACTCAGAATTCTTGAGTTCAATGGGATGTAGCACACTGTGAATAACTGGCTACTCCCGCGAGTACAACTATGACTTGGGCTTGGCTTTATAAATATAACGTGTGAGAAAGTAAATGTTACAAATTCAATTATTATTTGCTATCACTAAGCCAGTCAAAACGATTGATGAGCAAACTTAAAAAATAAATAGTTTGACAACAGAGGCTTTCCCTGATGTGGGCAGCCGGGAAGTGACAACCGCCCTCATATCCGTAACAGCACACCAGACCAACTTGGTCAAAATCAAATCCCTCTTACACCCCTAATATCTGTCTTATCTCTACGACTAACTCTTCTCACATTACCTTATTTCACTGCACCGCTAATGCAAACAATGCGAGTTCACGAAACGTCGTTCCTGGTCTCCTTAAACCTCGCTCTAGACTACATGTTGGAGCATTTAATGTACGGACATTGTGTCAAATAGGGCAACAGGCTTCCTTAGCTAGGACTTTAGAATCTCGTGCCATCGATGTATGCTGCGTCTCGGAAACGCTCATACAGGATCCTAGTAAAATTATTAATATGATTTCAACTTGTAAAAATAAAGAAGCAGCTCGAATTACTCTTCGTGTATCCGGTAGCCCTGATGCTGCTTCCCGAAGTCTTGCTGGCGTAGGCATAGCATTGAGTCGTAGGACATAACTAGCTCTCCGTGGTTTGATCCTTGTATATAGTCGCTTGTGCGGCGTCCGACTCAACGGGTCAGTAAGGATTCGAAAGGATAAGGACACTTGTCGTTGTCTCTTCGTCATATCAGCCTACGCCCCCACTGACTGCAGTTCAGACGATGTAAAAGATGAGTTTTACAGCTTTCGGACCTGCTCCAAAAGGTTAAGCGCTCTGATATAGTTATAATGGCTGGTGACTTCAGTGCTCAAGTGGGTAGACTAAGTGAAAATGAAAGACACCTAGGTGGATGTTATGATGTCACAGCTCAGAGAACAGACAATGGCGACCGTCTGTTGCAACTATGCTCAGATAACCGCCTATTTCTAGCAAATACTTTAGGCATAAGGAAAAACATCTGTTGACCTGGCGACCCCGAAAGTCGTCTCAACGTTGGGACCAACAAGATCACATCGCCATCAGCCACAGATGGAGGAGTTCGATAGAGGACTGTCGGTCGTTCTGAGGCACATGTTTAGATTCAGATCATGCCCTAGTGCGAGCGCGTATTTGTTTGAAGCTTACTGGGCGTAGGAAAGACACCGTAAGAAAGCCTCTTAGGGTTTTACTTAATGATAATAAGGCGAAAAATATATTTCAGGAACAACTAGAAAGACAGTTAGGCGACCATTTAAGCGATTCCCATCCGGAAGCAGGATGGAATGATATCAAGAAGGCTGTGGAAACAGCAGTGATATCTGCTAGCAAAGTAAACCATAAGCCTAGGATGAAGCCGTGGGTCTCAGTAGCATCCACCGAACTGATAGAGGCTCAAACACTCATCCCACCTGGCTCTGAACATGATAAGGAGAGAAGTCAGCTTAGACACAGGCTGATAAAAAGCCTACGTAACGATCGTGAACAGTGGTGGGTGGAGAAAGCGAGCGAGATGGAAAAGGCAACTGTGATAGGCAACAGTAGGCAACTATTTAGACTCATCGAGAAGACTGGTATTGGGAACCCAGTTGTGGGTGAGACTATTTCGGAAAAGGATGGTCTTATTATCCATTCTCAATCCAAAAGACTGGATCGATGGGCAGAACACTTCAGTGATCAGATCAACTGGCCACGAGCCACTCTTCCGTTACCCACGCGATCTGCAGTCATCCTGAGTGGCGAATCGACGTAAGTAGATGAAGTAATGAAACTTCATCAGTTGAGGTGGTTGGGACATGTGTTACGTATGCCTAACCACCGACTGCCGCGACGAGCTATGTTTTGTGGTGCAGGAGTAGGTTGGAGGAAAGCTAGGGGCGGCCAGACCAAAACATAACAGAAATCTATGAAGTCACTGACAAGTGGACTGAGTCATGTTGGTAGATGTAGGCTATCTGGTGGGGGTCCGCGAGACGACAGTCACCGATGGTTAGAGACCTTGAACGACATGGCTCAAAATCGTTTGCAATGGCACAGGTGCATCCACTCTCTGTGTGCTTTTTAATTCTAACCTTCTGAATTCGTCATCACCTCTATCTTTCTCCTTCTAAATTTATCTTACTGAATTATACTTTTTGAATCATATCTTTGCTCCCTAATCTTCTCCATTGCTGCTAATAGTTCTACTATCGCTATCACTCTTGGATTTGAACTGACAGTTACGTCTCTGTGCTACGTGGTATGGCAACATGAACTGATGTACTTATGTACGAAGTTCTGCGTTGTACTTATCTTTCTGTCTGTCTGTGACAGCAGAGGCGGAAGTAAATTTAGTCTCAGTTCTGTATTAACAGTTTTAGCTCTATCTACCTGTCCAAACTAAAAATAAAAGAGCATTTTAAATTTAAATATAGATAGCACAAGTGCGATAATCTCTGAAAAGTCATAGCAATTCTTTTTTATCAGTTTCTATATTGAGAAGAATACAGTCACCTATTTAGTTGGAATAATTATCATACGAGATATAGGTTTCTTAATCACTAAGCAAACGTTCTTAGAGCCGGATTATTTTAAAGCAGATTTTTTCATCATACTGTGGTGCTGTGGTGCGAACTACTTATAAGTAGTATATAACGTGAGTGTCAATGTAAAGTCTGGTAGCATAATATAGGGGGAAGATCAAGAAAGGAAGAGTTAGAAAACAATGGAATTTGTATGAAACGCATGAATAGTGACAATGGATTGATGTTTGGCAACAGGAACAGTCCAGTTCCATAGGATGAACTGATCTTTTGCAAATGAAAGATTTACGATATGGTTTTCCGATTTTACTGAGTAACTCTGTAATTTTCGTATATTAAAATTCGGTTGCCCACCTGTGTTCTCATTCACTACAATATGAGCTCATTATTTTATAAGAAATATGAATACTAAGGTCTTTTACCAGGCTAACTAAATGTTCACAAATAGGGTTTATATAATTTTCACGATATTTTTGTTTCCACCTACTGAAAGGTTTGACAAACTGACTTAATAAAATAAAGATCCTAGAACAATATAATTTAAAATGCCTAACGCTTTCAACCAGTTTTTATGACGCAAAGATTCATATTATTTAACGCGTCAGTGGTTGCATGATTAGTTGAGATCTTGCTTCAATTAAAGGAATAAGAACGGAACTATTATCAATAATATTTCGGATTTTACCTGCATAAGATGAATTAAGCAGTTGATTCAACTTCTGTCTGACATTATGTCACATCGTGGTGTCACAACGTGAGTTCTACTTAGTATGCAGTGGATCGTGATCCAGTAGTTACTACCGGAGAGAAGAGCGTCAGATCCGAATACTAGAAGACATGTGAAAAAAGACAGACAATAATCTGCTTGTTTTGCAAATGGAGGTCTGAAGGTTAGGTGTACATATTTCGCTAGTAAACTATGTCTTGTCTAAATATCTAACTATTTTGTCGAGTCTTATAGTTCATGTTTATCATATTACTGACTTCTTATGTTGAAAAAAAATCTTCTTTATCAGTATTAGGAAAATAAGCCATCAAATTAAGATATTCTCTACAAACAGGATGCAGTGAGTCCTAGTTGCTATTACTTCTTGAATTCAGTTTTACCACACTTAGTATCGGGATTGCATACTAACATTTGAGCAAACCCAGTAGCAAGAAAACCGTGGACTGATGACGTACTTGACCAAGTAGACGGTAAGTTCGATTTTTTCTTCGCGTATAATAAAAAACAAGAGCAGTATTAAACTCTATTTATCCACCGTTGAAATATACGTTCAGGAGATCATAATTACATTTCCAAAACCGTTTTATAGTACTTATCAGTGAAGAAAACTCACCTCCAATACTTCACCTTCTTGTGAGTAACAAGTTAAAATTGTTTCATATTGTTTTTCATGAAACCTCACACTTTTAATGTTATCGAACACAGAAAGTAAATGTGCTTGTATCGCATGAGGATCTGATGCTTGACCCAGAATTTCCAGAAGAGTTGGATCAGAAACGAAAAAGAAGCGAGGGAAGAGAAGACGTTTCTTTTCCAAATAACTGGAAGTAACCATTTGAAAAATGCATATTATTGGTGAATAAAATCGAAATTCATTTGTTTTTTCGGCTATGAAGCAGCAGTTTGATAATCAAATTGGTCTTGACTTTAAAGTGAAATAATCGACAGTGTGATGTAGCACAAACTACAAATTCTCACTAAAACTACATTATGCCTAAATCGAACAACATTAAAGAACGAAGATTGGTTAGGCTGACAAGAATCGTTTGAGTACTCAATGTTGGATGAACTAAAATACTCAGTCTTAATAATAGTTTTCAATACCAGAAAAAAGGTCAAATAATTAACTGACCAATATTTCTAATAAGGGTTGATCTCGTTACCACTTACAGGAACAGTTTAATGGTAAAATCTATTCAAGTTTGAATTCCGTTGGGTATGCTTAATATTCCTATCCGCCATTAAGAATGAAAAAGAACATTCACAGTCCCTTGTTGAAAGCTAATTTACTGACTACTTTACATCATCACTTCATCTGATTTTCTTTAATCTACACAAACTGCAAACCTACATATAGGCATAAATATAAGAATAAATTAAGCAGTCTATTTTGCTGCTAAGCAACAGAAAAGCATTACTATAGTATTATTGCCACTTAGGTTGAAGTATTTCCGCATGAGTCTAAGCTGTATTCACCAAGGTTTATCTAAAAATGGATGTAGATAGTTTGATTCAGTAAAACATGTCTTTTTACTTAAAACCAAGTTATCCACACACCATTTACGGACATACGCATAATATAATATAATACTTATGGAATATACTGGTCTATTTCCTGAAAGCATTTGATGTATTAAGAGGTAGACATTAAATCATTTTAAAAGAACTTAGAAAAAGTTCCTTGTTTTATACACATCTCTGATTTAGGATAAAATACTCATATTATGCATAGCACGCACTGTTGTAAAATCACCTAACTCATGAGGAATCTAGGAATCCAGAAACAGTGTATACCGTAACTTCTTAGTTCCACAAAACATAAATCTAACTGATACCACTAATTCCCTTCCTTCATGTCTATTTAAATGACCATATATACTTTATATCATCCAATACGGTTGATAGCTGTGAATGAACAATTTTCTTAAACTATAGAGACTGTTTTGATGGACGAACCAGTCTTTCTTCGAGATGCTAATAAGCTCACTGAGTTCAAAACATGTCTCAGTGACAACAGAATAAGTATCAACAGATTGAGAACACGGATATTTAATCAAAATACCAAAGATATGAGATCATGACAAGCGAGAACCACAAAAGGACGAATTTGCGACTTCTAATCATTGTTCAGCAACAAAGTGAGTGTTACTGGTGGTTATGCAGTAATCTCCTTGGTTATGAGACGTCATTCTCATATGAAAATTCTGAAAACGGACTGCATCACAAAGTACGGGCAAGTGTAAAATACAATTGTTTTGTTTCGCCTTTTATCTTTCCGCTAGCTGTTAAGTGAATTAAGAAAACGATCTCATTTCAGAAGAAGCTCGCAATACCGTGAATGGTTGTATGATTTAGACTTTGCAGATTATTTAGTCCTATTATAGTGCATACAGTAAAAGATGAAAGCGAAAACAGCTAATGTAGCAGAAACCTTTCAGAAGGAAAAAAGGAGACCTTAAAGTAGAACACAGTGAGCACCAACCAATGTTTTATGGCTAAGCTCTGAATGAAGTGAAAGCATTAAAGTATCTGCGTAGCATAACTAGTTAGCAAGGAGGAACTGATCTGGGTGTGGTTGACCTGACTGTGAAAACCTTCAAATCTCAGGTGATGAGTGGAATACAGTAGACAGTTGGAATGAAAGTAGGCAGTTTAGACTTTACAAAGGATAAAGCTCTTCTATCTCATACACAACAATAAATACAGGTAAAGCTAGACAATACAGAAACGGCTTCCACAAATGTAGGCCTCAACATTCAAACATGGATAAGCACGATCCTCCAATGCAACTCAACACGCACAAACCAAATCACACTTGACGGAGAAGCTCTGGAATATGTGGAAACCTTTACATACCTGGGCAGCATCAATGGTAAACAATGAGGGTCTGATCTCTGTGTGAAGGCGCGGTCCGGCAAAGCAGTGGTAACATTCTTACATTTGGAGAACACTTGGAGCTCAGAACAACTTTAAGCCAACACCTAAGTCAGAATTTTCAGTACCGACATTAAACCAGTTCAACTGTATTTTGCTGAAGCTTGAAGAACTATCAATGTTATCGATAATATATATATATATATATATATATATATATATATATATATATATATATATATAAACAACTATCTACACAAGATACTGCAAACCTATCGGTAAGATCCCTCAGAAACAATCTACTCTAGCAGAGAACAAATCTGATATCATTTGAGGTGGAAATTAAAGGAAGATGATGGTGGTGGGTGGAATATACCTTACGGAAATCTCTAATTTGGAATCCTCAAAGGAAATGAATTGTGGTTAACCAATGAAGATATACCACAAAAATGAGGGCAGACGTCATGTCCAATAATAACACGTAACAACAACTGGTGAGGAGAGCCCTGAATATAGGTCGGCATTCTGTAGTCATAGGAGAGGCGAGAAAGTTAAACTTCTGTCATTTACTGAACCATAACAGTGTTAGGCATTTGACATATGTGCATCGGTTTTAGCTATTGCACAAACATAATGTTAGCAGTCATCACTTTGAAGAAACTTCAAATGATAATAACCTAGCATCTTCTAAGAAAGGCCATAACAATTTACATAATAAAAGATTCTTGTTGTAGTTATAAAATATCAAATTTTTAAAAAATTTACAGAATATGTTATTGTTTAAATCAAAGATAATACTCACCCAGTCAAACTTTTTTGACATATTTCTAACTGCTCCATTAGATGTGGTAATAACTGACTGAGCATTTCATCACCGACGCAGCATGTTAAAACATGAGTTGTCTCATGAGCTCTTTGCATGATGCGACACCACGATTTATCCACTTTAGAGAAGCGTTTAGCCTCATGTGGAAGTTGACGGGCTATATCACCGCCAATAAAAACGGCCTCAAGATAAATCCATAGATTTTGAACTGCCAGCCACTGTTCAACAATTTCGTTGGAATTCGATAACCGTGAGATGAAATTTTGAATATCTTTGCGGAACGGCGCATTGTAGCGATTACTCAAAAGAGGGGCAAGGGCCATTAACGAGTCCTCCATTAAATTAATCAGTTCCAAAGTGTGATCACCTCGTAGTAACAATTCACCACGATGTTTAAAATGAACAAATTCAAATTGTTGTGCACTCCATTCAGATTTTAAATTAAGTAGTTTTTTCTCAATATCTTGCTCTTTAATGGCTGCTATACAAACATCTTCAAAATCTTCATAGTGTTCAAGTAAAGGCGCATTAAGCACATTGCTTAGAGTAAAATCACTATCACCAACATTGAACGGTTGTCCAGTTATTGCAGCCAAACGTTTCCAATGTCGTTCACGCATGGCTGGATTGGTCATCAACTCCAATAATGGGATGATCTGGTCAAAATTAGCCAATGTCTGCTTCAAATCATCATATGCTGGATATTCATGTAAAGCTTTTGGTAATTTAAGGCAGCGGTTTTGGAAATCTTGCAGTTCTTGTGAAATCAAGTCAACTTTAACTTCAGACCACGGTATATCATAATAACTAGCTGTTTTGTTTAAAACCCTGTCATATAACTGGTAAAGTTTTTGTAGTAGATTTAACTGTTTCCTAATGGCATCCAGCCGAGTGTGCTCTGTAATTGGCAATCCGAATAACTGTTCACCTGCATTATACGTGATATAACTGCGATATAGATTATCAAAACGATTTTGAAATATAATAAGACGATCAGATGCTTCTCGAGGGGGTATGCCTCTCACCATTGGTCCAGCCTGATTTAAGTTTTAATATTAGGGACGAAAAATAGTATCGTATAAACAGTACTTTATAAAAAGCAGTTTATTCAAGAAATATCACAGAATCGATTCATGATCATACTTTCTGTTAACTTTCTCAAATAAATCAGTCAAATAACAAAGTTGCAAAAGTGCCTGTTTAACTGACATTTTTCTAAGTTCGTTGTGAGATTTTTTGAAGAATATTATGCGTCACTTTCAGTGAAATTCGGTCGTCTAGTCTGATAAAGAGGATTCAGATACGACAAAGCAAATTTGAATGTGTGCCCGGAAAAACTAATCTCATAATAACACCTTTCAGTAAACTGCTTAATACCGTTAGCATCATATATATTATTGGCTATAACCATGTCCATAATGCTATGAACCTGGAATAGTACCCAGTTTCAAGGAATTGTTTAAAGTGTTTGACTGATAAAATTAGAATGAAATGGAGTTATAGCTCAAGGAGCAACAAAAAATTGATAACTATAAGTTACTAATAGCTGGTAGGACAATTTGTGATTAGTCATGTCTTCTCGATTAATTTTACTTCATTTATTCTTAAAAGATTATTGCTTAATCATAGCATGTAAATAAATTGCAATTCTTAGACTATTCCTCCATTCCTACTTCATAAACTTAAACATATTTCCGAAAAAATAGATGGCTCTAATCCTATTAAGAGATGAAGTTTCAAGAAAGTGTTTTTGGAGAATCTTCAGTAGTAAGTAGTTTATCAAACTGAATTTCATGATGAAGTATATACAACATTTGATCATTCTATTTCCTTTTAAGGTATCAGTTCAGTAGTTGCTGCTTAATGAAATCACATTGTACCATATCAATGACGGAAACCCTCAACTTTACTAATTACGACTGTTACGGTGTGAAACAACTTTCAGGGCTGGAACAGCCTTTTGAAAGATATTTTCCTGAACATTGTGCTTGTATTTATTTATTGATTTCTCAATGTTATGTGAATGAATGTGTTGTAAAGAATAAAAAAATATTACTCTATAGAAGACTTTTTCAGTTTTTTAAATCAAGCATAAATGTTAGATCCATTAATTCTTGATTTATATATATGTATATGCTACATTTCACAATCAAACATTAAATTCAATGAACTTTGAGTTTGATTTATGAGATTGAAGTTTGACTGAGAAAATTTTATAATTTAAAATGTCATTCTATCAAAAGATATTATTAAAACAAGGTACAGTTCATGCAAATTCCATGCACTTACTTCATCATAATCGTTGTAGAATTTTAAACAGTTTTCATTAAACGTAGTTATATTTTCTAATAAATTATTGCGAAATTCTGGTTGAACCTCAATTAACTGATTTTGTACGTCTAACACTTGTTTACACAACTTTTCCCATTGATAACGTAAAGTATCTGCTTTATCAGTCTCTTCTTTATCTACTGGAACTGAGTGTTTAGCCAGGAAAGCATAAGATTCTTCAATAGGTCCAAGTTGCAGGTCAACATTTACCTCCATTTCACGTAAATCCTAATCAAAATAAATAAATACTTTTCAATCCACTGTGAACAAGTGGTGAAATCTAGTTCTTATTACTGGAGATGATGGAGTCTGATTTAGTTTTTCAGGTTCAATAAGGCGGAAAAACTACTGTGGTGCATCAACCCAGAGCTTCTACATAAATTATAAGATTACAGTTAATGACCAACTCGATTGAGACCAGTATCGAAGCATTCGCCGCTATGGTAACATAAATATTAGGTTTATTCTGATATATAATATGGTAACCAGTGGTAAAACCGATTGATATTCCCAGTTAGTTCTGACATACTGTGAAAGATTAATTATATAACTTAGCAAATAAGTTATAGATGCCTAACTGTAGGATATGGTTAACTACCATTCATGTTGAAATTTAGTGAATTGTTATTATTAAGTATAAATTAATTTAATTTCTATAAATCTGACTGTTGATGAGACTGTAAATAAATTACATAAGAAATGGTGTATTCACATGTCGCTTTGATTGATTTCCGGCGTCAAATAAATTCATATTAGAAGTGTTTGTGTTGTTATTTTGCGTTGTTGGAATTAGGGTTTTGATTAAAAACCACAAATCAGTCAAGTGATTCCGCAGGTATAACAGTAACGGACATAAAAATACACAATAAGTGAAAGACCTAGTTGGTCGTCTTTGTTTTACTACCAACTGGATGGAAATCTGTATATTATCAAACTGGAGAAGAGGCAGGAAGATATTCGATTCAATATAAAAATTGATTTAAACATCATTGAAAAAAGTTAGGGAACGACCAGTCAATGAATCGTGGCGTTTCATCCATGATTAGCATTATTCGGTTTATTGTTAAGTTGAAGAATTCACTTCATGTTTGTAACTTTTTTTAGTTTATAGTAGACTGAAAATCACGCAAGTTCGTGAAAATGAATAATACATATTACACAATAATCACAAATAGGTTGATATTCAAAAGTAAATAACTCAAGATGTCTTATGTAGTTTGACAACCTTTTGGTTTTTTAAAGTTAATCGGAAATTCTATTTGACGGGCAGGTTATCAGCAAACACAGGTAACTGACTATATCATAAGTACACTGGTGTAGACGAGTGTACTGTTCAGTAGTTCGCTCCGTCTTACTTTATGACTGTGAAACATGGCCAGCGAGAGTAGAAGATATTCGTAGGTTACTGGTTTTCGATCATAGGTGTCTTCGAAGCATTGCTCGTGTATCCTGGGACACCCGAACGAGTAACGTTGTTATTAGGAAACGGGTGCTAGGTGAGAATGGCGAAACAATAGATGAAGTAATGAAACTTCATCAGTTGAGGTGGTTGGGACATGTGTTACGTATGCCGAACCACCGACTGCCTGAACGAGCTTTGTTTTGTAGTGTAGGAATAGGTTGGAAGAAAGTTAGGGGCGGCCAGACCAAAACATGACAGAAATCCATGAAGTCACTGACAAGTGGACTGAGTTATGTTGGTAGATGTAGGGTACCTGGTTGGGGTCCGCGAGATGATAGTAATCGATGGTTAGAGATCTTGGACGACATGACTCAGAATCGTTTTCAATGGCGCCGGTGCATTTATTCTTTGTGTCCTCTCAAATCCTAATCTTCTGGATTCTTCAACACATCTAGTTTTGTCTTTCTAAGCTTATCTCACTGAATCGTACTTCTTGAATAATATCTTCTAATCCTAACCTCTCTGATTACTTTTAATACCTTTACTACCTCTACTACCATTGGATTTGAATTGACAATTACATCTCTGTGCTACGTGGTACGGCAACATGAACTGATGTACTTACGTACGAAGTTCTACATTGCATCTGACTGACTGACTGACACTGGTGTAGAAGATTGTGTACTTGTAATCGAGCATATGTAAACATGGGTTTGTCATTAGGGGTGAATTGAAAGAACAGTTATAAAATAGCATTTTTAAGCAACATTATTCTGATAGTACTTACTACAACTAACTAAAAGTTTTGAACTCAAAACTGACTGGATTCAACTATTTTAAGAATTAAACTACGACTCACCTTCAATGCATTCATCAGTATTCTTATATCATCCAAATCCTTGACGGGCTTTGATAAGATCTTTTCATACTTTTCAATCATTTCAAACAAAGATTCAACTTGATTTTTAAATGTTGAGTTGCATAATCTCCCGTATTCTAAGCGCCATTTCCTTGTTTCCGCAAGTAATCCATCTTTTAAACGGTCTGTGTAAATTGCTAGTGGACTGCAACCACATATTTCAGGCTCATTGTTGATCAGTTGATCCTGACGGGGAAAAGTATAGACAAAAATGTTTGAACTACTGTTTGGTAGTTAGAAAATAACGAAGCATTCAAATATCGATAGCTTTAAGCGATTTTTATTTTATGTGAAATAGAAACCATATTGTCACTAGCAGATAATCCAAGTTTAGCTGTTATTAGAAATCTGTGAAACGTTTAACGGTTTTGTTTAAATTATAAATTCTTAAACGGTTCGGTCGAAAGCTTTTATAACACTCAAAGGTTCAATTTTCAATTCAAGCGTTTCCAACTTATTATGAAATTTTTCCTACTTTATGACTGTATTGAATTCTTGTATACCTAAGATTAGTATACAGGGACTAACGCGGTATTCCTAGTTTTTCAATCAAATATGAATTATGAGAGGAATAACAGATATGATTTTTATTTACAGAAAGTAGGTCTTTATGATATTAACTGTTGTAGCAAAGGTCACAAATTTATAACATACTAATAATGGTAATGAAGTGATTGGTGTATAGACCTGAAAAAGCCAGTCTGCTTCATCAGGTTCATGTATAGGATACACTTTTATTATTTTATTTCGATATTTCCAGGTTATCCAGTTGTCTCTATGTGAAGAAACCTAATAACTAGAGCGTACCACATAAATTGCATACGGCCGTCTTGTAATGCCAGAGTTCATATCAATCATGATAAAGGATTCATGATCATTTTACTTATTGGCTAACTGCTCCTCTTATAATTTGTAATGAATGTTTCATCTATAGAACAATATTAAAATACAGTTTAATGGTCGTAAACTTAAAGGTCAGTCAGTCAGTTACAAAGTATAACTTCGTTCATCAGTACATACGTTCAGGTTGCCATACCGCATCAGCACAGAGACGCAACTGTCAGTACAAATCCCATAGTGGTAGCAGCACTACAAGTATTAGCAGTAATGGAGAAGATTAGGGTTCGAAGTTATTATTCAATAAGTATAATTCAGTGAGATAAATTTAGAAGGAGAAAGATAGAGGTGATGAGGGATTCTGAAGATTAGAATTTGAGAGAAAACATGAAGTGGATGCACGTGCGCCATCGCAAACGATTTTCAGACATGTCGTTCAAGGTCTCTAACCATCGGTGACTGTCTTCTCGCGGACCCCAAACAGGTACCCTACATCTACCAACATGACTCAGTCCACTTGTCAGTGACTTCATGGATTTCTGTCATGTTTTGGTCTGGCCGCCCCTAACTTTCTTCCAACCTATTCCTACACTACAAAACAAAGCTTGTTCAGGTAGTCGGTGGTTAGGCATACGTAACACATGTCCCAACCACCTCAACTGATGAAGTTTCATTACTTCATCTACTGATTTGCCATCCTTACCTAGAACTCGTTTCCTAATGGATAGCATTGCTTACTCGGTTGCCCGAGGATACACGAGCGATGCATGTAAGACATTTTTGATGGAAAACTAGTAAAATACGAATATCTTCTACTCTGACTGGCCATGTTTCACATCCATATAGTAGAACGGAGCGAATTGCTGAGCAGTAGACTCGTCCTTTGGCTAATAAACGGATATCTCGCTTACGTCATAAGTGACGCAGGTTGGCGAAAAACAATCGAGCCTTCTGTATCCGTGCTGAAATTTCGTCAGTCACCAGACCATCAGCACTGATGAGACTACCGAGATAAGTGAAGTGGTCTACACGCTCGACTAATTCATTCCCTATCACTATTTCAGGTGCCGATGCAACCTGGTAGAAAGTCCACTCTTGAAAAGTAAGAAGATGATAATGTTATATCTAAAAGCATATCTACGACAAAGTTATCAGGGATGGAGAGAGTTGACATCCCTGACGGACACCACTTGAAGTAAGCAATTCCAATGACAGTTCGCCGTAATCTCCTACTCGACCAGTTGTGCTTGAGTAGACAGACATTGTCACAGAACCTCACGATGAACAGAATCGAAAGCTTCTTTAAGGTCGAGAAATACTACTGTTGTGAGGCATCGAATCGAGTTTCTTTGTTCTATGATCAGATGCAGTGTGGATATTTGGTCTATACATCCACGGTCATGTCGAAAGACAGCCTGGTTGTCTCTAGTCTGTTGTTTACGAGCTTTCATTAAGTGTCGGAGTATTATTGAGGCCGTTATTTTAGCTACTCTATTAGTTAGGCTGATTTCTCTGCGATTGTCACAAGAGGAATTTTGTAAACTCAAAGGATAACTTATTAGTTAACAGTGAATTGGGATAAATTTTAATAATCCTTGGATAAACTATATATATTTTGTTGACTCTGTTTATTAAAATAGTCTCGTAACTTATTGAAAAATAATATCTGAAGTATAAGTTATGTTACGTTGAATAGAAACCTTTCATGATCTCCGCTAATGACAACTGCTGGAATGTGAAAGAATATTTTCTTCCCTTTCATTTAGATGTAAATATTCATTTTTATAAACTGGTCAGAAGAAAAACATAATATCAAATATAGTTTCAGTAATTTTTTATAATATTCGTAGTAAAAATATTCAGACTGTTGCAGTGATCCGAACGAAAAGGTCATTTAAATGGTTCCAATAAACGATAAAATGCGTTCGCCTACTGTAACTGAGTCATTGATATTTGATCAAACTTCAAATTTCAAACTTCGGAACTCTTCTAAACTATATGCAGATTACGATTTGACAGAAGTTAAACACGGCAACCACTTTTAATCATAAGGTGAACTTGGTAGCTATATAATGTACGACTACAAACTTCAGTCTTTCCAAAGTAGTGGATGTATCCAAGTAAAGTAACTTAGAATTACAAGTGATAGTTGATCATTCTTCATAACCTTGATGGCTAATTACGAGATTCACTAAAACCTTCCTGACTCAGAAGTCCTTCAAACATTCAAATCTGAAGGTAAAGATAAAACTAAATCCGATAATCTAATTAATCGACTTACTTTCTCATAAAACTTCTGAATAGCCTCTTCAAAATCAATAATAGAGGGATTAGTTGACATGAATTTTTCAAATTCTTCCGTTTTTGATTTCTCCCATAACCATTTATACTGATCAAAATGTTGAAGTGAGGATTTTACGCTCTATAATTGAAGAGAAAACTTTTAAAGTTACAAAACATTTGTAAAGATTCTCAACATGTACAATGTTAGTGTGAATTCGTGAAGTAACATGACGAATTAATGAATTTTAACATGCCAACAATTTCACATTTACAATTTGTACTGTACTCAAAATGTTTGACTGAACATGCAGCTAAGTGAGCAAGTCCAATCACCTTAAAAATAATTTTATTTAACACTAAAACTGTTAATCAAAAGAAATGGAATTCGTTAGTAATTCATTTAATATGTTGAATTTACAAAACAACAATTTAACTTCGCCTCAGCAGGTACCGACGTGCCATTCGTTTTGAAACCATTAGTCACTTTTGATTAGAAAAACTGTTAGTATCGATAAACTTACTAGACATCGGTTTATATCACTGACATCTTCATGAGAGCTTTCTGTCAATGTAATAAGGATTCATTTTTGACTCGAAAGTCAAAGGACACAATCAATAGCTGCTCATTCTATTTGTTTCGAGATACGGAGATAATAAGAACTCATTTCCACTCATTTGGATAAATCTAAAACCAGTTTTATTTTCAAGAGGTTCGTTCACTACTAGGCTCAACTAAAGATTTAAGTGATTATGGATCCTAGCGCCTATTAAACTCTGCTTGCTAGACTGGTACTTCCATAATTATTATGAAAGAACGTTTTTTTCCTGTCATTCGAAAGAGGTCAAGTCTGATTCTTATCACCTACTTATTGTCTCAGACAGCATAACCAACATACTTGACACACTTCTTGAAAACCTCTGAAGTTAAACTATTATTTACCCTTTCTTAAAATATGTTAAAACTCGTTTTGTTCTTTATCTTGTTCAGAGTTGACAAGGTAATATGTCCCTTAACCGCTTGTTTTAAAGAATTATAAAGGATACACAGAAACTTTGTGGGCTTTAATTGAAAGATAAAGTTTTGTATAGACACTAAAGATAACTACAAGTTTCTTTACAAACATTGTTGGGTCATAACCCCTAAACGCTTTCCTAATTCTCTTCAAAAGGTCGGAAGTTTTTAGTTGCCAGCAATAATGGTTCGGCTGTCTGTAGAAAGTTAAGTAAATTTTGATAAAACTCGGTTTTACTTTATCCGAATTTTAGCTAGTGAGTGTCTTCAGTAACATTCAGTAGATTGCAATATCGCTTAACGAAATGGAAAAATAATGACTGCCGAATAAAATTTAAGAGACAAACTTTCTGAAATTGGTTTTTACCACAGGTTCGAAACAAAGCTCTTTGTAACAGATTACTAAGTTTCTAGATAATCGATGAGTATATCTTCTTGAAGAATAAGTTTAAGTGAACAAGGCCCTAGATTTGTTTATCAGGAAAAAAAATCTTGATCTTTTGCATAACACCAAATTGTTTAGATTTGTTTATTGTTCAGTTTCTTAACTTCCATCATTAACAGCAAGTGTTGTTGGGGTTGGAAAGATTAGTGAAATCAAAAGAATCGAAAAATCTTAAGATTGATTATAGACGAGAGTGACAATTGTCAATATTAATTAAACTAAAATAGGTAATAGTCTCGCGAGTAATGTGAAACAATAACTGAAACAGTGGTGCGAAATTCACAAATCAGCAATCTAATTCCATAGATACACTGAAATACTCTTATTTCAAACCCCTACTTAGTGAATTCAATCGTAACCAGTTAGGAAAAACCCTTCAATAGGATATATACTTATTGATTGAAACAGCCGGCAAGTTGTGAAGTTGAATTTCTTGGTTTAGAATTCTATTTCTCACTTATACTGTCTGGCTAATTTCTAGTAATTAAATATCGTAGGCAACAAGTTTCTTACTTTAATACGCCAACAGTTTCATCTAAGACTTCAGGCACAATAATATTCCATTAATGGCTTGGACAGCGATCAGTCAATTCTCTATTTTCAAACTCTGTATTTTTAATGAAATATTCTAATAATTATTGCTCTGCATACATATTTTTTGGTTCCTATATGGCTATTGCTGGTTAGTAGACTCGCATAAGGACTTTAGCAACTTCTAAAACTCATATCCATAGTTCCAAAACACCATAGATTATGTGAAACCTAGGACTTGCAAGTAAGACTCACTGACGGAGGTTAGTACATATATTAATGCTGTCGATTATCAGGACTTTTATCAACAGTATAGTGTAGTACTCAGCGCTAGTTTATTTTTTTTAACTTTAAGGAATTCAACAAAGCTACAAAGTGGAATAAATGGATATCGTTAAACTTTACATGGTACTCTATTTACACACAAAGCGACATATGAACTTTTGAGTCACGAATTTCGATTCAGAGACAGACATTTAATTTCAGACATTTTTAAACTACAACAGAACCCTCTGGTTGTCTTACAAATTATTATTTGAAATATTTGTAGCGTACCTGTTGAATTGATGAGAAAGCACTTGTAAGCATACCCCTTAGTCTATTTATATCTTTATTTTGGGAAATTTTATTAAAATAATTTGCAACATCTTTACTGTCGTACTGATTATCTTGGACACTGGAGCCTTCATCTATTGGATAGGTGGTTATTTCGTTAGCTTCAGATGAAGCGGTTGCTTCTCCAGTCCAGTCACTACTCATATATGTTGAACCGTCTATTTGACTTGATTTTCTAACTTCAATTGATGACAAGCTTTCTTCAACTTTAGAATGCTCCTGTAAAGAGAAAAAGGGTTTTGACAAGATTTTGTGCATTGACATTGAGAGACAAAAGTATATCAAAACAACATTTCTGGTTTAAAACAGAGAAGTTAGATATGACTACAGTTGAATAGCTAAAAACCGCTAACCATGAATAAGAGATGTAAAGCTCATTAGAAATTATTCTTCAGCAGAGCTTATTGGATATGTTGAACGAATTATAGGTGGTTGTTTCATTTCAGGAAAAGAAATATTGAACTTAACTGGGAATCAGTTAGCTTGATTTTTTTATATTTTTAATTCTAAATATGTCACATTATTTTCAACATATATTATCTCAATGATAAGTAATAATAAAAACGGAACAAAACGAACTAACTTTTAAGCCGAACGGATTACGTAATCTTAAATCCCACACCGAAACCTGACGAGCAACCGATATAACCAAACGTGTAGCAGTATTTATCGCCTTTTGAAAATCATCGAGAGGCGGATGGATTACAATTGATGGTATAGATAATTGAGCATGACATGAAAAATAAAGCTGAACTGATCCTTCGGAATTCATGCTCTCTGAAACGATGGACATCATAAATAGAGGTTTAGTTAGTTGGTAGAATGCGCTTAAACATGTAAATATCAAAGAAGTACTTTTCAACTAATTGATGACTTGGAAGTTCGTTGTTTTGAAGTCGTCGTTTCGGGTGGTTTATAAAATTTAAAAAGCAGAAATCAGTAGTTGCATAAAGAAGTAATCAATGGTAAGTGTGAATGCAAAGGTTGAAAGTATTAATTAAGCCATTTTAAATGGTTGTGTTTGTGAATATGATTTACAGAGTAAAGACATCTGGCATAAATTCTTCTAAATAATATACACTTGATCAGTATATTGAACATCAGGGCTGATTTGCAATCAAAAGTTTTCTAACTTCTTTGAAACCTCAAAGTTTTCGTTATGAAAAACTGGCTAAATTCCAAATTCTGACCATTTAATTTGTAAGGAATACTCAACTTATATATTGATAGATCATCAAAATCATAGTTTAATGTTTAACCTAAATCATAAATCGAGATCCAACCTACAGGGTATTTGAAATCTATTTACACTTGTTTCATGCAATAAAATTACCCGTTTCAGTCTAATTCATTTACTTCAACAGTAGTTGGTCTGGTACAAATATCAAAGTAGAACAGCTCATTATTCTTTAGCATCATCCACGGTTCAGACAAAATTGTACAATGCAAACTACAATAAGAAGAATCATCAGCTTACCGTAGGCTAAAATTGAAGGCAAAGTTAAACATCTACGAAGATTATCCAATGTATTACGAATTAATTTGGTTAAAGTATCTACAGTTCTGTGGTGAAAATGTTCTAATATCCGGAGTGCAGCATCTTCAAGCAGCCGTTTACGACATTCTCTTGCACTTTTTGTACCTGCTGTCCTTGAAATCGCAGTTACTAGGTAATTTTTTTTACAAAATAAAAACGTTTACGAAAATTTATTAACAAGTGATCAATGTTATGATGATAAGATATTTTCAGAAACACTCAGTAATGCGATATTTTTCTTTTGATAAATGTCTAAATTAAAAATCAAACTGAAATTATTGAAAGGCTGTTTAACGATATGTTGAAACGAATGAAAAATAACTGATTAACAGTAACCGAATACTTCAGCAGAATATAACCTTCCATTTATTTTGCATTAATAGCAAGATTACCATCTGTGAACTCTGAATAATAAATAAAAGGTGGGAGAGATGAAAGTTTCTCTAGATTATGTCCAAAAACCGAGAGTAAGAATGTTGGCCGATGTTGAAAAAAAGATGTTTTAATTGAGGATAAATCCGACAACTATCTAATCGGGACAAGAAAGAATTGTTTAGACTTTAGAATTGTTTATGACGTGCATAAACCTCCTATATGGAAGCCTCCAACGGGCTAAGGATTGAGATTATTTGTTCGTCTATAAATTACAGGCTCGCCGAACGTCTTCAGTCTTAAAGTTAAAGAAAGCAAGTCTTGGATATTGGTGCGCAATTCATTCATTCATTTGGCTGTGTAACATCTTGCTATTAAACCTGATATCAGTTCGTAATGAAATCCCCAAATATACTTTATCACTATAACTTTTAACACTACGCTCTAATCCTAGTTCCTCACTAACCCTCTTCAGACCCAATGAAGTATGTGGGTTTCCTAATAGTCTGTTTAACGTTCCTTGAAAGTCGCTTATATATATATACATAGGGAAACACTGTTCGTGAACTATCAGTTTAAGGGATAAACTTTTATTGACATACTAGAAACGTGTTGGGAGAGGTCAGTTCAAAAGACATTTCATACGTCGAATATTCGTTTAACCTAATACGGTCTCCACCTGTGTGCCAGTAAGCGAAAGCTGAGTTACTATGACTAACCAGTCCAAATGTATATATGTCATTTCCCTTAGCCTTGGCGAGCCTCTTCGAAGAAATCACATTTCTTTCCTTGTCCAAAGAATTGACTGGCATCACTCAGCACAAGACAACTTGGGTCATTTACGTTACTATTCTGCAACATAATCAGCTTCAAATCCTACTTCTGATATTATTTACACCATCTAGTCGAAGATGAGAAAAGTGTATTTCTAAGCCTATTTTGTACTGCAGAAGTATGAGGCATCCAGAAGAATTTATTTTTCTTTTAATAATCCTAAAGTCTATATATTTCTCATGTTCCATAAATTTCCTCATATAAAACTATTCAAAATCGCAGTCTGTTATTGTATTTAGGTAAATCATAATGAATCAGACTTTTAAGATAGAATATTACAACTTTCCTCAAATCGTATGAATTGGGACTAGCAAAAACATCTACTTTCTAGTGTGTCAAAAAGTACAGAGCAGAAATTTGCTCACCTTCTTCTCAAAAACTATAAGATACACAGATTGAAATTATACGATTCAATCTTTTACTTGAATGGACTGTAGAATATATATTACAGAAAAACTGATGAATTGTTAGTCTAAATTGACTAAAATAAACAGGTTTGTTATTTGGAAGTTTGCTTCATATTACTCAGTCCAAATCGGTAATCCAAAATCAGTCAATTTATTCAGGTTTATCTATACTTTTTGAGAGGGTTAGTTAAACCATCTGTTTCCTAAAAGTAAAGTATATGAAGTGGAGTCTAATTCGACAACTTAATTTTTAGAAGTAGAGTGATTTTCTCATTAATCGACAGATTAAATAATAAGAGAGTGATTAAACAGATCATGAGTGAATAAAACAGATGTGATTTTAATCACCTGACTTTTGGGAAGTTCTTGCTAATCCCCTAGAAGTCGTGTTTCTTTCATCATTTTCCTCTTCTTGCATTAAATATAACCGATATTCACCGCAAAGCATGTCGATTAATTCATGCACTGAATCTTGGATTATTTGACTTTTAGTTTCCAAAACATTCCCAGCTTCAGTACACAAGTATTTAGTATGTTCTAAGAAATAATCTATAGTCCACGGTTCTGAATCACTTAGTTCACACAAAGTTGTATTGGATATATCTCTTAAAATCTAAAAAATTAAAAGGAATAAATGCCTGAGCACAAAAATATAAAAGAAGACGATTACATTTTTTTAAAATCTCAGTTTTATTCTTCTCATGCAGCTAAACTGAGTTCAACTACAAGTACCTAGAATATCTTCTGTGCGTCAGCGATGAAACTCATTTTATATGGTGAACGGATAATTCGAACAATGGCTAGAGTTGAAGTAAATAACGCGTTTATATTATTCTTTAAAGTTTAGGTAAAGTGACCACTTTGAGCATCATAGTTATCTACTGAAGAATGACATTCACTAAAATATCGATTATAATATAAAGCAATATTGTTGAAGCAAATGCATTAATGAATAGCAATTATTTTAATTTAATTTTATCATGATAGTTTTGTCGTTGATTAACCACTAGACAATGACAATATGATTAAAGTCATAAGCTTTTAGTTCTTTCTGTGTAGTTTGAACGACAGGAACTTTAACTGACACATGTGATGTATGTGTGTATGGAGTTTTTCTATTGTCAACTACTGCCTAAACTATAGACAAACTTGTTTCCTTCAATCAGAACAAATAATTGTTCGCTTGCAATTTGTAATTTGGGTTTTGAATAAAATCAAACCATCTGTTTTCACAGTGTGTTTTAGAATGAACCTGCATTTGATTTTTAGACCTTCACAAACACCAGTTCCATAGCTATATCATTCCAACAAAATACCTGGATATACTACGTTGTTCAATGATAAGGATAATAAGTTCGCGAGAACCTGAAATTTACATAGCACATTTGCTTGAAGAAGCGTTAAAATTATCGAGATTTTAATTGCTGGGATTATTTCAAAATAATTTTCGCAAATAATGTTTTCAATACACTCGATGCCCAATTCCTATTAAACTGTTCTTTTAAATATTGAGGAATAAACGTATAAAATATCAGTCAATCTACTTTGTATCGTACTTGTTCGATTCGATATTGTTTGAGATCATTTGCACGTTCACGTAGTAAATTCAGCTCATTTATATAACTTGTTACGTCTTCAATGAAATGATTGATTCCAAGACTTGTCCAGTTCAGTAAAGATAAGCCCGGTTTTAGTAAATTTTGTAAGTGTGCAAGTTGTGCTCGCATCAATTTGGTAAACATTGGATCCATGTTAACTTCTATTTCATTTAAACTAGCCAACATCCCCTAAATGGTTGATGAAATGAAATCAAAACGATTACTTAAATATTTATTTAGGTTTAAAAAATTTGAAGAGATTTTGGAGAAATCGATTAGTTGATGTTGCTGACGATTCAAAATTGATCATTGATAGAATTCTAATTAGTAAACACGGCTTAAAACAATATGTGGTAACTTTTATTAATAACAACAACTCTACATACGTTTCTAATCTAGCTGAGCTTCAGTCAGTGTTTACTTGTTGCATAGGTTTTCAAGCAGTTGGTGTCTGTGAGAGGCATAAGCAAATGAAGTAGATAAAATTTATACATTTATTTATAATATCTCTGTGACAAACTGTGTGAAAAAATCTCAAAAAGATTTACTTGATTAAGATAGGGAACTAAAATGTGTAGTTGAAAAAATGTGGATAATAACTAGGATCCTTGTACACAGTACTGCTTATCTATTGTTTGTTAAATCCTTTATACCTAGCATAGATAGATCATTGACCAGCACTACCCGCTTGAGGGAAAATAATTAGATGTAAATCAATGCGAAATATATAGAATATATAATTTTTATCAAACATCTTTAAATATTGTATGAGGTTTATTCACAAATGAACAATTAAACAATCGAACTCACTTTCAAGTCATTGTAATGTAATTTCAACTGCGTTTCTTTCTCACTTAATTCTAAAGCAATTTCAGGTATATCTAATCCCCATTTAGATAGTAATTCTATCTCTCGGTATACAATTAAAATTTCTGGGTCCAGCGCAATAGTAATATGATTAGTTCCTTCATCTTGATAAAGCAAAGGATCCCGTAGACTAACTTTTGCAAAAGATATCTATGTAGAAAGAAATGTAAGAGAGAATTATTTTAAGTAAAGTGCACAATTTAATACAAGAGGACGTTTAGAACAGCACGCATCAATTACAAGTGAAAAAAGTTGGCAACTCTGTGACAGTTTGATCAGAAAAAAAAACACATACTATCAGAAAATACTGTCTTCAGCATTTCATGACATTGGAATTTTAAAAGATGACTACAAACTACTAATATTTTGTAAAATTCACAGTCAGATTCTGGCGCCATTTCACTTTGTACCTAGAGATTATCGCTACTTGAATCTAATTTTATTTTAAGAAGTACAAAAAGCGAAGATTTTAATCTCGATAATTAGTTCCCCTCAATTATTTGACACACTGACAAAATATATAAGCAGAGACAATTTGTGACATAAAATTGACAAATTTATAGTGCAAAGTTAGTTCAACTAATTTGCATGACATGCAAATTTGAAGAAAAAGGCTTGCTATTACTACATCGTACACTGATTAAAATAACATTTAAAATAATCAAAAGTTAATTTGTGACCTGATAACTTAAAGTGAAAAGTTATGCAAAAACAGCAGGATATTTGGATACTACTGCGAAACTTATTTACTAAAGTGATGGCAAAAACTGATAGAGGATTTGATTTGAGATGTACTTATGTCCACTTACGATTATTTATCTGTTTTTCGGTTAAAACTATGACCTTAAGTTTTACGCATATAAAATTTCATACGACACTAAGACTGCTTTATCCACAAAGCCTCTCTCTCTCTCTGTATGTATGTATAGATATTTCATATTTACTGTTTCAATTCATGACACAGATTAATGTGATCGAATAGTTCGTTTATTGTAACAAAATGGTTATTATGGATTCACAGTTGTAGAGCCTGAGGAAGTTATGGGAAACATTTGTTTACGTTATTATTCTTGGGCGTTTTTCAAACCGATCGTTCCAGATATATTAATTACGCTAATATATCAGAAGGTACTGAGAACAATCCAAATTAATCAAAACTAATTGCTTTATAATGCATGATACTCAGTGAAATTAATAAAAATCAATCGATCGCATATGTTTAGATCAATTCTGAACTAGTTTTGAATTGCATATACTGTGTTCATATTGCAACTGAAGAGGGTGTAGATTAACTTCAGTCAATCGGAATTTGAGGCAAGTGATTCATGATACAACATTCAGTGACCAAATATTATATTTTTCCTTTGATAATCATTAGAAGTTTACTGTAAAGAAGCCTTGCTGATGGATTGATTAGTTAAAACTTGAATGGTACTTAAAGTCCTTAAATTAATAACATTTTGATAAATAACTTAGTAGTAGACCAGTTACTTATGATAATAGTACCAACCCTACTAGAAAACATAGATTCAGTTGAGTTCAACAATAAAGTGTTTATCACTTCAAAACCTAACTTAAAGTCCATTTATAAACTGAAGTCAGGTGGTCATAGAAACTAGTTCACTGGTAACAAAAAAAATCTAGTGTCCACACAAACCTGGTTTATCCAATTACGATAATGAACCATTTCGTAGGTGATCAAAACTTCGGCTAATTTATTATACTTCTTAGTAATTTCTTTGCCTTCCTTTGATCGCATCAATTTGATTTTATCAGTTAGCTTAAGCATTGGATTTTCAATTCTCCGGTATAATTCTTTTGCCCAGGAAATTTTACCTAACATTATCGAAACATTAAACAATAGAAAAATAGTGACGATACATTGTTCATTTGGGATTTTGTGATGTAGTTTCAGAGAAGTTATAATCACAAACAAACAATAGTTGATTAAATAGTTGATATCATGAGACAAAATTCTCCAACGAATTAAACCAACAAGAAGTTTGTCAATAAAGGTGAACCTTACTCATGATTCTCTTTACGAAATAAATAGTGTAATGAACAACTTTGATACACCCTAATACACTAGAGAACCAAAAAATGAACAAAATAAAGAGCTGTGGGTAAAAAAAGAAAAATGAAAGTTAGAGGATTATAATAAATTGAGGTTGATGGTTTTGGAATCATTCACGTTAAAGATATTGTGTATGTGAATAAACCTGTTCATTAGTTTATTGCAATTTATTAGCCCTGTTAATTCCTCAGATTTTGCTTGTTCTAGTTCTATAACTCATTCAAAACAACAATCATCTCATTCTATCGGTAGATCCAAATGCCTGTTTATTGTTTATCACTCAATGTTTAGTTCTACTATGACACTTAAGTATATTACTTGTACAGAATGAGTTGTCAGAATGTACATTCGCATTATATTCTCTTTCAGACCTTCATACTATCAGATTAAACAATCACAGTTGAAATTATGAAACCTAATTTCAGAAAATAATTACCACGAACATTACATACAACGTATAGCATGAAAATAGAAGCAAAGCTTACAACATGCATAAACACCTACTCAATATTATAGTACTTTTAGTAATTACGAGTTCTAAAATTTGTAGCACTCATAAATTTGGAATATCTGGCTTCTAAAATTGCAGAGTATTATGTAAACTTGAACAAATTTCAACTTGTCAAAAATATCATTCAGTTTAGCGAATTTTAAGATCAAAGCATATTATAGGACACAGAAGAGGTTCTTCGGGTAAAACCTCAGAAAAGTATGCATTTCAGCAACGTTGATAGTCCTTAAATTTTATAGAGATGGTCAACAGTGATACAATAGATTTCGAAAATAGAATGTACATATTCTTCTAATGACTAAACTTTAAGTGACGGTAATTTTAAAGTTATTTGAGTAAATGTGAGATTATTTAAGACACGTTGGGTGAATTTAAAGATAAATCCTAGCACTTAGCGTTAGATATTGATGTATTTCTTACAAAACTTTAAGATACACATTCTGAAAGTGTGCAATATATAGTCAACAAGTTTGATTTTGCCTAATACAAAAGTATCAAAAAGTGGATGAAGGTTCTCATATTCCTTTCAGTCACTTTTTCATTCTAACGAAATATAATTCCGATCAGTCGAAATGTCAAGGATGCACAGATGAAACCTATAATAATAATAGTAGTATTAGCAATAATAATAATAATAATAATAATAGCAATAGTAATAACAAAAACATCATACTCGTTGAATAAAATAATCGTATGAAGCGAAAAATCCTTGGTCCGAGTTTTCGCGTAAATATTAACATGAGAATGCATGTACATTCGGCTGATGAGTCACAAACAGGGTAGAGCATGCGTTACTGACCCCACTACTAGTCACTATTCTTCTATTCTAATAGTTATTAAATCAGTCAAGAGTAAGAAACGCACAGACTCCCCTCAATCTAGGACACGTGAACGGCCTTATCTAATGGAGTAAAACAAAGTTTACGATCACAGTTTTATTGATGATAACAACAATGGTAACAAACCTGCTATTGGAGGTACATCACGACCGATCGGTGGTGACTCTTTAAATTTCTTGTATTCTTTACCAACGTTTTCTATAAGCTGAGCAAAACGATGTAACAATTTTAGATGTGCTTCATCTACACCCAAGTTTGCTAACTTTAATTTTTCAAACTGTCCAATAATGTGAAAACACCTGTGTAGATCATGGTTTCTGTTCATTTCTGACACGAGCAAGGTTCTCAAACCAGTCTAAAGTTAAATAAGTGAAGACAACTACCGAATTAAACATATGATGGCAAATCGATAATCTGAATGAAACTGAAGAACTTATCGTTAATATGAACTGAGTATCCATACATAATAACTTTAACAAGCTGAGCGATTGAAAATATTAAAAACTGAAAATATAACAACGTATTATGTAAGTTTTAATGGAATCTCAAACGAGTGATGTATTTTTTCTAACTTGACTGCTTTAAACTATTGCCCGTAAAGAACATGCATCTTTTTCAGATCTTGAGTGCGCCGCTGCAACCGTCCGTATCGGCTTCCTTGACGTATGACAATGCTTGCCTATCATGATGTCCCGATCGAACTGTGTTGGCTGCAACATATGTTTTCTTAGGTCCTACCATACAAGGCTGATCGATTGCAAGACAGACTAAAAGCAGCAACTTAAGGTCTGAAGGCGAAGTCGTACGGCTGTTTCTATGGCTTTGAGGGGAGTAAGGTATTTTTCTCGGATAACCACCATCTGCATCGACGCCACCTTCTCACAACAGAAGAGGTTGGAAGATGTCAACCCTAAAAATGTCACACCTCACTCTACTTCACGGATTTCCGTCTGCTGCATTGAGGCTAATGAAGAAGGGAGCTAACACTTCTAAAATGCCCATAAAAAGGCTTTGCGTGACCGGCCTGAAGTAGTTGTCCCTTGAGTTTGCGATCAAGTTCCCAGATCGCTGTGAACAACGATAATTCAACTTCCTAGTACATGAAACGTTGTTCTTAGTCTCTTGAAACCCCATTCTAAACTACATATTAGAACACGTTAAAATATCGACTATATCCTTATGCCTATAATTCATACTGGTAAATAAATGTGAATTATTAATAAAATGATAACTCTTCTAGGTCTTAAAAAATTTTAGACAAACGAAAACGTGAATAATAATGATGACAACATTTAACATGTTGTTATAGTTACATGGGTCAAGAAAGATGTGTAAGTTTCATTAGAGAAATCGATTAGCATATTTGTCATATATAGCCTAAAATCGTCAAGAGTTTCAAGAGAAGGTTGTTCAAATAGAATCACATATTACTATCAGTCATAGTGTATGAATGTTGTTTGACAAATTTATGATTACCTTTGGCAATCAAACATATATATATATATATATATATATATATATATATATATATATATATATAATTCCCAATTCAAGATTGATCTGATCAACGTACTCACTTGTTCAGTGCTTATTCAAGGCTATTAGTTATCTAATATTCGTTTCTTTAAACCAAACAAATAAATGTCGGTACATTTTGAAATACACAAATGAAAATTGTTCAGTAAACTAACCCGTATATCATTCATCTTCTTTTTAAACTTTATAATGCAGTCATCGACATCGGTGTTCCGTTGGTCGAGAAAATCAAATTCATTATTTCGTAGCTCATTTACAGCGAAATTGTATCGTTCAATCAGTGGATCTAATTTTTCGATTTTCGACACAAGCAAGCAAGAATACGATGAGATCATATGAAATATCTCATTAATTTCAAGCAATCTTCGGCAGAACAAATCATATTTACCGAATATATGCATTTCAGACAGATCAAATTTTTTCGAATTCGGCTTGGCAGCTAATTCTGTTTTGACTCGTTGAAATGAATTCTTATAAACTTGATGTAAATTACAGCAATCGATGATCTTTTTCAAAAGAACTTCTGTTTTCTCTGTCCATATTGTACTTTGATAATTATTAGTGACATATGCTTTACATGCAAATATTATTTGATTTGTAACTTTAACAAATAGTGAAGTGATTTTTTCTTGAGTATTGTAATATGTGGATATCTCATAAACTAAACGAATCATTGTCACAAGTTTTGGTACACTGTCCAACATCCCAACCTGTAACAAAAAAATCGCCTGATTATTTTTTGCTTTATTGGTACACTCTAAAGTTAGGATTAACAGTTGCCAGTTAGTTGGTTAACAATTATGGAGACTCAGGTGTAGATGTCACAATCCAAATAGCAGTTCCAACTCAATGAATAATCTCTCATCGCTAATGATTCAATTAATTGTGAGATAGATTTTAACAGAACTGATGTCAGTTGAGGGGTTCTATTAACCTTCAAGAAACTTCTCATTTGTAATCAACCCTACTAGGTGATAGTGGATAGATAAGATCCATCATAAGTTAAGGAATGTTAAAGTTTCGTTTCGTAGTGAATTATTACAATTCTTTTACTTCTTATACCTTACAGTGCAATCTATTTTAATTGCTCACTGCATTACATTAAAGGTGTAACTCCAGATTGAATTGGCATAAGTGGATATTGTGAAACATATCGAAGTAATTTTTATTTTGCTACAGAGTTTTCTTTGTTTAATGACTTTTTACATTTCTATACACTCTTCAACATTCATAAAGAACATGAATTCACAAAATTGATTTCAATCAAATGGAAAGTGTTACTAGCAGATACTATTGGCTGTAGCTGACTTCTGGTTGTGAATACATAAGAAAAATGATTTCTAAGATATAGGTGAGATAAACAATGTTAGTTGAAAAAAGCGATTATTCGATACCAACAGAACGAATTACATAAAGGTAGGTTTTGCGCCAACCAGAGCGTGACACTACGAATAATTGTGGAAGAGTTAAGTGAATAAAACTGACCACTCCGTAGCAACTTCGTTGATTATGAGAATACTATGAAACCTTCTTTGATCCTATGCAGTAACTGAGAAGAGAGTCAACATCTTCCGATGGACTACACTATCGAATCGTGCATGGATATCAGCTCACAGATGAATTCCCACTGAAGAACAAAGTCAGATACAGCTGCTTACTCTAACTCTTTCTCCTTCTTATGGCGGCTGACTGAGCTATGAAGACCACATCTGAGGTGGTTCTTGAAATACAGTAGACGGTTTGAATGAAACCATGAAGTTTAGACTTTACAAATGATAAAGCTCTTCTATCTCACACACAACAATAAATACAGGTAAAGCTAGACAATACAGAAACGGCTTCCACAAATGTAGGCCTCAACATTCACACATGGATAAGCACGATCCTCCAATGCAACTCAACACGCACAAACCAAATCACACTTGAGGGAGAGGCTCTGGAAGATTTGTGAACCTTTAAATACCTGGGCAGCATCAATGGTAAACAATGAGGGTCTGATCTCTGTGTGAAGACGCGAATCGGAAATGGAACTTGGAAATCAGAACAACTGTCGGCCAACACCTAAGTCAGACTTTCCAGTATCAACATTAAACCAATGCAATTTCACTGTGCTACAGTTTCGAGAGCTATGAGTCATCATGCAGAAGATACAGTTGTTTATTAATAGTTTTCTACGCAAGATACTGAGGATCTGTTGGCTAGACACCATCAGAAACAACCTACTGTGCAAGAGAATTAATAACTCTCGACGGTAGCTCCTCCAGTGTGGGCATCCGGGAAGTAACGTCCGCCCTCATACCCATAAAAGCACACGAGACTAAATCGGTCACATTCAAATCCTTTCTTCTTCTCTTAATAACTCCCTTATCTCCTCGACCAATCCTTCTTTCGATCGTATATCACCTCACACCACTGAAGCAAACGGTATGAGCGCACAAAACGTTATTCCTGGTCTCCTAAAAACCCGTACTAAATTACATATTGCAGCTTTTAATGTTCGGACGCTAAGCCAAATAGGGCAATAGGCTTCATTGGCTAGAACTCTGGAATCCCGGACGTCTCCGAAGCGTGCATACATGATCCGAGTAAAATCATCAATTTGATCTCGCCTGGTGCATCAAGGGACACAACATGGTTTAGGCTTCGTGTTTCTGGAAGTCCTGAACCTGCTTCTCATGGCTTAGCCGGAAGTTCAAAGGCAAAACTAGCTCTCTTACATTGGATCCCGATAAAGTCGCTTATGCACTGTCCAACCAAATGGGACGGTACGGACTCCGAAGGATAGGGACACTCGCCGTTGCCTCTTCGTCGTATCTGCCTATCCTCCCGCTGACTGCGGTTCAGACGACATGAAAGACACGTCTTATAGAAACCTCTCTCAACTTCTCCGAAATTTCAAGTGCTCTGATATAGTAATAATGGCTGGTGACTTCAACGCTCAAGTAGGTAGACTTAGCGAAAAGGAAAGACACTTGGTTGGATCTTATGGTGTCGCCGCTCAGAGAACAGATAATGGCGACCGTCTGTTGCAGATATGCTCAGATTACTGCCTATTCCTAGCAAACATTAACTTTAGGCATAAGGTAAAACACATTTTGACCTGACGACCCCTAAGGCAACCCAACGATGGGACCAAATAGATCACATCTCTATAAGCCATCGTTGGAGAGGCTTTGTTGAAGACTACCGCTCATTTTGGAGCACTTGTCTAGACTCAGACCATGCTCTAGTGCGAGCGCGTATTTGCGCAAAGAAATTATCTCAAGGAAACCTCTTAGGGCTCCACTTAATGATAATATAGATAAGAATATATTCCAGGAACGACTAAAAAAGTTAGCTGGCCATGTAGTAAGTGATACCCACCCTGAGGCAACTTGCAATGATTTCAAAAGCGCTGTGGAAACAGCAGTGATATCTGCTAGTAAGGTAAACAATAAGGTTAAGGAGAAGCCATGGATCTCAGTGACATCTACCGAACTGATGGATGCTCGAAAGCTCATCTCTCCTGGCTTGCAGTGCGATGAGGAGCGGCATCAGCTAAGCGCAGGCTGATAAAAAGCCTACGCAACGACCGCGAACAGTGGAGGGTAGTGAAGGCAAGGGAGATAGAAAAGGCAGCGGCGATAGGCAACAGCAGGCAATTATTCAGACTCATCAAGGACACTTGTATTAGGAATCCGAATGTGAGACTATCTGGGAAAAGGATTGTCTTATTATTCATTCTCAATCCAGGAGATTGAATTGATGGGCATAACACTTCAGGGATCAGTTCAATTGGCCTTCAGTCATACTTCGGTTGCCCACAATCTCCAGTCATGCTGAATGCCAAATCGATGTAAGTTGTCCGACTCTTTATGAAGTTGAGACAGCGATAGGAAATCTGAAACGAGGGAGAGCTGCGGGTCCTGATAAATTGACCCCTGAGATTTTAAAAAGATGGTGGTCCAGTTTTAGCTGCTAGATTGACTGAGATCTTAGGTGGAGTCTGGGAACTGGTCGTAATCCCATCCGACTGATTGTCCCAATGTATGAGACACTGCGACAGGTCCTGGAAAACAGACACACATATAAGTGTTCAGCAATCGTTATCTTTATGAACTTTAAGGTGGCATTCGACTCTATGGATCATGACGTTCTGTGACAGTATCTGTCATTAAAAGGTGTACCAAAGATGAACATTAGCCTTACACTCTACTCTAACACTACAGGTCGAATGACAGCTTATGACGAACTGTTATTGGAATTGTTTACTTCAAGTGGTGTCAGTCAGGGATGTCCATTTTCCACATTCTTGTTCAATTTTGTCATAGACATGCTGCTAGATATGACATTATCTTCGTCTGACTCCTCAGGAGTAGACCTTCTTCCAGGAGGATCGCTTACCGACCTAGAATATGTTGACGACATGAGCGTAATTCCATTTGACTGGTCTCAATCACTGATTGTCCGTGTTTATAAAAAAGGACAAAAGTTTTCTTGTGACAATCACAGAGCCGTCAGTCTAACTAACATAGTTTCTAAATTGTTAGCCTCGATTATACTTAGAGGCCTAACTATTGCTCGTGAAGAGCAGACTAGAGAAAACCAGGCTGGTTTTCGACCTGGACGTGGTTGTATAGACCACATCTTCACACTATGACAGGTCCTGGAACACAGACACACATTTAGGCGTCCTACAATAGTTGTTTTCCTGGACCTAAAGGCCGCATTTGACTCTGTAGATCGTGAGGTTCTGTGGCAGTGTCTGTCATTAAAAGGTGTACCAAAGAAGTACATTAACCTTATACAAGGTCTCTACTCGAACACCAATGGTCGGGAGACACCTTATGGCGAACTGTCATCGGAATTCTTTACTTCAAGTGGTGTCCGTCAGGGATGTCTATTCTCTCCATTCTTGTCTAACTTTGTCGTAGACATCCTTTTAGACTTACCATTACCCTCATCAGATTTTTCAGGGGTGGACCTTCTACCAGGAAAATCGCTTACTGACCTAGAATATGCCGATGACATAGTCGGTGAAGACGTTGACAAAATACAGAGTCTTCTGACTACCCTAAGCAACAATGCAAGCATGGGCGGGATGCGGTTTTCTTCCTCAAAATGCAAAATTTTTCTTCAAGATCGGCCTGCGTCGGCACCTGAACTAGTGATAGGAAGTGAAGTATATGAGCGTGTTGACCGCTTCACTTATCTTGGGAGATTCATCAGAGCTGATGGGTTGGTGATTGACGAAATCTCAGCAAAGATACAGACGACTCAGTTGTCCTTTTGGAGCTTCCGTCGCTTATGGCGAAGGCGAGATATCCGTTAGCTAACCAAAGGATAAATGTACTGCTCAGCAGTTTGCTCCGTTCTGCTATATGAACACGAAACATGGTCAGTCAGAGTAGAACATATTCGTAGGTTACTAGTCTTCGATCATAGGTGTCTCCAAAGCATTGCTCGAGTATCGTGTGCAGCCGAGTAAGCAATGCTGTTATTGGGAAATGGGTGCTAGGTAAGGATGGCAGGTCAATAGACATGGGACATGTGTTTCGTATGCCCAACCACCGACTGCCTCGTCGAGCTATGTTTTGCGATGTAGGAATAGCTTGGACTAAAGTTAGGGGTGACGAGACCAAAACATTACAGAAATCCGTGAAATCACTGACAAGTGGACTGAGTCTTGTCGGTAGGTGTCGAATACGTGGTTGTGGTCCGCGAGATGATAGTTATCGATGGTTAGAGATTCTGAATCACATAGCTCAAAACCGTTTGCAATTGCGCGGTTACATCTACTCTTTGTGTTCTGTGAAATCCTAACCTTCTGAATTCGTCATCAGCTCTATCTTTCTCTTTCTAAATTTACCTCACTGAACTATACTTCTTGAATAAAAGTCTCCAAAACCTAATCTCTCCGATTACTTCTAATACTTTTACTACCTCTACTACTATGGGATTTGAATTGACAATTATATTTCTGTGCTAATGTGGTATGGCAACTTGAACTGATGTACGTACGTACGAAGTTCTACGTTGTAACTGACTGACTGAATTATTAAGGAGATTCCTGCAGAGGAAGAAATTAGGAAGAATCGCTGGGGTTGGTAGGACACACAATGCGGAAGTCAGATAACTGAATCATGAGGTAAACCCTAACTTGGAATCCTCAAGGCAAAAGAACACATTACGCCAGTAATTGGAAGCCCTCATCGAAAGAATGAACAGTAATTGAGTGGAACTGGAAAGGCTCACGACAGATTTGTTTAGCTAGCTCCTACAGAGTTAACAGGAGGATATATATATGTCTAACAATGAATAAAATAATTCAATTTTTGTTATGTAAAACATAAACTTACTGGATCATATCTGTACAGAGGTTCACAATATTCTTCCAACGTGCTTAAAAATTTTAGGTTATTTTTAGCTTCATTTGTGTAATCCATTACTTTAGATTCTAGTTTAAGCCATCTCTGTAAAATAAATTAGTGTAATTTCTATCATTTACCGGTAAGAGATGGTTTGAATCAGAAAAAGATAATCACCAAGTAGTATTTTGGTGAAAGTCAACTTGAAACAACCTAGTTAATACCTGCCTTATATATTTATTGTCCGCTTAACAGAAATACGAAAATGTTGTTTCTGAATTGAAACTTTGCGAAAAAACAAAATTTCAGTTCGTACAATGCTAGACCCTGTTTATGATTGCAAGTGTCTTTATGGAGTAAAACAACAGTATTCGGAATCATCTCCCGGTTCATCTCGTCGAGTGTTTAAGTGAATAATATGTTCTTAGGAGATAATTTCGATTTTTTCAATCTGGAACCACTTGATCATTAGCAGAATTATGGAAAACTATGTGTATTTTGGATGTAAAACATCCTAATGTATTACAAACCTTGAACTTATAGTAGTTCAGAACATCTGTAGTGTGGATGTTTCAAAGGTATTCAAAAAGATGATTATTTGATGAGCACCGAATTATTTTATTAGATGTTATCACTCTCCTGATACGCTACCTTTTATTATTGACGAAACACTGGATGCATTAAAGCAACCAACCTTGATTTATCTTTACAAACGAATCTGTTTCTTTTCATTTCAAGTATCACTCGAATTCAAAAAGCAAGACTAAGTAAACAACTATGGTCTTTCAAGGATGACTAGTATCTGAAGCCTTTCACTGCGAAGACAAAGTAAATCTACAAAAAACTAATCTGGTTTTAAATCTTACGGTGGGTTGAAACTACATCAGTAAAAAAACAATTAGTTGTACTAGTTTTTATTGCTGTTGGTTACTTATTTTAAAATCACTGGTAATTAATGACGTTTAATAATTCATTTTCAGGCAGTGTTTTTCCAGGTGATGTACTGATTCTGAAACAGTGGTAAAGTATATGCACTTATAGATAATGTTGCAGATATCCTCGGTGCATTTTATTAGGTGAATGATGTGTTATTCAAATGTACTGGAATGTTCAGTGACATTTTGGCATTTCAAGCACCATCACAAGTCGTAAAGTAATAAATTAAAGTATACTCTCCAACTATGTTGAAATTTTATACCTTATTGCACTAAAATACGTACATCGTTTTTCAAAGGAAAACTCTTAATAAAATACTTTCACGGAGAAATTGCTCGACAATCTTATGAAAATACAGAACTACGGAAGCAAGATGTGAATCTGTTCGATGTTTAATCTCCTAATTATTAGAAATTAAAAAATTTACAATGTTAGCATCTAACTTTGACTAATGGATAATTGTAGGTTGACAGTATACCAAATACCACTTTGCAGTTGTGCTCATTCATTTCTTCGAAGATTGCATTGAATGTGGTCATTCGCTTTCGCCAATAATCTAACTCTACCCGGGGGCCAGTATTATCAGCTTCCTTTCTAATCTGATCAGCAAAGACTACCACCTTTTGAAAACGGTAAAGTGAATAAGATTATGAAGTACATGCATATTTTATGAACATGATAACAAACTATTCGAGTGATACGTGTATCTGATACGAACAGACGAAAGGATAGACGGATGATCTTCTAGAAGTGTAATTCTAATTCTGACAATAGATAAGTTACAATTGTCTTGTAATTATTTTAGTTTGTTTGTCTGGGTACATTAACAAAATTTGTTGAAATAGTCTGTCAATAACCTGTCCCATAAGACACTAGATACTTAATTTTAAACAGGGTAGTGTGCCAACAAGTGAAACAAGCAGTCGGTTAGTAAAACGAATATCCTTTTTAGATTACAAATCTTATATATTTATGTTGTCCAAAAGCAAAACAATACACGTACAGTAGAATCAGTTAGCATAGAAAAAGCTTTCGGTTCTTGGGATGATCTGTATATAATAATCCACCAATGATAACCGTTAACAAAACTAAACTTATTTTGTCGTACAGTTAAACGAGCCAGTGACGAACTATTGGTTGTAAGGAAACAATTATTTGATAAATTTCTTTAAAGTTGGATTAAGTTCATCAGTCCATAATGCACGAATCGACAGAAAATAGTCGCTTTTTGAAGGAAAAAAATGCTGAAAATGCTTTTTCTAAGATTTTATTGCTTATTCTAAATAAGGCTAATAAATGTCAGCATTCAAAAAGTAAATTACACAACTAAGTAAAGATATGCTTTTAGGATTCAGTCTTACGGAAAATATATACACGTCCAAACATCGACCGCTCAGATGGTTAATGTCTAACTTCCTTCAGTCCAGGATATTAAACTGACTGAATTTAGACATTAAAACCATTTGATACCGACTTGGTGATTGAGAATTTGAAGGTGTACGCGTGAGTCTGAGGTACTTGGGTTTTCATCACTCAAACATTCGCGTGTTACTCAATAAGTCAAGAGTTTTCACAAATAGATTAGGACTCGAAACGGGGAATAAATAACTCTCTTATGCAGTTGGTACTCTTTATTCATATGAATAACTATTCAGTATCACCCGGTTTGTGTAATATTCCGCTTGTAAGCCAATCATAAATTAAATGTTATTGAAGACATTCAACTGAAACTTAAAAAATATATCGGCCACATACTTGTTCTAGTTGATTAATCCAGGTCACAGCACAAACTTCTAGTTCCTTTGGCATATCAGGATTGAGTAATGATGATGTTCGTTCAGCGTTTAGTGCCGATCGCATTTTTTGGATTGATTTATTTTGAAAAGATTTAAAATGAAACTAAGATTGAGAAAACAAAAAAAAAGAAAATTATTCACAACAACGTTTTTGGACAATGTGAAAAATAATTAGCTATTAAAGAGAAATTTTGAAACATATGACATTGTTTTCTACTTCAACAATCTTAAGAGTCAACGAATCAACATACGACAAACAACCAAGTTTTTGTTAGAATCGTGAAGAATGCCAAGTTTATCAAAGTAAAAGGTCATTTATTAATAAAATGGAAAGAAAATAAATTTCAAATTTGCATTCTGGTTTACTTAAATATCTCTAGCTAGTTAGTTAATGATGATAATTCGACAAGTACGAGATATGTTTCATGTTTGTGTGATATTTTTCAAGGGTTTGACGAAGAATTATATTATTTGACGCACAGTTTCTCTCCTACTAAAACCTTTTCCAGATTTCATCTCTCGACTTAATTGTATATTTGTTTATGTGAACGCTGAAGTCATCCAGACCATTGTAAAAACGATTAACTTTGGCAGTGATGTACTTTATTTTTGTAGAGTTTTTATGTAAATACTTAAAGTGGAGCGGAAAATATGACTACTTCAAAGTCCTCGACTATTTAATAATAGCTTTGTGGTTATCTATATAAGGTTATATCACATAGATTACTTGGATGAAATAAGTAGTTGGATTAAAATAAATACTATATAAAAATTACTCGATTTTCCAGGAATTCCGATGTTTCCTTAAGTATTTTCACGAATTGTTTTGTATATTCAACTAAATCTAACTTTTGTACGTCCATTGAAATTGACCTCTCCACTAAAACTCTGTTTGGAATCGTTTGAAGTTGTGGTAGCATCAGAGAGTTAAGCAGATTTCCAAACGCATTCAAAAAGTCTTTTGCCAAGTCTGTTGTTAAGAAGTTTACTTCCTGAAAAAAAATTCAAGAATAATTATTGACCAAGAGTAGGTTGCCACATTTTATCTGTATGGCAAGATGAAATCACCAAAATGAATATCGAATTATCGTAGTATCAGTTACGGTAAAAAATGAGAGTTTGCTTCGAGAAAATTACTGATTCTGAGATGGGAGAGTAAATCCTAGAACTAAGTATATAAAGGAAGACAAACTGAGTGCATTTGCGCCGTCGTTATACAGTATTTCCAAATCTTAGTTACGGCAATTAGCAGGACTCCAGATAATTAATCTACACCTACAGACAGGGCTAATTTCGATAGTCAGTAACTTCTTGAAATGATAACAAGTCTTAGTTTGACAGCCTCTAGCTTTCTTCCAAGCAATTCCAGCTAAAAACGCGTTTCGATTAGAGTGGTTTTTGAGACTCAGTGTCACACTTACCTGTCGCATTAATTGAAGAAGATTCACAATCTATTAAACCCATGTGACCTCTAGATAGATTCAGTCTTGATCACTGTGACTCCAAAATATCATACTTAACTAGTGATGTTCAACTAAAGAGCATTCAAAAGTTTTATATTTTTCTCATTGATCATTACTTAGAAGAACCTGGCATACATGACATTTAATACTACCCAGTGATTGATCAATATTGGATACTCCTTCGTATTTTTGAACTACAAACAGTGCCACAAAACTTCTAATCAACAATAGAAAATACTGCCTTAAAGTTTGAGAAGTACAATTACGATACGGCATCGGTAATTAAGCATATGCCTAAGGATTTAACAAAAAGTGAGTACGTGGTCAACATATCAATGTTCAAGCCTGGAATCAGCCCGGTTATCATGATTTTGCTGTCCAAAGATTTAACAAAGGTATGAGAATATTAAAACGGTTAAGTAGATAACAAGAATTTAGATAAAAACGTTGAGTACCACTTGTTTTTTTATAATTATTATTTGATAAATGTAAGCACATGAAAAAAAATAAGGTTTCAAGATTTATCTGCCAACCATTGGCAGAAAATACATGATTTAAAGAGAATAATGCTTGAGTAGAAAAGAAACCAACCAGGCTGTAAACAAGAATTGAAGTAAAACTAAATTGCTGGGGTAATTCTCATCAAATTAAATGTTGAGCTGAGTGTTCTAGAATCAAGCTTACTAAAGAAAAAAATCATGAAATTACACACAGATTTTGGATTTTATGGAAGCACAACTGGAGCAGTATCAAAAATTGTGAATTTTGTGACAAAAACGAATTTGTTTTTAAACTTCTGAACCTGAAATATTTCCAGTCGATTTTCACACAGTAGCCACCGCTTGATAATTCAGATAGCTATTAGCTGTAGCTTCACCTTATTGTAAGACATCCTCCCTTTCAAAAAGTATGGAAGTTTTTCAATTCTGTAACTTTACTAGACGCACGTTCTTATCCGGAAACAATGTTTTTTATATTTTGGCAGAAGTTATAGCTGTGAATCAAGATAGTTACGTCGTCTCTAAAAATTTCAATATTTCTACTACGTTTTCTTAAGAAAGACAAATATACGTTATTTATTCACATACATGTTACAAATCCTGAAATCATTTGTCTGTCCTGACAAAGATTTAACAGTACCACTGAACTGTTCATAGCGTTCCAACACCTTATGTTTGAAGTACTTCTTGACAGTAAATGTACTGAAGAATTATAAATCGATCCAAATGACGATAAACTTCAAGAAAAATAGTGTTTTTTGACGGCATCAAAGAAGTCGCATTCGACGGTTGATTTAATGAATAGCTGTGCCAAAATCATTGATGAAATTACCCCAAAGGTATGGTAAATATCCACCGTTCATATTGATTTCCCTATTTCAGACTACATTTTCAAACCTGAAGCTCGTCTATTAAAAAACATGGATGACAACTTTGAAACCGCTATCGAAACTGTATAGCGGGATAAAATACAACCTTACAGTTAACAGGCAAATAGTTTGTTATTTGAATAAAGATGTCATTTTGTGTGAAAACGGAAGTGATTTTCAACAGAACAAAATCTCCAAGAATCTCGGTTGATTTTTTCTATTGATATTACCGGTTTACATTAGTTTAAGAAAATCAACAACCATATAAGATCCGAAATTTAATAAATTAATGTTTTTGAAATGAAAATTTTCCATTATTAAAACATGGTTATTCATTTATTTGACAGAAACATACCTAATTCAACTACACAGATCTAAAACCCTACTTCTTAAACTCATAGAAAGGTTTTGCTTTTGCCGACTGGATGCTTGAACATAACACTAACAGACCCGTTTAAAAATGATTTCACAAAAAGATTTACTGAATAACTAGTTAAACATGAAACAGGTTGCCTTTTTCAAAATTAAATTCTTAATAAAATAACACTGAATCTACTTTTGAAATGTTTTCAGCTGTGATTTGAAGTTCTGCATTAACTTTTGTGAAGATGACACAGGAACCGAGTGCATATACATCAGCTACCGTGGACACAAAAACACGTGGTCTAACTGCGACAAGTGAACGTGCAAAAACACCAGGTCTCTCAGTGATTTCTTAGAAGAATTAAGCTTACCAAATACATCTTACCTGATTTTTCAGACTTAAGACCGAAAAACATGGCTTTTAAACCTTTGGGATCAAAAAAGGATTTTATTAAATACACCTGATGGTAAAAACATCAATTAAGTTACTTGTTCACCATCTAGAATGCATTCCTTAACATAACCCTTATCGATCTTGTAGTGTAAAGAAATTTTGTCAAAAAGAAAGTTATATCTGCCATCTATCAGAGATTTTCTAAGTTCTCGATCCAAGCTTTTTATTTCCTATACAAATCATGTAAATACATATAAGAATAACGCTCACAGTCTTATCTTGAGCAAATTCGACACCATCTGGTGCAACTGCTCGGCTCCCTTTACGCCCACGACCGTTGGATAACATAAGACCAAAATAATTTAAATTGCTTTATTTTGTTAATTTGAATTTATAAACGTTTTTGTCTCTAATTCAACTGAATTTTTCAAGCATACAAACAAATTCTAGTATTCAATTATTGTGAGACCGATATATTGCTAGGTTTGTCAATTTAACTAAAAATCACTTGAAACCTTACCTACTCTCAGCAAAATAAAATTTAATATGCTCTAACAGATGAATCTTATTTAATGTGTTATGATTTAAACCGATTAAAATTGACGTATTTTTAGCATGCCTGAGTATAAACAGTGGTTTGAAATATATGTGGAAAGTTATTTTGTATGTTCTTCATAACACTGCCGCACAAAATATGTGCTCACATTTACCACTTTTTATTTTCGCACGTATTGTTCACTATCACAGTCATGAGTGCATTTCGACAGGAAAAATTGACTTGATTATAGATATTTTTAAACATTATTATGTACTGCATGGCTCTTTAGAGTAGGAAGACGAACGGACGCTTTTGAAATAGGCGACATATCAAAAGTGTGTTTATCAATGCTACGCATTTGAAGTTTACACTTCTGGCTGACCACATCTTGTGGTCATCAATACTCAACCAGGCCTGGGTGAGTTGTCTATATATGGTTCCATATGTCTTTGGCGTCCATGTTTACTTCACAGTTTCCACTGTACATACTAGTTTTTAGGCGCCATCAAACTGTTTGGTCCGCTGTGTTACGCAACACCGTATCAACTACCAGGCTTAGTCTACAATCACTGAAATAAATATTTGACCGCCCTCATTCCTGATATCTGGCTTCACTGGTTTCGAGGATTCTCGTTCTGGGTGGTGTTATGGAGGAAAGCTATTTCCAACTCTAAATGTCCATGACATCTTCAGCTCTGTCATATGTAATATAATTAGCTGCAGAAATTAGCGGCACAGAGCAGCGCGCTTATGCACAAGTTATTATTAGCGTAAAAATGATAAAGTTTTTAATCTACAGTAAGGCATCTTGGTTACAAATTTGTAATAGTACGTCATATTTTCAATATATATAACTTAAGTAGGCGCATAATTTAGTTTAACTTCAACTCACCATGAACAGGAGGGGACATAGATTTCGCCGCTACGTTAGAACACT